TAATTTTCCGTCAATGGAAAGCGAATGCGCAAGATACAGGACTGATGGACAAATGATTGATTCCGAAGGGAAACAAAAGGAAAAATTGCTATCAAGCCCAAAGCCCGCGGGCTTTTCTCAGTTGTGGACATCATCTTCTCATGTGCCTGAACTCCCTTTACGCCGATAGATGTGCCATCGGCATATAGTTGGTCTATATCATCCGCTTCAGAGTAGTAGACACACTGGCACGTTTCACCAACATCAACCATTTTACCTCGTCTCCTGACAATCGTGGGTGTGATCATTGTCCGACTGTCCAGGCTACCTCCCTTTCACAGATAATCTGTACCGTAGGCGGTCGGAAGTAGTTTCTGTATTATTCAAATTTGGGAAGCGAGTCTTGGTTTTTTTCACCTCCCCTGAAATGTTCATCATGTCCTAGACTTGTTCCACATGGACAATACACTCCAGGAGAGCTGTTGTTCCATTGTATGATGTTACACGATGGCGCATGTGTTCTTTGTGCTGGAGTTACTACACCCTGTGTCGTGACCGGCAAGTGCGCTACCAGGCTCGTGGATTGCGTGACCACCTAGTTTTGGGGGTATTCTGGACATCAAATGGGACCGAAGTAGAACAAGAGCAAGAGCAAGAGCAAGAGCAAGTAAGCAAGGCACAGGTGATAACTTCCACTTGAGTGATACCTAGGTGAGTCGGGTGTTCCTCGGTTAGGTTGCGTTCGCGCTGACAAAGACACGACTCGGAGGTTAACCATGCATTATCAACAGTTGACGTTATGAGCTGTGTGTATAACTCTTTTGTGCAGCTTATACATATGCCGGATATAGCGGCTCAAGGTTGACGACGAAAGGATTACATTGATAATTGATCATTTGTCAATCATAACGGTTAGGCGTGCATTTTTTTTAAGTAGTGCAGCCGCATGTTTCTGACGCAGGATTCGTTTTGCATGCGCTGCGGGATGCGATAAGGTGAGGTACAAGCCATTGGGATATCAAGTTCAGGCTTGTCAGACTGAAGCGGCACAAAGTCTAACCAGTTGACGTTAAGTAGTGACACTGGATTCCAACTCATTATTGGAAAAGGTGTGGTGCAAGAAGTTGGTCAAGAATGCCGAGTACAGCAGATGATAGTATAGAAAAGACGAAATTCAAGCTTTGTTTGTAAAACAGTTGCTGCGCGGTTGATGCAGGGTGGTTGAATGTCGAAAATAGAGGAAACCGTGAGGCAGTCGACGACAGAAGGACAGGTGGGGACGAGGAAGAGGAAGAGGAATTGGCCAGTAAAAGCGCTCAATCTGGTGCTTCTTTGTATCCACTTCTCCACCTGCTCGAGAGATCTCGACAGCTGTCGCACAGGAGAGAGCGCCAAGACAGATGGCAACTTCACGTCAGAAAGGAAGCGACAGCTGTCAGCCTAATTGTCCTCGGCTCAAAGCAGCCCATGCCAAGCAGCGGATAGGCAAGCGCGACGCAGGCGCTGATGTGAGGTGAGCGACTGCTGTAGGTTCACCTCCTCCCGCTCACTACATCAGACTGTGACGTTTCTGCTATAACAATCATGATCCTCGATTTAGAATGCGCCAGATGTACTCATGGATAACCTTCGTTGGTGTCTGTTGTGTTAGGTAACAGAGTCACAGCTCATCCTGCTTCGGCAAGCCCAGGTCTATGGCTTCACAATGGATTCAGGGTGATCCTCCGACGACGTGGTAGCACCCGCAGAAGGTGTTTGCTATAGTGTAACAACGACATCACGTATCAAAGCTGAGAGACCAAGACAAGTACAAAAAGCGCCGTCAAACACCGATCTCGACTTTGATTTTTCGCGCCAGGGAATCGTTGATATCTTGGCAACATGTCAGTCGCGGCTCTCAAAGTCCGACCCAAGGACCACCTGACTCTTTCCACTCACTCCGAGTCCAGAATCCAGGATCTTGGACATCTCCTTCCGAATTCCGAGGACTTCTGACTGCCGGCCACTCGATTGTGTCTCGGCCACGATTGGGCTTTTATTGCGAGATCAAAGTCAACACCCGAGCACATAATGGTCCCCAGGGATGATCTCTTAGGAGGCCTTGTACTTCAAGCGGTACCTCGCCTGTCCGGCTTCAAGTCAGACAGGACCTGCCAGATGAGCATGATGCAGAACTAGAGGGAAGCTATATGTCTTTGAAAGCGAGTTCCTGGTATACACCGCTGGTACACGCAGTCACTAAGGTAGTGCAAAGCACCTCCCATCCTCCAGTGATTCTTCAGAGGAGTGACCTGAGTGTGAACTGAGGTGTTCTTTCCATTACGAAAATCTTACCGCGGGTCGAAAAGGGGGCAAGAACGCCTCACCGCTCCATGGAGCATTTCACACCTCAGCTTCAAGTGATGTTCTGATATTTAGGGAAATAACTTCCCATAATGGCATCGAACTTTGCGGGCTTGGGTGAGCCTTCCCAGACATCCTCATCTAACAGCAATCCCAATCCCTTTTCCCATGGAATATCCCCTTTTTCTCTTCTCTCCTCTCCTTATCCGAGCTGTATCTGAACTTATCTTCTTCATCAAGTCCGCGATCCCCAAAGCCTTCATTGGTGGCGGCCTGCAACACCTCACAGAACTTGCAGTCAGCCATCCTCGGGTTTACCTCCAGTGTTTGGCTCGCGGCTTTTTAGCTAACTCCTACGCTCCTTACTCGGCTCTTGGCCTGCAAACCGACGTTTTTTTGTCTATTCTCTCATTGTTTAAGACTTGCTTCATTGTAACTTCGAGATGCTGCTATTTCCCACGATCCTTACCGCCGCTCTTGCGGCCACCGGCATGGCGGCTGCTATCCCTAGCCGTGACGACACCACGGCCAACAAAGGCACCGCTTCGCTGCTGCAAGTCCGCAATCCGAGCTTCGAGTTCAGGCATGGTCCCCTTGCGTTGGCCAAAGCATACCAGAAGTTTGGCGCCCCGATGCCGGAGGATCTCAGAGCCGCCATCGCTAGGTTCCGCCAAAACCAGAAGCGAACGACTGGCGCCATTGCAACGGATCCTGAGAAGCACGACGTCGAGTACCTAACGCCCATTTCCGTTGGTACCCCATCGCAGGATCTCATTGTTGATTTCGACACAGGGTCTAGCGACCTCTGGGTCTTCAGCACGGAGATGTCCACGAGTGATATCAAAGGCCAAACTATGTATGATCCGAACAACAGCTCCACATCCGAGAAGGTCCAGGGATCGACTTGGAAGATCACTTACGGTGACGGCAGCTCGTCGAGCGGCGACGTCTACCTCGACACGGTCACGATTGGCAACTTGACTGTCCCTAACCAAGCCGTGGAGGCGGCCAAGAAGGTTTCAGCCGAGTTCACCGACGACTCACACAATGATGGCTTGTTGGGTTTGGGCTTTAGTGCAATCAACACAGTTCAGCCTACCCCACAGAACACATTCTTCGACAACATTAAGGGTATCCTTGACGCTCCTTTGTTTACCGTCGATCTGAAACATGGGGCCCGTAAGCTTGCCTCCCCTGCCCAAGAGCAATTAATGAGAAGAAACTAACAATTTTAACATATAGCGGGCAGCTTCAATTTCGGCTACATTGATCCCGCAGCATATATCGGCAACATCTCTTGGACGCCGGTTGACAGTAGCCAGGGCTTTTGGGGTTTTACCTCCCCAGGATATGCGGTTGGCACTGGAGCGTTCCGCAATCACTCAATGAGTGGTATTGCGGACACCGGGACCACGCTACTGCTTCTGCCCAAGTCTGTCGTCAGTGCATACTATAAGGAGATCCAGGGCGCCCAGTATGACAGTGATCAGGGCGGTTATATTTTCCCTTGCAGCCCTACTCCACCTGACTTTGTCTTTGGCGTCAACAACGGCATTGTTACTGTTCCAGGAGACATGGTCTCGTATGCACCAGCTGATAGTGCCAACCAGAACTGTTTTGGTGGCATTCAAAAGGATACAGGTATCGGTTTTTCGATTTTCGGCGATGTCGCGCTTAAGACCAGCTTTGTCGTGTTTGATGCTGGCGGCTTGCAGCTTGGTTGGGCGGCAAAGAAGCTATGATTCGGGTGGGTGGATATGGCTGGACCATCAGGAAGACTCATTTCCTCTTTGTTGATCAGAAACCTAGAGTTCCCCTTTTTGCTCGAGCATACCTAATTGTAATTTTAGTTGAGTGGCTTTCGTATTACTTCCAGAAGGAGAAAATCCAGAGAAACCACATGAACAATTGCGAGATTCTATTAAGGACAATCGTGCAAGCTTCAGCCTGGACACAATGGAAGAAAGAGACATGTTGAACCATAGGTAACAGAATGATTCCAACTTACGTTGATAATTGTGACAGCGTTCACATGGCAGTATAGTTCCCGGCCACTATGCTGATTGCGACATGCCATTTAACCGAATGCTACGAAGCTATGTAAGGAACCAGCCTGAGACTTGTAAATTTAATCTCCAACATTCAGCCGTGAATTGCTCAAGTTGAAATGAGCTTCTCAAGATGATAGTTTAGATGTTTGATCATAAACATACCTTGGTAGAGTCAAATGATCAGTTGGTGAACTCCTCGTCTTCTGGTCCATTATAGACCGCGTCAACAATAGGTGACTTATAATTTCAGATCACCTCGGATCATGTATGTCCAATTGAGCACCGGGCTCTGATTGACAGTCAACGCGATACAGGTACCATGCGATGATACGGGCAACGGGTCGACCCCAAGTATGGCACGGCCCAGGGGTTCGGCTGGGATTCTTATTTATCAATCCCGTATTACTTGGGAGTTGAGCATATGTGGACAAAACTGTGTTCCGAATACCACACTCAATAGTATGCAGAGGAGGGAGATTAACAGCGAGAAATAGATAGAAAATCCCAACCTCAAAGACATATGAAGATGGGAGACGTTCTCTCTACTTTATAAAGGTGCCCCAACCATCCTCACCCGGGTTTACTATGCTCTTCTACGGCACTGTGGTTCACGGCTCGTGGCTCAATATGTTTGAAATCACAGCCCTTCTGCTGTTTCTTCTAGCAACAACATGCGCAACAGCAGCGCCCAACTGCCCACCTCTCGGCCCGGTCTTCCAAAAGCCGCGAAACTTCAAGTCCAGCGCCGCCATCCGCGCCGCCCTCGCGAACCTGACCGAGACTTTCCAAGCCCGCGACGAAGACAACTCGGCCGCCGTCCGCGCCAACATTACGAGCTACAGCCTCGAGGTGTTCAGCATCAGCGATAGCGACCCCGTCATCTTTGGCTGGCATCACACTGCGCCGGCGCACGCTTCCAGCAATTTCACCAATGGCGGGGCGAAGAAGACGGACGCGGACACGGTCTATCGCCTGGGTAGCTTGACCAAGATCTTTACGGTTTATACGTGGCTGGTGCAGGACGGGGATGCCAAGTGGAATGAGCCGATTACCAAGTACGTACCGGAGCTGGCGAAGGCGGCGGATAAGGCGAAGGATGATCCGGTGGGGAATGTGGTGTGGGGGGAGGTGACGGTGGGGAGTTTGGCTGGACAGCTTTCGGGGGCTGTGAGGGATTGTAAGTGCAGTGATTCTGTAAACAGGAGCAGATGTTTTGAGGATGTCAAGGACTAACAGTAAGGATGGGGTGGGGGCCCCAAAAGATGGCCTTATGGGCGAACTTACGCAGACGGTAGATCAGAATACCGCGGTCCAGCTTGGGTTTCCGGCTCTGAATAGCTCGGATCTCACTTTGCCTAAGTGCGGTGTTTGGCCCCATTGTAACAGGACTGGTAAGTCCTTGGTTCGTTTCGACCGAGAAACGAGAATCTGACCACTCGGCAGAATTCTTCTCCGGCCTTCTCCAAGTCTACCCTTCCTACGCCCCCTTTACCACCCCAGCCTACACCAACACGGGCTTCCAAATCCTCGCCTACGCGCTCGAGTCCATCAAGGGCAAGCCCTTCCAGACGCTCATGGAAGAATCCATCCTCCGCCCGCTCAACCTCTCCAGGACCTTCTATCAGAAGGCCGTTTCCAACCTCGGCATCATCCCCGGCCCCGGCACCTCCTCTGACGCCCAATGGGACTACCAACTGGGCGACGAGAACCCGGCGGGCAACATGTACTCCTCCGACCGGGATATCTCCGCCCTCGGACGCTCCATCATGCGATCCACGCTTCTAGCTCCCGTGCTCACTAACCACTGGCTCAAACCCGCCGCTCTAACCTCCGAACCCAACGCCGGCGTCGGCTATCCCTGGGGCATCCGGCGCATCGTCTTGTCAAGTGTAACCAACGGCAAGCGCGTCGTGGACGCGTACAACAAGGCCGGCCGCATCGGGTACTACAACTCGCTGTTAAACCTGCTCCCCGACTACGGCGTCGGCTTTTCCGTTTTGCTGGCTGGCCCGAACCTGCCCGCCAACGCAAACCTTAACCTCGCCGATGTTTTGGGGGAGCAGCTGTTGCCGGCGCTGGAGGAGGCGGCGAGGGAGCAGGCGCAGGATACCTATGGCGGGAATTCGTCACTGAAAATCACCACGCAGCCCGACCGCCCGGGACTGGGCATCGAAAATTGGGTGTCTAACGGGACGGACATGCAATACATGGCGACCGTGCTGGCGGCGGGGTACGCGCCTGTTATTCCGTCAATCCGTTTATACCCGACGCGGGCTTGGAAACGATGATTCCGGGCGAGATGGATCGCAAGAATGGACGCGCAGCAACACAGGGGAAGAGGGTGGCGTGTAAGGCCGTCTTTGAGGATTTGAATGTCCCAAGCAGGACGCCGCCGAGTATGTTCTCGACGGACTGTGGGAGCTGGGTCAGCTTGACCGGGGTAACGTATGGGAGTATGCCGCTCGATCAGTTCTTTTTTGAGGTGGATGGGAGTGGGAAGGTGCTGAGTATTGAGAATGCGGCGTTGAGAATGGTGATGAGGAAGGGGTGAAGTGAGGAAAGTGGTGGTGAAGGAGGGGGGAATATGTAAAAGGGGTCCGTGGATTCAAAGTGCGGGGCTGGTGGCTTAGCTGGTTTGGAAGACGATCAGACAGAGTTTAAAAAATGATTAGGATGATGAACGCCAGGAGATGGACGGGGATGCTTTGCTCCAGGGAACTTATTGGAGATAGAATGCGCAAGAGGTACAAGGATGGAAACGACAAGAGAGACCAATGCACTTGTTCTGCACTGTTCGACAATGGTCCTAAAAGTAACAACCACATCATGGTAAATGCATATATTTCATACCGACGACAAATGGAGTTGAGAAAACAAAGTCGAGCTCGTTGCGCAAAGCATAATGGCGGTGTTGCGTTGTGTTTTGTTGAGGGATTACGTCACTGTAATTTGTGTTACATGATGCACAGGTTGAACATCAAATATCAACAAACCTTAAAAGGTTGTGTAGTGTAGTGGTTATCACTCTGGATTTTGAAACTTCAAAACTTTCAATTCTTCCAGTAACCCCGGTTCGAACCCGGGCACGACCTCTATTTTTTCAATCTTTTCCTCTTTTTGTCCCAACCACTCATCTTGCCAGCGTCGGCGACCGGCGTTTCCTTTAGCTTCCGATGACTTCGATGCCGTACATGCCAAGCCATAGGGTATCCGTATGATGACATGGCGTGAACCCCACTTGGCTCCTTTTTGCGCTGGAGCTTCAGCTACGGCATCGATCTCCAAGCTGCGGACATTGAAGTATAAAGGAGGGGTGCTCTTATACGCTTCTGTCAACATCTCATTCCAACTTCAAATCGGACCTTATCCGTTCAATCGGGTATGGTGTAGCGGTAACATCGTTGACTCTCACTTCTCAGGAGTGACTGCTCTCTCAACAGCCCCGGGTTCGACTCCCGGTATCCGAGTCTCAAACAATTTTTTTTCGACCTTTTTCTTTTTGGCAACCGTTTCAACATCATCCATCTTCTTATTGTTTATAGTCAAATGACAAGACTGAATGGCCGGGTCGTTGTCTCATTATTCATTATCAAACAAAACCTATCCATCAACTTTTCCCTTTCTCCTCTTCCCCTTCTTTTTTCCTCCTCTATCTCTTACACAAACACCCCAAAATCATTGACTTCCCTCCCTCGTAACCGAGCATGAATGCTTATTTGTCCTTGATCACCTGCGTCAATCGTCCGTACCACCCACATCGTTCGCCTTTTGACTTTTCGCCATGAACCAAAATCTATACCACAGTGTTTGTCAGCAACTCTTTCTTGAGAATCATCAAGATCCAAACCAGGGACCATTCAAAGACTTACCCTCGATCGTACTCCTCAAAGGAACCGGATCAGTCGTTGACCTCGGTATCCCCGTCGTCGTCGTTGGCATCGCTGTCGGTGGTGGTTCCGCTCTCCCCCTCTTATTATGCTGGTTCGCAGTAGCCAGGTAATAACTCTCGGGCTCATCCGTCATTTCCAAGTACGAGGCTGGGTTCTCCGACCAAAACGAGAGGCGCGCTGCTGCTGTTTGGAATTGGCTCTGGAATTGGGTGTGAGGTGCGGTAAGATGCTGATGATATGGGGGCATCACGGGAATGAGCGTCGGCTCAACGGTGGGCGGAGGAGGAGTGGGTGGTGGATCTTCCCAGTAAGGTGGGTTTCGGTCTAGGTTATTGTCGTTGTTGGTTGGTGAAGAAGAGTGTTGTCTTTCCCTTTCGCAGCTGGGGGACTTGCTTGCGGAGGTTGGTGACAATGTTCGTGATTGTGGTTCTTGCCCTGTTGCGGCCTTCTCGGTGATGCTATCAGCCCAGATGCGCGATTCCATCTCGTTCCACCTGCTGATCGCCGTGCCGATAATGAGCTTCTCTAGATCCGTTGTTCCCTCGAGTTTGATTCCCAATTTGCTGGATCCCAAGAAAACAAGATCTTGGGCGACCATGCGGACCAGTTGGTTCTTGGTGGACAGCCATAGTGTTGGACTCTGCTGGTACTCGGGGCTGAGGAGATTTGATGGGACAGTCGATGACGACCAGAAGTCGCAGGAAGTGGTGGTATGCAATGGTGAATGTCCCATGTCCAGAACAGCTCCGAGCACCAGATGGAAGAGGACCTGGCAAGATTCTGGGGAACAATTAGAGAAATATTGGGGGGTGAGGATGCCATCGAGCCTCCTGATCAGATGAGATCGGGACTCGTGGCACGCGCAATGCTCGTGCTTTTGGCGTGGCTTGCTCTTGTTGCTGTTCCTCCGTCCGTGGTGTGCTAGAGAGACTGCCAGTACGAAGCGGCGGAACTCGGGGATGAGGTCGTTGCCTCTGGATTCGTCTGGGAACCGGATAGACAGAAGACTGGAGCAGCAGAGGCCAATGATGTGGCCGCTGGGGAGGTTGGAGTCGGGGTCTTTGAGCCATGAGACCAGGGCCCGGTTGAAGGTGGCCTGATCAGACTGGAGGGAGAAGTTGGCGGAAGCTGCTATCCGGGAGAGCAGGCCGCTCGTCCTCGATACGAAGGCGTCGAGTTGCATGTTACTGAATTCGGAAGGATGGTTGATATTGATGATGTTGTCCTCGGCACGCAGGATGGATGGTAGACTGGGCGAAAGAGAAGTTTCGTGGTTGGGACACTTGGCTTATATGAGCTCATGGTTCAAGATCAGGTGGGGCGAGAGATGGGTAAGGGAAGTAGAAGAGGGAAGAAAGACTAGGCTGGGCTCGGTAGGTATGTATAAGCCATACCTGGATGGTGTGAAGTACTTGATACTTGGAGAAAGCGCTTTGACGTCGAAGAACCTCTTCGTCCTCCCGTGATTCTTGGGGTGTGGAGCCAAGTCTAGACCACTGGTGACATACAGACTGGTCAGTTGCCCGGAAGCAGTGAATAGACCGAACTGGGAAAGGTAGATCTGGTTTGAAGCGCCTTTGATCGTTCATGACGCCCGGCATTTATGAATGTGGCTGCCGTGGGTACTTGAACAAGAAGCGGTGGCGGCAGGACTAGTGTGCCTTTGTGAGCACACTAGAGGGCGACGGGAGAGAAACACAGCTCAAGGCAACTTTCAATGGTCTGTGAATCTTGGTAGCATAACCGGTTAGAGATGGTGGATCGGGATGGGATCGTGGCGAGCGTGGATATGAAAGGGGCAGCTGGCTATCAAACTCTAAACAGGACCCGGGCTGGGGACTAAGACTAGTAGGGACTGGGGATTATGAGGCGATATCATGCATGACCAGAACAGCGCTCACATGTTTTGGTCAAGGATTTCAGGTTGGTAGTAACATGTATAATAGCCTGGATTATTGCCAAATACAGAGCGGATGCCGGTAGTTTGGACAAAGCAGCAGACAGAGGCTGGCTGAGAAGAGGAGTCGGGTGGCACACGCTGCTTGAGATTTGAACCACAAGCACGACCGAGAGTTCCGTATCTGGTTAGCTCTTATAGGAAATGGCTTTCATGCTGGAAGAAGGGCATGATCCAGGGATGATGGGTCGATATCAGAATAGAATAGTGGTGGAATGGAAGACCGAAAAGGTTGGATCCATTGAGACAAATCATGCCCGGTTCTCGCTGTTGTCCAACTGTGGAGAGAGAGAGAGTCACGGTGTGTCGAGCCTGTAGGGTGCCGAGACACATCGGAGCCGGGCAACGTTCAGTTAACGGCAAACCAGGCGTTCGGGCCAGGGGAGCAGGGTTGCCGAATTTCGTCATGGGGTCCAGGAGAATGAGGGGACTGGTGTGGTCAAAGTGAAAGGATTCATAGCCACATCGCCATCGTAAGCAGTGAGGAGCAATAAAACAGGCGGAGACCACGCCACCGCAGAGCCGATGGCTTCAGCATCCTTCTGCTAGTATTGGTGTAGTGTAGTGTACAACCATGAGGAGACGAGGTCCGTCCGGGAAAGACAGGACCTGAAAGATGGGTTTTCTCGCGTATCGTCAAGTCTAGCTTGGTTCCTCTTGGGTTGGGTTCCACTCGCTTTTGCCTCGCTTCCACCGTTCCGCGCCCTTGTTGGCAAGTATCGCCGCCGTATTCCGCAGTCGGTGTCGGTTGGGGAGTTGTTGGGACCTTTGGGCGAGACACAGTGTCGAATTCTGGAAGTTCATTGTGAAGAAAACTTGAAGTGAGGTGAAGGATGTCTAGGATGCCAGAATATCCCCGCGGGCCCATGCTGGATGGAGCAAAAAAGGTCGCTGATCAGGGTTCTCACCGGTACCATCGTAATGAGGGCTGGCAAGGTTGGCTCGTGGCCCATGGGTTGCTGTATCAAAATGGACTGGCGGCCGCGGCCTCTCAGTGGTTCTTTCAGAGACACACCTCCTGCCAAGCCTTCCACTTGACCTAGACCAGACTGCCCGTATCCACTCGCGAGCCACTGCACTGCAGCGCTAGCAACCCAATCAGGGACGTGGGGCCAGCCATGGCAAGCTGAAGGCTCCCGCGGCTGCGCACCAGGCCAGCTGAAAACACTGGAACTTGGCTCCCGATCTGGAAACCCAATCTGAACCTTGCAACTCCACCATCCCGGCCGACTCCTGCCTGCGACAAGCTGCCCTGCACCGCAACTCAACTGCCTCCTCCATCACGCTCCATCATTCCATGCCATCATGTTCCCTGCTAGCCAGCCAGTCCGTTTCGACCTTCCATCCATCCATCCATCCATCTAACCAGAAGAAATGAACAAGCCGAGCCATCATCGTCCATCCCACCGACCCCGCCTTGCCGATCCCTGACGAGCTTGTTTGGTTGAGCCGCATGCGCACAGTTCTCCCGCCCTTCCATCGAGTCCAACTGTCCAACAAAAGTCGTTGTCCTGCTGTTCCAGATTGACGTGGCACTGACAGCAGCAGCTCGTACTTTTTCGTCCGACCGACGGGATCCACGAGCCATCTACACTTGACCATGCCGCGCTGGATTGGATCTACAGACTGCCAACTCGTCCATCGACGAAGCTCTGCGACGGGTACCCGGCGCCGTGTGATGACGGCATTCACCACGTCTACACCAATTGTCTGGACCGGACAGGCGGCGCCAAGCACATTCTTCAGCTTCCTTTGACGATGACTTGTCGCATATCAGAACCCTCATTGTTGGTTGTTGCTGCCGGCTTCAAGCACACAACGAAGCTGGTTGGAATGTTGGGAGCATCAGCAGGCACACTGCAATGGCCACATGGAAGCGTGTCGAGCGAGGTGTGTGTGCGTGCTATGGGACGGCGGCCCAAGATTCGGCATACTGATCGGGGTGAACCCCACGGGCCGCGACAGAGGGAAGACGCGTTATCTTGTTACACGGCATCAACAATCACTATAGCATCCTCTACATACTGCGCAGGCTTCGTGCCTGGATATCAGTGCTACATCAGGTCAAGATTTCCTGATAACAGCCCAGCTGACCACGAGCACAGCATACTGCCCCAGGTCATCCGCCGAGAACATTGAAAGCCTTGACCAATGGCAACTGCTCATATTGTCTTTCCCGCGGGTGGCTTTCCGGACGTCCTCACTCGGCGTCATCAACTCGGCCTTGGAGATGCGTGTCCTCTGGGCTGGCATGGTTGGGGAGATTCAGACCTAAAACGATATGCACGGCTTCCCGACGCCTCAATCACTTCCTTGCACGCCTTCATGCTCTGCACGATGTGTTCAGAAGGCCAGAACGCTCTTGGGGGGGGGGGGGGGGCTCCTCGTTCTAGACTTCTTGTTGACACGTGCACAAAGTGCTCCATCTTTCTATTCAAGCAATTCCTCAGACATCGCTCCGAATACTGTACTGAGCATTATTAGCTTTCACTGCGTTACAGGCGCCGAGTGCATCTATTGTCGGAAGCTTCAGGAGCCTCAAGAGCTCCAGGGACCTCCCTGGAATTGTCATATCTGACGAGCTCCCCTTGTTAAGCTAGCGCAGGCCATCCGCTTTCAACCTTGTTCCGCGGGAAACCTCGGCAAGGCCCGTTCCAGAGGCTCTTTCCCTTGCCAGTGTTCGCTTCTTATGCGCCTGAGAGATGGGCTGACCATCGACGTCACTTGGATCACTGATGTACTCTCGTGGATTCTTCCTCCGCCTTGGGATCCTTGTCTTCACACAAACAGCTCAAAGTCAAGGATGGAGATAGCTTGACTCTCCGCAGCTTGCTTGGCCGAGTTGACTGGATTGTGGCGAGCGAAGACCGACAGCACATTGTCGTACTCCAGCCTGGCTGAATCCACCAACGGCTCTCCGCCAAGGCCATCTCCTTTCCAAACTTCTCGGTAATCGGCAAATTCACTAGCTTTGGAGGCCCTCAGGATCCGCATACTCTTCGTGGTCGAGTCTGGAAGGATTGCGTACAAGTCGCCTGTTTTGCTGATGGCTAGTTGACCACGCTTGCTGCCGTCGGTGATGACTTGCAGTGCCCGCTGCGTCCACGTCCCTAGTCACCGTCAATCGGCTTCTCCAGCTAGATGAGAACCGTAGCACGGCGGTAACTTACCATCTGGCGACCGGTAATAATGTTTCCACAGGTACGCCCCCCCTTCATTCATCATATCTCTGTTCAATACGTGCACACCCCCTTCTTGGTCAACTGCTTGTGCTTCTTGGTTCATCAGGCCCTTCCCCTTGGGTACGTCAAAGGCAGCGATCCCACTGCAGTCATTTTTAATGGTGCGCTCGCTTCCCCGTACACCGGTCGGAAACTTGGCGGGATCCCTCAAGTCGGCAATCACTTCACCGCAGCCGTTTTTCCACACATATCCGTCGGCATCGCTATAGGCATAACAAATGTTATGGTTGTTTTCGGCCCCGTTAGGCCCCGCCTGCTGCTTGTGTTTGGTATCGAGCGGATCGTCCCAGCCCGGATATTCCACAAATCCTCGATATACCCAAGTGACGTAGAGGACCCCGTCGCGGGAGGTCATCCCGTTGACGTACGGACTGCTCTGGACGCCTGTCAGGTAGGGGCCGATGTATTCATAGCGACCGTCTTTGCCGCTGTAGGTGTAGAGATGATCGTTGCCGAGCCCCGCCTTGCCGTCACGGTGGGAGAAGAACATGTTCTCGCCGAGGAAGCCAAACCGGGGGTATGTCACGTCACGGAGCGGCTTGTGGGTAGATAGGATTCCCGGGAGGCAGTCAAGAGTGGCCGAGAAGATGTCTGGACGCCAACTGATGGTACGGGGCTGAGTGGCTACGTGCCGCTTTGAGTAGCGGTATCGAAGACTGCTCGATAATTGTGTTGGCGGGCGTAAACATATCAACAGTAGGTTAGAGAAAGGAGGGAGACGCAACTCACATGTCACAGTGGTGATCGAATGCCAGATGGATTGTTCCATCACCCGGGCAAATTCCAAGCGAAATGGTGTTATGACCATCGTCAACGGTTTGCTTGTAGTCACGCAGCTCGAGGACTTCCCACCCGTAGGCAGCTTTTTTGTTGACTTGGTCTTCGTTGCTCAGGACAGGCATGCCCGAACGGGGTCGTAAAAGCCTTCTGGCTACGCAAAGATACAGTGTGTCGCCATCGTCTGGCCCGGCGTTGGACCAGTATGCTACGTATTGATAGCCCTTGAAGGTGACTATGGCGTCTTGCTGGAACGCGTAGGCGTTGAGTTTGTGTTTGCGACCTGGGGTGGCAGATCGACATCCCAAGTTCGTGACGACGGGTTGAGGCAGCTGCACGTGTGCGGTGTCGATGTTCTGGTGCCTCAACTTCGGCATTGGATCGCTGGGAGACATCTCGCACAGAAAGATGACGGTCACTACTGGAAAATGAGATCCCAATACACCGTGTTATGGAGAGTTTATGGGAGGTAAGGTGAAGAGGAGAGCATCTTAGGCAGTCGGGTGCTACTTTGATCAGGATACTTCATGTTCTACAGTGCCTTGTACATCCGGCCGATACTTTCACCTTAGACGAACTGACATTCTCTACGGAAACCCTTCTGGCCAACCATCGCACAAACATCATCGAACATGATCTGATAGCATTTAGATATTCAGGCTCACCAAGTCGAGACTCCCGAGCTAAACGCATCCCAACGTTGCATTTGGCTCTCACTTCACCTACATAAGATGTCTTTCTTGAACCTCCAGCATACGGTATCAAACCGGGTCCAATAGTACCGTCTCCTGATTTGTGGATGATTATCTTTCCGGCCAATCCTCCTCGCCTTTTGCACATCAGTCCTGGAAAGTTCGTTAGCTCGGTACTTACAGGGGTCTTGAGTGGAAACAGGGCGGAAGACAGAGTGCCTGTGAATGGTCTGTAACTTTACCGATTATAGAAGGTGAGGAGGGGAGGCTCTACATAGTAGGTGACTTTGGCAGTTCAACTCTTTCTCTCCTTAGAGGCAATATCAATGGATTTCACCTAATCAGATCGCATGTATAGCTGTACCATTCCCTTTCCCTTTATCATTCCCCTGTAAGAAGATAGTGGGGCGCGTATTATACAAGCAAACTAGAGGTACCATGTAAAAGGACTGATGTTTACCCTTACCCCAATCCCTACCTGACTATGCAGATATTCGATAGGTACTCTAACACTCAAACCGCACTTGGAAATTACCAGGTCACCAGGTGTGTCGCGAACCGCTTTGACAGTGTGACAGAGGCGAACACAATTCGCACTCATTTAGGCGGTTGTAGTTAGGTGTTGGCGATGGCGATGAGGCTTGAATTGGGTTCTGGAAGCCCTTTCCCTCTCAACCGTCCCCGAAACTCCCTACCTAACCGTCTATGTACCTAGCGCGGATTTACCCCGGAGAAATAAAGAGACCAAACTAGGGAGTGTGCTACCCTAACTCCTCATTCACTTATCCCCGCGCCGACGCCGTGATCATTATCGCCATGCCGTTCGGTGGAACAACTGGCCTCCGGAGAAATACGAATTTACGTTTCTTTGGTATGCTATTCTTCGACAATGACGGGTTCTATGGATTACAAACTATGTAGCTGAACATATCGCCTGGTGCCGGTGGTTCCATTCTTCGTCTGTTCTGATTCTGGCTCGAGGTTGATGTTATAGACCAAACACAACCTAAAATACCTACATATTGAGCTATCACGATAGTCTCTGAATTCCAGTTCAACTAAAAAAGACTCTCACAACCTCGGCCTGGCTCTTCAGATCCGACTTGCAGCTTTTGCTTTACGACTCTACGAGAGATCCATGCCTCGGGTTGTTAGGTCGTGGTTGATTCCACCGCTCCCTAACGTCGCTGGCGGGATGTGGGGTACACCCTCGGCCCCATAAAACCCCATTCCCTTCTTCTCCTCAGCAGCCAGGTTTCACATACAGCGGACCCGCAGTGGATTCGACTCGCGCTTCCCCCAAGCCTCAGCTTTCCCCCCATTTCCCGGGCCGTATCCCCAGAGTCCACCTTGTGGAGTTGGCAACAGGAACCCGGGCACGACGGCATCAAGGCGACATCGACAAGCACGGGTTTCACTCTGGCGATTTTCCCGTTCTCGATAACTCATAGTTGCAATATCTCTGATTTTCACACAGCTTCGGCCTCGATATCCCCCAGTCCTCCTCCTCCACCACCACCACCTCCTCCATCGTCCATGCGAAGGACCAGCATTTGGTCTTCTCCGCACTTTATCGATGTCCATTTGACTCCATGAACGACATGGGACCAATAGGCTAATACCAAGCTTTGAGCTTAGCATGCTTACCCCGTGCTTGGCACGTGGAACACCGTGACCAGAGATGCTCATCCAGACATCCCGGGGCCGTTGGTTTGTTCACGTCTTCTGATTGGCGGGGCCTTCTACCTTACACGACATGCATTGTCGGGATTCTGAGGGGAGGAGGACAAAGGGACAAGGGGGGAAAGAAGGCTACTCCACGGGGATCTGAGGAAACATGGAGGCTTGGGTATGGCGGCGGCGACAGTATGCAACACGGTCTGACGACCTCTTGAAGCCACTCGGAAGAAGAGGCCGAGCCCAGATCTCCAGCCTCCAGCCTCTGTCCTTCATTCCCTTCATCTTTCTAATGGTACTTGCTATTGCTTACTCCGGGACTGTTTGCCCCGTGCAATTATTCCCTAACAGATTGCTACAGAAGCGTTCAACAAGATATACCAAGTACAAATGTGCCCACTGCTAACATATGCCAGATAAGATGGTAGCAAATACGACACTCTTTCTTCAATGTCCTCACAGGCAAGGCAAGAGACGACAAAAAGGGAGGAGCCAGTTGCAGTGCAACGTCCCCCTCCCCTTGGTGGAAAAAATGCCACCGGTAGTGGGTGAACAGGGGAGGGGGCCAATCTTTTGCCCAGTTGGAAGAAAGGCACACTCTAGCTCCAACTCTGTTACCCTTTAGATGCCATATCTTGTACTCGCAGAAAGGGAAACGGGCCGGAGTCCATCCATGCTTCTCCAAACCATGACTCCAATCAGGCCCGGTAAAGAGCAGCGAGAGCATGTGCAGAGGCGTACAGTGTATCCATCTTGTGCGATACAAGCGAGCAAACTAACTATTGTGACAAGAGAACTTCGGGGCCGCGGCATCATGAATCTGGAGTATGGGGTAGCGTATCTCACTAAGCCTACACAGTCAAGCCGTCAAATCGCTAAGAAAGTGAGACTTACAGGTTGACCTTGCATGGGGTGTTCAAGAACTGGCCGAACTGGTGTTGCACCGCTTTGCTCCAAGACACACAGGAACTACATAAGGGTTCCGGACACCGTCACCGTCACTCTCTACTTGCTATTATATTACCCGGGGGCTGGACGACACTCTTTATTCTCGTGAGCGTTTCCCTCTTACATCTCATCCAACAACTTTCCTAGGTACCAACGACTCGGCTCCGAATCAAGAGATTACACCCTTTGGAGAAAACTTCTCACTTATCGGTTAACATCTAGCCGGGGTCAAAGAGGCCTCGAAGGCTGTTCATCACCTCACCCCAGACACAAAAAAGGCCATCTTATACGAGAGAGTGCGACCTTACCAAGCCGTCAAGATGGGTCTTTCGATAGGAAATAGGATCCTCCGGAAAATTGTCAAAAATGAGGCCATGGCAGAAGACCCCCCAGAGATCTATGGCTGGCGTGTCTATCTCCTAGCGTGCTCTGTGAGTTCCTTTTCCTCAAACAGTATGACTCTAAAGGATCTTTTCCTGCTAATCTTTACATCTCCATGACAGGCCTGCTTCGGCGCCATGTCTTTCGGCTGGGATTCCTCCGTCATCGGCGGCGTCATCGAGCTCGAACCCTTCAAACACGACTTTGGCTTCATCGGCAACGATAAAGCCAAGGCCAACCTGGGCGCCAATATCGTCTCTACCCTCCAAGCCGGCTGCTTCCTCGGTGCGCTGATCGCCTCACCTATAACCGATCGCTTCGGCCGCAAGTGGTGTCTCGTCGCTGTCTCCCTGGTCGTCATCATCGGTATCATCATGCAAGCCGCCGCCTCAGGCAACCTCGCACCCATGTACATAGGCCGTTTCGTCGCCGGTGTGGGCGTCGGCGCCGCCAGCTGCATCAACCCCGTCTTTGTGTCTGAGAACGCTCCCCGCTCGATCCGCGGTCTGTTGACGGGCCTCTACCAACTCTTCATTGTCACCGGCGGCATGATCGCATTCTGGATCAACTACTCCGTCTCTCTGCACTTCAAGGGCAAATCCATGTACATCTTCCCGCTCGCCATCCAAGGTCTTCCCGCCGGCCTTTTGTGCGTCTGCATGCTCCTCTGCCACGAAAGCCCGCGCTGGCTGGCCCGTCGTGACCGATGGGAAGAATGCAAGTCTGTGCTGGCGCGCATCCGCAACCTCTCCCCAGACCACCCGTACGTCGTCGACGAGTTCCGCGAGATCCAGGACCAGCTCGAACAGGAGCGTCGTCTCCAGGGCGACGCCACTTACTGGGACTTGACCCGCGATATGTGGACCGTCGCCGGCAACCGCAAGCGCGCCCTGATTAGTATTTTCTTGATGATCTGCCAGCAAATGACGGGCACCAACGCCATTAACACGTATGCGCCTACCATCTTCAAGAACTTGGGTATCACCGGCACGTCGACTAGCTTGTTCAGTACCGGCATCTATGGTATTGTCAAGGTCGTTAGCTGCGTCATTTTCTTGCTGTTCTTGGCCGACTCGCTGGGTCGTAGACGTTCGCTGCTGTGGACGTCGATTGCGCAGGGTCTTGCCATGTTTTATATCGGCCTTTATGTCCGCATCTCGCCGCCGATCGATGGCCAGCCGGTGCCGCCTGCGGGTTATGTAGCGTTGGTGTGCATCTTTTTGTTTGCTGCGTAAGTTTTTTTTTTTTACTCCATCTAAACCCTTTTCTTCCCTTTGCTTCTACTTCCTTTCCCCCATGCCCGTTATTTGTACGCTACTAAACGTTGTACCACACAACAGTTTCTTCCAATTTGGCTGGGGCCCTGCCTGCTGGATCTACGCCTCGGAAATCCCCGCCGCCCGCCTGCGCTCCCTCAACGTGTCCTACGCCGCCGCGACGCAGTGGCTGTTCAATTTCGTCGTGGCTCGCGCCGTGCCTACTATGCTGGTCACGGTCGGCCCCCACGGTTACGGCACCTACCTCATCTTTGGCAGCTTCTGCCTCAGCATGTTTGTTTTTGTCTGGTTCTTCGTGCCCGAGACAAAGGGTATCTCGCTTGAGCACATGGATGAGCTGTTTGGCGTTACTGATGGGCCTGCCGCTGAGAAGTCGTCGGTGCAAGGTGGAGATGATGTCGGGTCGGAGATGGGGAAGGGGGATCAGAAGTCGAAGCATGTGGAGGTTTATGTTTAAGTCCTTGTTTTTTTTTTTGTTTTTTGTTTTCTTTGAGTATGAGAAGGGCCAGGAAAAGAAGAGATGTTTTGATGGCTTCTCGATTCAGGAGACAAAGGAAGATACAGTCGCGCTCGTCCCCTAGTATGGGATAGATGAATGAATGAAGATATCTTCTCGCGATTATACAGGGGATTATGGCGCCAGGTTAGTAGTCATGGAGCCTGCTCTATACTTAACGGTTAATACTTGTAAACGCCAACATTCACAACATGTGTTGACGTTCAAGACGTATTAACCAAACCTAAACAGTGATCCAGATGCCTGGAAAAAAACTACTTTCGGCGGGTTCCATGACGCTGTTGAATGAGATGGTGTACTTCTTGCTGCGAATCCACATGAAATAGGTAACCTCTTCACTTCACTGGCCCGAATACCGCACACTGACTACACCATTATTATATTCACATACTCTTCCAAACCTATTCCTTCTTCGATGCAATGCAATCCTAATCTACCTAGGTTACTTGTTTTTTGTTTTTTTTTCTTCCGAGACCATCAAGACATCGGCCGTTCAGTTGCCTCTACAAGGAAGTCGTGCGTCAGGAATACAGCACCCGCGTTCATCTCCTTCCAGGGTTCCGCCGCATTGGTAACACTCCAGTCGAAATTTCGCATCAACTGTCATGATGTTAGCAAGCATCGTATCAAAGTGTTGAGAATGAATGTGTCCAAAGGTAAGTAACCTCAACATACCTCAAAAATAGTCTTTCCAATCTCCATCAGCGCAATTGGCTTTCCGAGGCACTGGTACTTTCCATAACTAAAAAGCATCTCGTGGGCCAGGTTCATCTGGGCCAGCTTCTTAGGGTCCTCCTCATTCAGCCACCTCTCAGGCCGGTAGCAATCGGCATCCCCTCCAAAAATCTTCTGGTCCCTGTTCAGTCCCCAGACACAGTAGCCAATATTGGTACCGCCAGGAAGATAGACCGTCTTACCCTCCACTGTCACGGTATCTCCCTCAGGCGGCACCTTCTTCTGGGAAGAGTTGGTCACCGGAGGGTGCATCCGCATGCCCTCCTTGCAGCATGCCCACAGATAAGGAAGTTGCCTTTGCGTGGCATTGGAAACAACACTCGGGTACGGCGGCGCTCGTCCATCTTTAACCGCGGCATCTACCTCGGCCTGAAGTTTGGCATAGACACGCGGGTTAGTAACGAGGTACAGCATGATGCATCGCATGGAAGTGGCAGCGGTCTCGGCACCGGCAAGGAGCTGGAGAATGGACTCAGTAACGAGTTGTTCTTTGTCCAAGCCATGCCGGAACCACGAGGCGAGCATGTCGCTCCCCTTGGTCATGCCGGGGTCGTCCTCAAGACGTTTAGAGATGATTTTGCGAGTGTTGGCCGTCATCGCTCCGAAGCCGGTCTTTGCTTTGTCCGATGGTCCCAAGAGATGCATGAGTGGCGTACCGAGTACGAGCTCTGTCAGTCCGAGGCCCCACAGATACATGATTGCGTTCATGCCCTGGTCGGCGTGCTTGATGTAGCCATTCACATCTTGATCTGAAAGAAGCATCCCAAACGGCTCGCCAAATCCAATATGGCTGATGACATCGAGGGCGAGGTACTGAGCTTTCTGTGCGAGATCGAATGGGTTTGTCTTGATCTCGGTCGAGCAGTACTTGGTCCGAATTAGTTGGACAAGTTCTGCAACGTGAATATCTACCGAACTCTCGAGCTCACGGTTTTCCTTGCCAGAATACTGTAACGTGACCAAGTGGCGTTAGCGATCAAGCTCACGAATTCTTTGCCTGCAAAGGGGTTCTCACCCCGCCAGCCATCTGAGCTCTACGCTTGGTGTGTATGTTATCGTCGAGCTCGCTTAAAATGTTGTCGCTGTTCGGTTGGAAGCGGGCGGCAATGTAGAACCATCTGGTTCGCGTGTATCTGTTTCTCGCTCCATTGATGTGTGCCAGCAACTCAAGAGATGTAGTCATCAGCTCGTTGGGTCCAATGCGAGCAATGGGTCCTGTTGAAAGTCAGTCGGTGTATGCGAAAGTTACCGGGCTCAAGCGTCGTCTACTTACCGTATTTATCCGTGGCCTCCTTGAACTTCAAGTGTGGATTTCCAGAAAGGTAGGCAAGGCCATGCCAAATCTCGAACCAGCCAGTGCCGAAGGGTCCTTTGAAATGGCGCAACCGGTAATATTGCTTGATCTTGAGGACCGCCCAAATTGCGAGCACAACCGAAGCGAGGAGCCATCGTGCCTCATAGATGAGAGTGGCTGCGCCCATGGTGAGACACAAGTCCTGTCGATGAAAGTAGCCAAGCTTGGTCAACAGTTGTAGTGATATTGAGAACTACCGCTAAGGAACACTGTCTTTCTTATAGCATCGGAAGTGCTTCTTCACCACGTCGAATCCAACTTTTCTCGCTTACTAGTCGACTGGTATTTTCTTTACGAATCCCAGCCCTTTTCGCACGCCCTTCGGCACCATGCCTATGGTGGCATCAATGTTACCGTGCCGTTGGTTGGAAAGGGAGTATCATGATCTGAAGCCTCTATCAGCAAGTTAGTAATGCAACTCACAATGGCGTAGCTTTGTCCACTTATCATATGCGGTACTGATAGTCACGGCGGCCATGACAGTGATATAGCTGAATCTTGATTTCTTACCTCAGACTCTCTGCTTGGTCGGTCTTACTGTCCACTCGGCCTCTGAGACATTTTCCGCGGCGCCGCTGGAATGCCACCCTAGAGTCTCGTCGTGGGGACCTAAGCTTGTATTCAGTTTCATATGGAAATCAACATGTTCTGAAGCCTTTTTCAATTTTGGGTCTAGATATCTCTGAGCCTTGGCCGGCAGTGGTAGTTGCCATGTAAAAGAGGGGGTGAGGGCAGGGAGTAAGTCTGGGTGCGTATGCTATGCGGGGTCCTTTGCAGCTATCTTCTTAACGTTCCCACACTCAATCGCCTGTGCAGTCTTGGCAAGAGGTGTGTGTGCGTGCACACACACACACACACCGCACTTCTGTATTGTACAACTTCGTTAAAATTCATCATTTCACAATAATTTCTATATTAATTTAAAGCTATTTCAACATATAAAATAATTACAACACCAATAATCAATCAAATCCATCGCAATAATACCTCCCAAAACAATCCTTAATTCAAAGTCCGCCGGCGTAAAGCGATCCTATATTCGAAGTGGCGCGCTAATAGTCTACTTCAACAAAGATTAAAATTAGGAAGATCCCAGCTTAATAATTCTACAATACGCTTTATCCCGCCCTAAAAAGAAGAGCCGTAAAACTAAATAATCTATTAAAATCATCCCTAAAACTACTCTACCTAAAAAGAAAGCTACTCCTATCAAAACCGCTATCAAGACTACTATTAAGAAAACCGCCGTTAAAACCGCTATTAAAAAAGGGAAAACTACCGCACTAAAGCTAAAGCTAATCCCAATCCCAATCCTAGAACCGCCGTCGTCCCCCCCTAAACCCGTAATACCTATTAAAATTTCTAATAATAAAGAGAATTTTAATAATAATAACGAAGTCGAATAATAATTCCCTATCCGCCTCACCCCTAAGAAGTAGGCTCTTAATACCTTATTTTATCTATCGGGCAACGACAATAGCAAAGTAACCTCCCTAACTAAATTAATTACCTTAGTACTACTAGCTTAGCCCCGTACTACCTATAAACCGATTACTATAATACCGCCGCCACTACGTCCCAAATACCCCTACTCAATATAAGTCCAATTTAATATAATTAATTCATATATTACCGCCAACCGTACTAAATTACCCGCTATCGAAGAATATAATTTATTTAAAGAGATTAAGGTTAAGTAAAATAATAGCGAATTCTATAAGTAGCGGTTTAGGACGATACTACTTAGCGAAATCCTATATATATAGTAAAATTATATAGAAGATATTATTAGCGATAATATAACCGTAAGGATAAAGTAATTAATTTCTTTATATAATATTATATATACTACCGCTACCTATAATAACCGTCGCGCCCGGATTATTATATATAATAAAACTATTCCTAAGAAGGATTTTTATAACGAATATAATAATATTAAATATAAAACCGTTATAAAATTATACTTCCACTATATTGGCTAATACTATTATTTTACTATATTATTTAAATTTCGGTTAATTAACCTATCCGCTAATAAAATCCCTACTGTAACAGCACGATTCTGGGCACAGGCAGAGCTGGGCCAAAGAAGCCGATTTGAATAAGTCAATAAAGCTAAAGAGTAAGAAGGAGAGAGGGCCGAAGGCCGGCAGAGATGGGGTGCCTTATATGGGCGGTTTCTGCCGGTCGTGCCCGCTTTATCAAATTAGCATGTAAATAGCCAACCTGTTAGATAAGCGATTAGAGTAGGCACCCTTCCAGGCATGGCGCCTCTGGGCATGGCACCCGCCAGTGCCATGACATTACCCCCCCCCCACAAAAAAGGCTCAGCCCCAGAGCCGTGAAGTAAATGCTAAAAGTACAAAATAATGACCCAAGTTGGGTTCGAACCTACGACCGCTTCCTAGGCAAAGGATAGATACCCTTAAGGTGGAGTCTAGTATAAATTGTGGGCTGTCACCTCCATACTGCTGCGCTAAACCGCCAATACTACGTATCGCTTTTTATTGTTTTTTTGCGTCCTATCTTTCCTTTAATAATTCCTCTATTATCTTTTCCTATTTCTTCTATATTAATTTATTTAACCGCTTTATCGCTAACCCCTTCTTTCCGCTATCTATTAATTTATTATTATTATTATAATTTTCTTATAGTAGGTCCTCTAGTTAGTTACGTTCCTAAAGGTCTAATTGCGATAGTGGACTAAGTTTATCGGGGTTATTACAATAGAATTTACGTAGTAATATTGGCGAATTTTTAAAATTGCTAGTAAGATACTACTCGGGGTTGGGGTCCTAGCCCTTCTATTCTACTTAGTATTATAGCTTCCTATAATTCAATTTGGCCATTAGTACTCTAAATACCTCCTATTCTTCTTAATCGCCTATTATCTCGCTTGCTAGGTTTCTATTAGTTTATTCCGGTAATAGGTTATTATAGTCCTATTTTAGCCGATTTGTATAATATACTTGAGCGCCTTTCTATAACCTTAGCAGATTTAATTTATAAGAGTAGTTGCGTAAAGCTTTAATTGGATACGGGATTTGCGTTAGGGGATGGTCAAGTTTGTCGCTAAACCTATCCGTTGACTATCCTCGCTTAATAATGAATATTTTATTACCTATGTTAAAATCTAGTTCTTTTTTTAAACGGTTGGCTTGTTCCGTTTGTTTGGTTTAAGCTTTTTTAATTATAGCCTTTATAAGATCCTGGAATTCCTAAATCGTTTTCGTAATGTACTGTATTTTATAGTGGGCTAGTCGCTTTCAGGTTGGTAAATCTTTTAATATTGACCTTTAGTTCCAATTGAAGGGGGTGGGTATTGGAAATTTAAAAATAATTTCGTATAGGGATAATCTACCTAAGTTCTCGTATAGTAAGGTTGCTTGTACGGCGTCTAAAGCGGGTAATGTTATTAATTAATTATTTTAGTTATGGTTTACGAAAGGCCGTAGTCTTTGATTGATATATTAGTTTATAATCTTAGTTTAGCCGGCGGTTTAGGAATGGCCGGGTAATAATAATTTCTATACTGTGCCCCAAATTTATGATAATTCTTAGATGAAGTTAGAAATAAATTGCGGGCTATTATCGCTAATAACGTCGCGCGGGGGGCTAAAGATTCGGAATAGTCCTTTGTAGAATAGATATATAGCGTCCCTTACAGTTATTAAGTCCTTATATAGGTACGTCTAGACTATTTTTGAGAATTTGTCGATAATTATTAGTATATTATTGTATCCGCGTTTATCGGTAGGTATAGATTTGAAGTTAATTATTAATAATTAGAATAGTCGGTAGTCGGCGGATATTAGGATAGGGTGGAATTTCCCGGGGGTTTTATTCCGAAGTATTTTCGAAAAGCGGTAAGTCTAATAATTATTAATATATTTATTTATATTTGTTATTATATTAGGTTATTAGTATTTGCTTTAGAGGATTTATTGAGTTTTATTCTTGTTGGGGTGTGTTGTGGTTAAATGAGAATGGGCTTCGTATATTATGTTGGTGCGTAGATTGCTCGATTTTGGTACTATTAAATAATTTAAATATATAAGAAGGCTGTTCCTATTTAATTTGAATGGACTATTCTTGTCCGTTTCCGCTTTAGCCTAGTATATTATTAGGGATTTGTTTTCCTGGTTAGCCTTTAGTAATATATTTATTAAATTTAGTTTAAATAAGGGTAGGGGTGTTTTTCTATTATTTAATAGGGCTAGTTTAATAATAGGTGTATTTATTTTATTATCCGTAAATATAAAATATCCATTCTATAGCTTTAATAATTTTAGAGTATACTAGTCCTCTTTCTTATTTTTAATAGTCTTAAAGTCCTTTGTTTTCTGGGATAAGGAGTTAATTATTATATTCTCCTTACTAAGTTAGTAAATTATACGAAATTAATATTCGGATAAGAATTTTAATTATTAAACTTATTTACTATTAAATAATTTCTTTCTATTAAAGTACTTTAACGCCTAGTGGTCTATTATTATAATAAAAGGCGCGTCTCTTATTCCCTTTAATTCGGATTTCTAGATTTTGAGCGTCCGAATAATTGCTAATAATTCCTTATTATAGATTTAGTAATTAAATTCCGTAGGGGCTATTATTTTGGAATAGAAGGCTACCGGATGCTATTTTCTATTAGATTAGTATTATAATATTATACTAGCGTATACTCCGTTAGAAATATCCGTTTCTACTTTTGTTTCTTTTTTATAGGAGAAGTAGGTTAAGACGGGGGTTTTTAAGAGTCGTATTTTTAATTTATTAAAACTTTACTAATATTCTTTAAACTATTTAAAAGAAGTTAAATCTTTATAAGTAAATTTGTATAATAGATGTGCTACGCGGCTAAACTCCTTAATAAATTTTCTATAAAAGTTATAAAAATCTAGAAAAGTTTATACTCCTTTGACCGATGTAGGTTCCTTCTAATTTTTTACTACTACGATTTTCTTAGGATCTACGTTTATACCGTTAATTCCAATAATAAAGCTTAAGAATTTGGTCTATATTATATAGAATTCGCACTTCTTAATATCTGCTTAAAGGTCTACTCCCCTCAAACGTTCTAATACCTTTCGGACGTGGTCTTTATAGTCCTCTTTATTATTAGAGTAAATAAGGATATTGTCGATATAAGTATTATAGAATATATTGATATATCCTATTAATATATTATTAATAAATTTTTAGAAGGAAGAAGGTTTATTGGATAATCCGAAAGGTAAGACTTTATATTTATATACCCTATATCGGGTTTGGAAGGTTATTAGATTTTCCGAATTGGGGTTTATATATATTCGGTGGAAGGCCTATTTAATATTGATTTTAGTAAAGATTTTGGCCTTACTAATACGGGCTAACGTTTCCTTAATAAATAGTAAAGGATAACGATCCTTCTTTAATAATATATTAAGTTTATAGTAGTCTATATAGAACTTTAATCCTCCGTTCGCCTTTGGTACAAATAGAATAAGTGCTGCCTAGGGAGCTAAGTTTGCTTCGATAAAGCCCTTCTACAAATTTTCTATAATGTATTTTCAATATTCTTCTAATTCTTCTAATATTATTTTATATAATGAGTTATATCCGAATTCCTCCGGTCGTCGGCTATCTTCCAATATAATTTTATAGTTATTAGGCCGGGATTCGGGGAGAATATCGGAGGCCTATTTACTAAAAACGTCCTTATAGCTGCTATATTTCGAGGGGAGACGCTCGTAGACTAATTGCTTTAGTTCTTCCTTATTGAGTACTAAGGGATCTCGACCCGTTTGTAGGCTTTCAATTAGTCTATTGATTTTGTATAGGCTGGTAGATTCAAGTATCGATCCCTTATTGAGATAGTAATTAAATACTATTGAATTTACTACCGCGTAGTCTTTTAGATGTTCTTTTACCCAATTGAATATCCTTTACAACTAGTATAGACCCTAATTGTTTACTAAGGGGTAATCTTTTTAAAGAGTGGTCTTTATTACTTTAGGGGGTTCGGGCTCCATCTCGAATTGTACTAACTTTAGTCTATTATATAGTTTATATTCTATTTAATTTATTTCCTATTACTTAGGGGAGATAGTAGTAGATTGTAAAGGCTCGTTCGAATAAATGTTTTTTAGTTTCTATAGACCGGTGGACTAGCTAGCCTTATCCTATTAAGGGGGGTTCGGCATTTTTAGTCGATTTTCCAACTCTTTAATCCTTTATAGTAGGTCTTAATAGACGTCTTTAGTTATTCTTGGAGTGGACTAGGTTGGAGCGGGTTAGAGTGTTGCTTTGAGATTAGCTTGGGTTTGTTTTTTAGCCGTACGAATCTATAATAAAGCCCCATCCCGGCGGCGTTTATCTTCCTTATTTATTAAAGCTTCTCTTCGTTCGATATCTTATTAGAAAGAGGGATCGATAATTAGGCTAGGGGATACCTTCATTTTAATATCGCTTATAAAGGGGTATAATTAAATATTGGGGGGAAAGAGAAGGTAATTTGTTCGGTAGTTTAGTAAAATATTGTAATATACTAACTATATCCGACCGATAATTATATTCTATTTTATATTAGGGAGTATAATAATTTATTAGTCTAGGAAGTAGTATCCTTGGACGTGTATAGTGGTTTTGAGAGTTTAATTAATTGTGTCCGGGGTTGCTTTTTTGTACGGGGTAACGTAATTTAGAGTGAAATTCCGGTATTATTATATATTTAATCTTTTAATAATTTTCTTTATAAATAATGTATTTACTATTAAAGATATATCGGCTCTTATATTTATTAACGTTAAATATATTATTATTATTAAACTATTATTAATTATAGTACAAGGTACTAAGAAAGAGGATTTACTTCCTTCCAAATATTTTCTTAAATTAAATATATTAATTGTAGATAGTTTCTATATACTAGTAATTCTATATATTATAAATATTTCCCCTAGGAAGGAGATTTCTTTTAGGGTTTTTAATTTTCTAACTAATTTTAATCGTCCGAATCGTAAAGGTCCGAGGTCTCGATTACGGAAGAATCGTCGTCCGGAGTAGTACTAATATCTTTATTAACTATAGCCTCGCCCTAAGTCTAATTAGCGATTTCGGTAATATAGGCGTCGAGGGCTCGGTTGTACTTAGCCTTCTCGGGGTAAACGGTAGATAAATGGCCCGGTTTCTTATAGGCGAAGTATAGTCCTAAGCGGTAGAAGCGTTTTAATTCGTCGTTGGACGGTCGTTTATTGAAGGTATTAGTCTTCGAATAGTTGAAGTTCGTTTTAGACTTCTATTTTAGGTTAATTGCCTTAGCGAGGCTCTAATAAGAGTCGCTTAAGGTAGCCAAAGATATTAGCTTCCGATTTCCTAACGAGGACCCCTTCTATCCCTTTATATTGTCGGCTATACGTTTTCCTTCGTCTAGAGATTGGAGGAATTTACAATAGGCATCGAAGCTGGTATTAGGGTTTAGATATAAGGGTTCTACTAATTTATGAAAGTAAGAGGTTAAATGGCGGCGTAGTTCGGCCTTTTATTAGTCCTTTAGGTAACAATGTTATTCGGCTAAACGAATAAACTTAACTTTAAAATCCTTAAAATACTCGTTTATTTTTATATAAAGGTCTTAAAACTCTTGAACCGCTTTTTCGTGTGAGTTGTAATTGTAGTAGGCTTCCTATAGATACTTTATTAGTTAGTTGCTAGTAGAAAGGCGATTGGGGTAAGTATAGTCTAGGAATAGTAGTATATTCTCGGCCGCAAAGCCTCTTAATCTATTGAAAATATTATTGAATTTAGTTCTATTATCCGTATAATAGTCGGCGTTAATATAGAATTTATTTTCTATTTAGTAATATTAAACGTTGAATATTATTTTATTTTCGGTAGTATTATTAAAGAAATAAGGGATTTCCGGGACTTTTATAGACTTTTTTCTCGAAATGGTAGAGAGGGGTATTTGCGAGAGCGGGGTATAATTATAGCCTCATTCGCAGAAATCTCGGTCTTTAAACTTCGGTAAGTAGGAAGGAAATTGTCCGTTCTAGTTGTTTCCGTATTTATTATTATTTAAAGGTTCTCCATTATCCGGAGGGCCTCCCTTACTAACTCTTCCAAAGCTTCTTCCTCCGTTAGTACTTGTACTACCAATTTTTCTTAATTCTTTAAAGAAACGGGTATAGCGATTATAATTGCCTACTATTAAATGTAGGCGGGCGCTAAAAGAGAATTTATAGACGGGTACTCCTATAGGGGCTATATTAAGATCTTCGAATACTTCCTTGATAGAAGGGCGGATATAGAGGGTAGTCTTTAGAGTTTTACTTTTCTAAATTATAATAGGGTTAAGAGAGTCTTCGGAAGTAAATGGAGTTTTATTTATATTTAAGAGGGTAATTTTATTGCTGGGGGTGCTTTTAGAAATTGATTAGAATTATTCAATCGTAGCTATTAATTTACAAATACGATTATTATAAGCCTTAATAGAATTGTATAATTTAATATTATCTTCCTCCAATTAGGTTTACTTAATTAGATATTCGAATTCTATATTATTCTTTTCGGATAGGATATCCTTTTTTTATTTAATCCAATTAACCTTTTACTTTATTAGTATATCCCTTTACTTAATAGCTAGATCGTAGCGGGTATTCTAAGTGGATTCTAGGTTAACGATCCTTAAGTCGGCGTCGATTGCCAGATCGTTAAACTTCTTATTAAACTATTAGGTTAGTACTATAATTTTATCTTTATACTCTTTACGTTCTTCTCCTAGTATATTAGTAATTTTTAGAGCGAATACGCATTTGACTTCGTTGCCTATTACTTTGTCGAAATCTTCTTTACTTATATAAGGGGTTTTATTAGAAATGGGTTCGCTCGTAACCTATTTTTTCTCTAAGGTTATTTAGGCTTCGGCTCCCTTCTGGGCTAATAATAAAATTTAACGGTTTAAACTGACTAGATTAGTGTCGATACTTCCCGCCAATCGGTGAAAATAGGGTATTAAAGCGGTAAAGGCTTCTAGTATTAAAAATCGGGAACGGACCTCAATCTATATATTAATAAGGTCCTTCTTAAAGATTTAATAAAATAAATTAAAATCTATACTACCGCGAAACTTAAAGAATTTGGATTTTTTACCAATATTAATCACAGGCTTAAAGTATAAGATACCTACTTTTTAGTTATTAAAAGTCTAGGCGAGCTAGTTTATTTTAATAATAATATTGTCCTAAATACTATTTATTACGTCCTTATACTTAAAGTTTTCAATATAAGGGAGTATATCGCGTATATAAATATATTTAAAGTCCTAAATCGAATAATATCCCGAGGGGGGATAGTTGAAGTCAGGTTCGATGTAATATCTAGGGTCTCGATTAATAGTTTTTAAAGGAGCCTCCTCGTCGGGAGGAGAGAATTTGCCTGTAAATCCCATAGCTTCGATAAATATACGGCGAAGGCGCGTATTATCGAGTTAGTCCTTCTAACGGCTAAGTACCGCCTCAATATTATTAGAAAATCTAATTTAGCGGAGTCGGAGACCCGGGGACATATAAACTTACTTATCTCTAGCCTGGTCTGGAGTATTGTTAGAGGGCGTCTTCTTTACACGAAACGTCGTAGGCGAGGGGAGTATATCGAAGTTATCGACGGAATCGACGTTAGCATCGTTATTATTATTCTTATTTAAAAGGTAGAGGGATTCTTCGTAGTCGTTGCCATCGTTGGTGGGGGGGTTGTTGCTGCGTTTGGTAGGCGACTTGGACGTATTGGCCGCGTCCTTACGCGTCGGGGTTCGTGCTATGGTATTTTTGAATGGGGTTAATTAGAGAATAGTCGAGGAAAGCGGGGTAGACGTCGCTTAAATAGGTTTGAAGCACGAATTATATACTTATTGTAGGGTTATCGAAATCGTCTTCGTCGAACTCGGGATTCATACGAGTTTCGCTACGCCGCGGGGTGTATATACGACGGAGTTATTTTTTCCAGGTGGGATGTTTTATAACGTCCCCGTTGTAGAGGTTAGCTTTATTGAAGTATAATAATACGATTCTGGGCACAGGTAGAATTGGGCTAAAGAAGCCGATTTAAATAAGTTAATAAAGCTAAAGAGTAAGAAGGAGAGAGGGCCGAAGGCCGGCAGAGATAGGGTGCTTTATATGGGCGGTTTCTGCCGGTCGTGCCCGCTTTATCAGGTTGGCATGTGAATAGCCAACCTGTCAAATAAGCGATTAGAGTAGGCACCCTTCCAGGCATGGCGCCTCTGGGCATAGCACCCGCCAGTGCTATAACACCTACTACCCTATCCTCCTATAGTAGTATACCTTCTACTCCTACCCCCTCTCGTAATCTAATTAATCCTTTCATTACCCTAACCCTATAAATAATTAATACACTATTGTTATAAAGGTTATAGATTCTAACCGGTACTAAGAAGTTTAAGTACATTATAATAAATATTATATTAATAAAAATCGAAAAGAATTTAGAAGAGAACTAGTAGCAAGAAGAGTATATAAGAATAAAACTATATAGTACCGTATATTAAAAGCTAGTACAAATATAGGCGTACAATTTTGGCTATAAGTATAAGAATTATAATAAGGCTATTAAATACTAAATATACTACATTATAAATAAGAGTATAATTTATTATAACCTTAATATTAAAAATATAAGCAAATAGGTACGCGCTATATCGCTAGGGAAGGCTACGGTAACTAACCTACTATTTAAATTAATACGAAATATATTAAGTAATAAGGTAATAACCGCCTCTAATACTAGTAATAGTAATAATAAACGTAGGGGAGGAAGTAATAATTTACTAATTAATATTAATATTATTAATAATATTAATAATAGTAATAGTAATACTAATATAAAAATTATAAATAATCTATTGCAAGCTACGCTAAGGAAGAACAATTTTAAAAATCTATACTAATTATACCCTCCTCCCCTATATCCGCTATACCTACCACTATACCAACACTTCCCTCCCTACTTTTAATATCCCTAAATCTAGCTACCTTATACTACCGGCGGTTCTATTACTAATTCGGTAATCGCTAGCGGCTATAACTATAATATAGTAAGCACTCTCCCCCTACTAAGTAAAATAATAATTATCAATTTATATATACCGTTAGAATATTTTATTACCATATTCTATAGGTACCCAACCAACCGCAAAACTCTCGCTACTAAGCGCATTAATACTAACCCTCCTCCTATCTTTATAGTAATTATAGTATTTATTTAATTACCGGTACCGCTATTAATTGTATTACTATTAATAGCGGGTAAGGAGGATAAGGGTAAGGAGATTAGAAATTCCCTAATAGAGGCTAGAAAGTTATTTATACTACATCCGCCCGTACCTTCGATTTTCAATCTTCGTTCGTTACTACTACCCCCCGCCCCGCCTAATCGGCCGGTTAAAGAGATTATTACTAAATTTTTTAAAGCGTTCTATAAATATTATTATATTAAATTATTAATTAAAGTAGTACTAGTATATAGAACTCTAATCGCTTTAAGGAATAAACTCCGGAATAAAGAGGTACCACCTAATATATTCGTACTTAAAGAGTAGCTAGTAGAATAATTTACAAGGCTAGAATTTAATTACAACCTCTATACAATATTTAGGGACGGTATTAAAGATTTCCTTAAAATTAAATATACAATATTAGTAATATAGTTAAATTATAGTAAATATACCCTCTAACCCCTATTACCATAATTTAACTAACTAGTATATATTCTAAACCTGCGATTTAATATTATATTCGAATACAGCGTTACTAGAATTCTTACTTTTATAGCGGGTAGTACTATTATTAGTAATCTTAGTAAGCGATAACAATATTACAAATCAATTTATAGCGAAAGAGGGGGGTTTCTAGCATTTTAACATTATTATATAGATAAATACGATTTCTAGTACTTCTAGTACTTCTAGTACTTCTGGCATTTCTAGCACTTCTAGTATTTCTAGTATTTTTAATATACAATTCAATTTAATATATATAAATCTATCTCTCCCTTCTATACTTTCTACCACTACTTAAATATAATACTCGTTTCTCTATACTCGACTAGCTCGTTAATATATAACTCGCTATACTCTTTATTAATATTATTAAATCAATCTATCACTAACTTTATATTCTTAAAATAATTACAAATTTATTATACTCTATACCCTATATCCTATACTAATCGTTTAAAAAACGTAGCAAAATTATTATTTAATATTTTATTACCATCCTCGTTACAATATACCCTCTTAAATTACTATTTAAAATTATTAAAATATACTTCGATAGGGTTGAATTCGGGAGAATACGACGGTAAATACTATAATAGAACCCCCTTCTAATTATATATATACTAGAATTCGGTACGGGGGTGCCAATTAGCGTTATTTATTACTAAAATACTATTACGACCGGGAAATAAATTCATCTTAAGGAATAAGCATTTCACTATTTAATCCCAAACCCCGGCTAAATCCGTTATACTTTTAAATACTAATATATCGAATAGCCTATCTACTATAATAGTTAGGAGGAGGTAATACTACGTACCGTATATAAACTTACTTAATACTATTATAATAACGCCGCAGGGTACCCAACTAATATAATAAACGCTATCCCTTCGGTTTATACCAAATTTATTATAGAATACGAATATTTTTATAATAAATAAAAAGATTTTTAATATCCATTCAATTACTAATATAGGGGATTATTATAATACCTTTATATAGAGTCGCTTCTTCTTCTACTTATTTTATTAAAGGTACCGCCGTACGGTCTCGGTCAAAACGTACACATTATACTCGTTAGCCAGAAAGGCACAGATTTTATCGAGGTATAAATTGGGTTTTAAAACGAGGAAGTTTATAACTTCCTTTACAATATTAATTATAATTAATAAAGTATAAGGAGTAATATAATATACGTTGTACCTTAAACGCCTATATAGAAAGTTTTTTAATATTTTAGGAAATTCGCAATAATAAAAATACTTTACTAATATCCGATAGAATATATTTATATTTCTATACACTCCTTATACTTATACTAATAATCTTAGCGATATTATTAGAATACTTGTTATTTACTAGCATTATTATTATTAATACCTTTTGGCGGGTGTTAGGGTAGCGTACTATATTGACAATAGTTCAAAAGATAATGTAAATATTAAAATAGACTACTATACGATGTAGAGCATTAAAATATCGACTTTTTATACTAGTTTTAGCCAGATTTCAATATTAAACGATTGAGTTGAGTCGTGTAAAGCGATGTTAAATGGCCAGATTTGTCAAATGCGGTGTGTGTGTGTGCACGCACATACACCTCTTGCCAAGACTGCACAGGCGATTGAGTGTGGGAACGTGATGTAACGGTTGGTGAAGTTGGTGATCTAAATAAAGTTTGGTATCGTTTTGAGGAAATTTGGAACTGTGACGTGTGAAAATCGACTCGAGCCACCCCGCCTCCAGTGCATTAATGCAGAGCTTATTCGCGGCCGCTTCCCCAGAACCGCCTAAGAAGCCCATACATAAAGGCGCTACCCTATACATAATCTCGCGCAACTCGTATTTCAAGACAGGCATAATCGTGCGAATATGGTTTTTTTTTCTTTTTTTTTTTTCTTCCCAACTCAGCTCCATCATTTCTCAATCTACGGCCCTTCCAAAGATCTAATATCGAACAGAAAATGCGTATGAGCCCTGACCTTCTCTCGGTTTCACATGATCATGTGTGCTGTGGGCTTGATGCCGTGCCAGCCTGTCTTCTGCTCAGCAGAGAAGACTAACGTTGAGAACTGCGGCCAAACACGCTCCTGTCAGATCTGCCACCTACTATCGGGTGCGAGACATCTCCGCCAGCAGCAGGACTGCCCTTTCTCTTACTCATTTCCTTGTCATACATACAAGACTTTGACAACACAAACAGCCTTCACAGTTCTTACAGGAACGCTTTATGGAGGGGCAATGCATGATAGACGCAAGATTAAAGACTGTTAGACTCAGTCGCAGTTTTGTTACAAACATGTCCCAAGCTCCGTTAACAAAGGCATCCGTTGATTTGTTTTGCTAACTAGGCTGAACTTTGCATCAGCAGAAACCACCACGGACTTGATGGGGATGTCCGGTATGCTCCAACCAACACGGCGTGTCAATATGACGATTGACTACTGTCGTTCCTGACTGTTGTTCATAATGATATTTCGGAAGGCTCGCTCTTTCCTCTTCAGCTTCGCTTTGTCTCGCCCAGAGAGCGGGAGGTTTGAACATTGTTATTATCCCGTTTGTTCTTGCCTTTTTTTTTTTTTTCTTGACACAGTCACACCTCAACTGCCAGCCAACCCATAGGACGTCCTTTCTTGCCCACAATGTTTATTACACCCCAAGAGTCCCACCTGATTTCCGTGCGCGCGGGGCAGGGCGATCTTGCTGGACTTGCCATTATCGTCAAAAGTCTTGCTCAGCGGGAAAAGGTGACCGAAGCAGAGGTCTTGATCTCGTGCAAGGACGACTTCCAGAGAACGGCGGCGCATATTGCAGCTCAGCTGGGACAAAGATGCAAGTCACTCGAGCCGCCCACTGCCAACTGAACATTCCCGCCCTCATGCTTTTTTCCTGTTGTTACGATAGAGACTAATGGAGCTTATCCGTGTCAGCTTCAATCGAGACATTGGCAGCCCTGCTCGACTCAGAAGAGGACAAGGCCACTTATTTCAACATGGCAAATCGCTTTACGGGCGACCGGCCGGTCCATACAGCAATGCGTTTTGGCTACCTTGAGGTCTTGAGAACACTGGTCACGCATGGCGCTGACCCGACAGCTAAGAACCGATTCGGAGATACGGTATTGGACTATCCGGGCGAATATGAGATGGACGAGGTCAAGAGCATTGTCGACGAATACAGGGCAAGGTTTCCACAGACCACGACATGAGTACGTTGACGAGGGAAGAGAAGACAGCAAGTATGTATCAAAAGAAAGCATGAAGAAGTTGGCACCGCCTTCTAATCGAGCGGAAATCGAGCAATGAGCATGTCTTCTCCGGAAGGCCCAAACACACCACGTTCCCTATCTGCCGGTTCAGTTGTCCACCTGGTCCTCCTTCCTACACTGGCGGGCCGGGTCTCTCTGCTAAATCGAGAAGGTGGTCGTCTCCAAGGCTTGGAACTGACGTCAAGAACGGGCTATAGGGAACATGTACTGGGGGTGCTCTCCTTCCTCGTGAGTGAAGATGGAGAAAGCAAAATTGATCCAAGGTTTTTTTTTTTTTTTTACTGTACTGCCCAATACCCCTTCACGATCTCGTCATGCGTCAGTTTTCAAAGAGCAAGCATCATTCCGAAGACGGGCTTTTGGCTGCTCACCCTGCATAGTACTTAAATTCGATATCAATTCGACCTCTCCTCCATTATGACATCGACACTTGTAGCCACTCGCTCGAGGATCCCAATCTTCCGCGCCGCGAGACTCGCCAGTATCCCGATTACGAAGCCAAGATTACCACCACTCAGTATAAAGATACATTTGGTGAAGATGGTGGACAAACCTGCTTCCACGGTCCGCAACGAGATCGGAGCTGTCCCGACCAGTATGCAGCAACTAGCGGTTTCCAACACCTTGATTCTCGAGGCCCCCGGTGTCGACTTGACCCCGTACAACAAGATTCTTGTCGGCGCTGTGCTAGATGTAAGACTGCCTCCCAAACCAAACAGCTAAGCCCAAGACCACTTCCTCGGTGCTGACTGTCGTATCTTCGCACCAGCTCTTCGAAGGAAAGCCTACCCTCAAGCACCTGTCCCTCTGGAATCCCGATGCCACTTTCGTCGACCCTATAACCACGGCCCAAGGGTACAATCGATATGCCGCACAGTGGTATGCCCTTGCGCAAGTGCTCGGTCCCGTTAAAATCCAATCCCACGAGGTCGTCTCGTCCGGGAATCCAATCGAGGTCAAGCTCCACAACAGATACACATTGCCGCCAATCAACAAGACACAGGATATTCACAGCTTGGTCAAGATTTGGGTGGATGGCAATGGCAAGATAGCTAGAGTGGAGGATAGGTGGGATGGGGAGTTGCCTGATGGAGCGCTCAATGAGGTATGCCCATGTGTATCTGGCAAAGACAACCCCAAATACCCTTGACTAACACACGGATGTCTTTCGTCGAACAGACAGTGTTTTGGTTCGCTGAGGCCGTGATGCGAAAGATGAGGAGTCTGCTGGATGCTGCATTCCGGGTGTATTGCAGTGCAGCTTGGTGGCTACTTCCTATCATGGTATGCTCCGATATATTGGTTATGATGCACAAGTCCCTCAGAGTTTTCTAACGTAATTTTCATGTTAGGCTTTCCGAAAGGCATTCGCAATGACCATACCCGTGATTGTCAAGGTCCCCAGGACTGAGGAAGAGGACATTCAGATGAGGGCAATTTTGGAAGGGTTCCAAAACAAGAAGGAAATAACGATTTTATAGTCTGCTCAAAGCAACTTGGAGGGAACTTGAGCAACAACAAACAACGGCACCTACACAAAATGTGGTGCTGTCAGACTGCTTGTCCGCACTCAGGAAGCATCGCTCCTTGCCATTCCGCTGAATTACTGGGCTTACTAGACCAAAATAAACAGGACGTTTAATGCATCTTAGCCGATGATATCCCCTCCCTTATCGCCAATGATGATACTCCAACCAGACATTTAAGCGTCTGATTTCAAGACCTTGCTGTTTCCGTTTATATCGAAGAATTTCACTGACTGGTGGTAGACTGCGACTACACATTCGCCATTATTTGACAGCATTAGCATGTTCAGATAGAGGTTACATTTCGAGACTGTGCTGACAGCATTTCTAAATGACTAGCTTCCATGTTTTGGAGTGCATTGAGCACTCTCTCAGGTTTTGAATCTATGTTTTCACAGGTGGATGCGGCCACTAACACGGGCACATAGTGTACCACTATACACGGCATTGTTCGCCAGTCAGTTTTGCTTCTCAACTTCTGAGGTCAGTGATTGTACTTGATTATTACTAGTCCTCGTTGATCATCATCTGACTTTACGCAATCTCTTCGGAGACTAGAGGAAGGTATCAACTGTCAAACGCATCCGGTTCGTATGTAAGTCTTTAATTTGTAAGCATTGTAACCCTGCTTTGCTAACTGTGAAGAAGATAAAGGCTTGAGCTGACTTCATGATGCCCTCTTTTTGGCAGCGTCGTACAAAGCTTGTATATCACTCTGCCACTGCGTAACGTTAACCCTCACCACGCGGCGGTCATACGTTACCAAGCCGTTTACCTCGCCTTCCACATCCGTCGTCTGTGTATACACAGCGCCGCTACACGCATATCGTTCCACCTGGGCGCGCAACTCGCCAAGCAGTACGTGGGTGCGGTAGTTGTACGAATCTAGGTCAGGACTGATCTCATATGTCTCTGGAATTGTGGCTATTGCTTTGGGGTCGGGCCAGAGGCTGGGTTCGGGGGCAAGTCTGTTAGTGATGGAATCATCCCAAGGGGAGAAAGAGAAAGGCGTCTTACTTTTTCAAATCCGGAACGTGTCCAACTCCTCCGAATTCACCCTGGAAGCCGATTCTGTTGGGGTCATAAGGCGTGTTGGGACTACTATACCAGGGTGTACCGCACTCAGGGCTGGCATAATGGTGGTTGTCGTGGAAATCCCCAGCTCCATGGTCGAACCAGCCAGTTACCGAATCGATCAGTCTTGTCGGGTCAAGCGCGCGGATGGCATCAGTGATATGAAATTCTGGGTAGTTGCCGTTATCGCGGATTTGACCCCAGCCCTCGTTGTAGATTACCCAAGTGATGATACTGGGGTGGTGCTTGAACTGGTTCACCATAACGCTGAGCTGACGCTCAAACTCGGCTTGTTGGGCGGGAGTGGGAAAGTCAGTTGCCAGACTAGCCGCTGGGCGCATGGAGGGCATGTCTTGGATAACAAGGAGGCCAATCTTGTCGCAGGCGTAGTAGTAGAGCTGGGGCTCAACTTTGATCTGGTTAAACATGTGAGTACTCGCCTCTCCAGTCTTTGTCATGGTCAACCGCAACTCACATGTTTCCGAACCATATTCATCCCCAGACTTTTGATCAGATCAAGATCGTATAGCATGGCCTCCTCGGTCGGAGGCAAGTAGATTCCATCTGGCCAGTATCCTTGATCCAGGGGCCCGAACTGAAAGACAAACTTGCCGTTCAGGAGCGGGCGCTGGATCCCGTTCACCACTCCCTTTGAGATCGTCCTGAAACCGGTGTAACTTGTGATTTGGTCGTCGCCCATTGTCACGCTGATGTTGTATAGCGTTGGGGAGTTGGGCGACCAAAGCTTGGGATCAGGGACCTGAAATGAGAACTCTTGGTCTGACGAGGCATCGTGGGTGGCGACTTCGGTGCCGTTTTCAAGGATCGAAACCTTCACCGGAGTCGTGGCCTTGCTGCTGGAGTACACCGTCATGGTCACTGGAACCACCGTCAGTATAACCATCTAATAGATCCCAGGTCGGTTACCTCACCATTCCCTTCCATATCTGCCGATACATCCAGATCCCCAATATAGTTATCCCCTGGGACACTCTCCATCCAAACAGACTGCCAAATCCCCGTGCACGGGGTATAAAATATATGCGACGGCGTCCTCGTCTGCTTCCCATGCGGCGTGTAGAAGCCCGGCTCATCGGTCGGGTCCCGAACAACAACCTGTAACTCGTTCTTCTCCCCGTTCTTCAACGCATTCGTCGCATCAACCGTAAACCGGAAATACCCGCCCACATTATGCCCCAGCTTTTTGTCGTTCACGTAAACCACCGCCTCGTAATCGACTGCTTCAAAGTGTATCAACACCCTTCTCCCCGTCTCCTTCATCCAATTATCTGGGAACTCCAGCGTCCGCTTGAACACCATGCCGGTCACGTTCATCTCTTGGATCCCACTGAATCCGCTCTCGATGCACGAGGGGATCAGCGTCTCTTTCTCTTCTGTCGGCATCCCTCCTCCTCCTTTGTCGTAACCTCCTTCTACTTCCACATCAGGGGTAAGAGTGCTAATATCCACATTCATCCGCGCCGATGACGCAAAGTGAAGATTCTGGTAACGCCAAATTCCGTTCAGGCTCTGCCACCACTTGTCGTCTCGCTTCAGCTGCGGGCGTGGGTGCTGCGGCCAGTGGTTGGACGGGTCGGCGCCCACGGAGGCCGTCCATTCGGTGGTGAGGAGGGCAGGCTGAGGCGCGTAGGGCTGCGGTTGGCTTTCTCCGCTTCCGTTGGGGCCGCTGGGGATTTTGGGCGGGTTCGCTGCGCCTTGACGGATAGCGGATGCGTGGGAGAGGGGAGTAAAGAGGGTGAGGAGGGAGAGGGATAGGGAGAGGAGGGAGAGGGGTGCCATCGTGGTATTCGTTGCGGTGAACCCTTCAACGTTGCCGGTCGCCGGGAATGTGAGAGGTTGCGGGAAGAACGAAGCTCTTGAATTTCAAATCTCGAGAACTGCGGGAGGCCAAGTATATGTCTGATACCAGCTACATCGATCGGTTTGCAAGAGGCCCCGCTACTCTTGAAACAAGATGGGATGGCATATGTTGTTGGTCAACGCCCAGGCACATGGCGTACTGGCGAAGCATCAGGCAGGGCGACGGGTTACTCGACTCATGCCGGTCAGATACACAACATCTTTCCATGATCGTCGGTCAGGGGATCCATTGACAAGGCTTACCTACATACGGACCATTGGAAGGATAATGAGCCCAGACTTGTGATCTTAAAGATCTGCATCTTTATTTGCCCTATCCAATTGCCGGGATCAAGTGCAGTCTTCCCTTTTGTGGGGGAAGCAACTGAACAACACCGTCTTTCTCGATGGCCAAGCATGACAATGGAACCAAACATTCCATCTCAACAAAATGATGATTGATCATGGGGTGTCAGTTCTGGAACTTCCAAGACCACGGCAGTTGGTCAATTAGTCAGTCGAAAGCAGCTCGGCCGAGAAACGGTCAACCGCAGACTCGTATAAGAATGTGATGACACTGCCCAGACAAAGAAAAGCAAGCGAGTGACTGGACTACCAAAAAAAAAAAAAAAAATCCTACGTTGTTGTTCACCGGTGATACCCAGTTTATGTTGTGCTTCGACGGTGATGCTGTGGTTTCTGAGTTGTGGTTGCGTTGCAGGATACAACGGCACTCTCTTCGCTCAACCACTCTTCTTAGCAGCGTCACGAGACACACATAAGATGTTCCCGCCAAGAGGTACGCATGTTACCACTTCTCCTCTACTCGTAAGACATTGATCAAAGGCGCTAGCTAGGAAAATGAGGAGAGAATTCCATTGGATTGGTTCCTCTTATGCAGCTAATGCTGCTGTGCATATGCTCCTTTTCGCCAGATACTGCCAGGTTCAGTAAATCTAGGCAATAAGTAGAAGAGGGAGATCATCTGCCCTATATCCATTGATGAAGTCGCCGCTTTTTGTGATGCAATACCGTTACGTTGAACAGCCCTTCAGTTTAGACATTGGGCAAGAATAAAACAATAGAAGTTTGTTTACCACCTTGCTGAATGGTAAACAACCTAAGTTGAGGTTACATACAGTCCATGCTTACACGCAACCCCTTTCCACGTTCAGTCATACATACCTAGGTAGACTAAGTACAGTGTAATGGTCAAAAAAAAATACGTCACCCCTTACCCCATTGGATATGTAGGGGAGGGTGACAGTAACCTATTCTTGACTACCTATGAGGTTACCTACCCTTTTCTTTGTATACCAGGGAGATTGAATCACTGCTCTACCAAGATACCTACCTACCAGTGGATGCGTGTCCAAAATCTCAAGTTTATGCAATCAGACCAGGCGGGAAGGTAGGTACCTCTAGGTAGTAGGTCTGCATGCATGCTCTTTTACGACCATGGAGGAGATAATATTTGCTTGGCACTTTTGCAGGCCGTTACTACCTACATCTAGGTATGTACCTACCATTCAACTACGCCCAAGACCTCGGGAAACAACTCCGACAGGAAGGTCCACATGGAACATAAAAACCGAACAATTCCACTTCGGACTTATTATGTACATACATCCAATGTCTCACTTGACCACGGCTCGCTTTGATACGTTCGGCAAATCATAGGTAGGTAGGCAACCTGCGCTCCCTTGGCTTCTTTTCCCCAGAAAACCAAAAAAGTGAGACATTCCCACATGCATCTACTCCGCCTGTGCGCAGATAGATGTGCGTAACGTACTACCTACCACGACTCTCAAACCCGCACGCAGTATGACGACGAAGAACAGCGGCGGCGGGGTCTTGAATATCACTGAGCAGTGGTCTCTGTGTGGTTCGGGACACGTGGCCAGGCATAGAAAATTAGTTGTCTGTCGAGAGAGGTTGATGGCACGTAGTGGAGATAGTGTTGTTGTACGGAGACTTAGACTAGATGCCGGCAGGTGTCGTTGAAGAGTGTTGATCTGCCGCTTTTTTTTTCCCGCTGATCTGTAATCTTAGATGGAAACAGTGATGGGGGGTAGCTCGGTGAGTTGGTTCGATCGTGATGGAATTACGAAAGGACATAGGAAAGTGCCTGGCTACGCGTTGCTCAGCACACTTTGGGGTGAACATCATGATCAGTGGGAATGTGTTTGGGAGGGAAGACTAATCAGTTTATATTTCTCCTTCAAGGCTATCTAGGAAATGATCCATGTATGCCCTCATACCTGTAGCCAAAATAAAAGAACCAAGACGGCCCCATCATTGTCCTTGCCTACCCTCCTTACAAACACGCCTTAAGCTTCTCCACAAGCTCCTCAACAGACACCACTCCCTTCTCGGAGCTCTTGGTAAGCTCACTCTTCAACCACTCCCTAGCCTTATCAGCCAACATCTCCCACTCATCCCGCTCCTCCACCAACTTGGCCTCCAAATACGCCAACACCAAAGCTGTGGCAAGCATGTCCGTGTTCGGCATCGACACTCCATAGCGTTCCTCGACTTTCTCCTCCGTCAACTGGGACTGCCCCAAAATATCGAGCAACTTCTCTGTCCATGACCATGAGCCATCAAATTGCTGGAGGCTTACGAGGGCTTCGAGAGGCTCGAGAGGTGTCGCCGTCTCAGGTTTGACTTGGGCGGAGTCTGTTAGGTTGGTTAGCAAACTGGACTCTGGGAAAATAGTAGAGTAAGGTTTTGGTGCAGGGGATTGGGATCAGGGTAGGCTGAAAACTTACCTGAGCTGTTGGAGACTGGAAAGCCGAAATGATGAGCTTCTGGAATCCTACGGGAAACGGCTGGGGCGCCGAAGAGCCCACCTCCATAGGTATTGGAGGCAGCGTTGCCGAAAGCCGTACGTGAACTATTGAAAGTGGCTCCGAGGGCTGTATTTGAGCCCATCTTTGCTGCTGTAGTCACAAACATGTCGTTAGAATCCAATTCACAAGTAGATGCAAGCAGCTCAGCTTCCAATGGAATAAAGTAAGAGGATATGTCAGGATCAGGAGCAGAAGAGGATGAAACAGGAGCAGAGTATAAAGGATTTCGTGGAGGAAAAGGGATATGGAGTTGATCAGAAAGTGACTGATCACAGCAGAGAGCAATTGGTGCAGGATAAGGTGGCTTGGACATATCGAAAGAAGGGTGATCCGCCGAATTGGAATACAAAGCGGTCACCGGTAAACTATGAGAGGAAATGGACTTGCCCTTTATCTTTCCAGGTGGACTTGCCATAGGACGTGAATAATCTGCTGGCGGAGCCGGATTTGCACAAAAGAGCGCCGAGCCAGGAGGCGATGCCGGGGAATATGAAGGCGATGTCGGGAAGAATGGAGCAGGCATTCTTTGAGTATCAAGGAAGCATTCCTCGACCACTGTTTCCGTAGGAGACGAAGCTAAACGAGCAAAGGAGCGCCCCATTTTTCGCGACCTGACGACAGGCTTAGACTCGAAACTCTCAGAAGACTTGTCCGAGGCAGCTCCAGAAACTCGCTGATTCACTTCGTGCTCCGTCCGATCTTTCTCCTCTACCGCGACATAGCTGCACCACTTGCTGCCCACCTGGAAAGTGACCCCGAGCCTGACGGCCTCTCGCTCTACCATATCAGAGAAGCGGCCCTCGTACTTATCCTTGAGCAGCTTCTGCTCGGGATCACTCGAATCCGTCGCGTGGTAAATCCAGCCGCGACCCTCTTCCAGTTCCTGTACCGCTTTGCGGGCGGCGAGCTGGTGGATTGTTTGGCCCTTCTCTTCCAGCACGGCAACTGGGATCTCAAGCTCAAGGGGCCCGTGGGCGGAAGTAGCGCGGAGGATAACTGATTTGGGTGTTTTCTGCGCTGTGCTAGGGGAGAGCAGAAGGTACACGCTAGTCCTGATGAAAGGGTAGAGCGGGGGGATGGTGAAAGGCGCTTGAAGGATTGTTGGTTCGGGGACTGGGGGAACGTGCGAGAACTTCCCTCCCAGAGATAAGTCCGCGTCGGCATCGGGCATCTCGATATCAAGATCAACTGAGGCGTCAAAGAGGGAAATCGGCTTAACTGGCTCGTTTGGCTTGTCAGCGCCATTTGCGAGACGGATGGCCAAAGCATCGGAGACCTTTTCGACGATTTCAAAATCGTCCATTTCCTCATCGATGGTCTTCGCTCCGGCATCAGAGTCCTTGGCGTACTTGATCTCCAAGGTGTACTCCTTGATATGAGGAGTCAGACCCGCCTTGAGCATCCTGACTACCTTGGCGTTCATCTTCTCGCTGTCGGTGACAGACTGCGCAAACCCATTGCCAGCACGAGCGGCACCTTCGATGAGAGCATGACTAACATCATTGCCAATTCCCAAGGTAAACAAGCGGATTGCGCCCTGGGACTCAGACACCTTCTTGTTGATCATGGTGAACAACTGCTCCTGGTTCCAGATCTCGCCGTCAGTGAGCAAAAAGACTTCCAGGTCCATGTCTTTGTAGCGCTTCTCAAACGCAGCTTCGAGTGGTTGATACATCTGGGTGCCTCCCAAATTGGCATCCATCCAACTCACGTACTCCATTGCTAGCCTGAGGCTCTCATGGTCATACGACCGAGAGCCATCACTGAACAGAAACTCGTGAGTGGAACCGAATGAGCAAATGTTGAACTTGGCGCCCACGGGGATGGACTTTAGGAAAATTCGAAGAGCAGACTTGAGGCCTTCGATTCTAGCACCACCCATGGAGCCAGAGCGGTCACAGACAAAGACGATCTCGGGGCGTGTTGACGGTAGATTGAACTTTGGCACCAGTGTCGCCATCAAAGCCCGCTGATGGGGAATATCAGTGTGTGTCTCAAGCAGAGCAATCGGATTGCCGGTGTTGGTGGCAACTACTTGCAGGATAAAATCCTGGGCAAGCTCTGCGGTGCCAAGGGCAAGGGTAGCGGAGGCTTTCTGCAATGACATATCAGTGCCGGCAGCTGCTCCAGAGGAGGTGTGACCGATGGTGACGGAGATGGGATGGGACGGGGACTGGATGCTCTTAATGTTTGAGCCCCCCGGCGTCTCAACATCGACAGTGATCTGGATGCCAGACTTGGTAACGGCTTGGGGCGCATCGTGAAGGGTACCAGGGAAATCACCGTAACGAGGAGCAACAGAAGTTGGAATGGTGTAGCGGATCCCATCCACCCCGGCGTCATTCTTCAGCTCGCCCAGATAAGTGACCTCCACCTTGAGAGAAGCACCAGCAGGGACGTTGCCGACGGTAGTGGTGAAGACATCACTAGCATTGGGAAGCTGTTCCAGCAGTCCGGCGGTTTCGCCCCTGTCGATGGCTTCCTGGTACTGTTTCCGAGCCTCATAACGCTCCTTGACGACTCCACGAATTACACGGTCTTCGTTGATAGTGCAGACAAAACCAACGACGGAGACGCCATCATACAGCGGGAACGTGTACCTCAGCTCTGGGATGCTCTTCTCGGCAGAGGGGTTGACGAATGTCTGCGTCAGAGTGGTTCTGCTTGACGAGCCTACAATGTGCGTGGAGACGGAGAGTTCTAGTTGGGGGAGATAGTGTCTTTGGATAGTCCAACTATTGACGGCTTCGGTGTAGTAAAGACCAGTAACATGGCCATGGCTAGTATGACCGTACATTTCAGGTCTTGTTGATAAAGAGTAGGCGTTGAGATGATTGTATGGAGTAGGTACTTGTTGATTGGGGAAGTCTGAGATGCCGCGTTGTGGAGGAGATCAGCTAGGGAGGGAAGGATGATAGCAGCCAGAAAAGATGAGGAATTGAAAGAGTCTGACTAGAAAGAAGTAGAGACTGGACATCGGTCTCGATCATTATATACCCGTTTTCCTTCACTTCAGACATATTCTGTTGTATGTGTACAGGTGACAAATGATTGCCATCTTTCCTTCGTCCCAGGTATTCTTGGCATATGTTTGCCCAGCTGTGATGCACTTGGCCGGTAAGAAGTTCTACCAATCACACAGTCACTAGCTGCCGCCGGCAGAAAGCGACAGCTGTCAGGCATGGCTTAGACGGGAAATACTCCGCTTTACAATCATGGAGCTAGGCAGCAATGAACAAAGGCAGTGTTCTATGGGCTCCCTCCTATGCACTGCCATGAGACTTGGGGGTTAGACAGCATCACTACCGTATAAACTCGGTCCGTTGATTTTCAGCTTCAAGAGGAAGTTAGGCATAGTGAGTCATACATATGCCTGCCGAAAAAAAAAAAAAAAAAAAAAAAAAAAATCAATTTGTGAGGGAGATGTTGTCTCTTCCCGGAGCACTGTAGATTTTATCCTTTTGGTGCTCTGTCTTTTCCACCTGTTTTCTTAAGGGCGCTGGAGGGTCGAAACATTCAGAATCACCATCTTGCATACAAATCCTGGTGGGCGTGAATACTTGAGGGAAAGCCTCAGGAGGAGCCAGATGATGATGGTGATGAGAGGTCAGAGGGCAAGGAGCAGTCGAAATACATGAACGTTTGTGTTGTAGCCATTCGAAGAGTTTGTATTAAGTTTTTGTACCTAGAATCCCCTCCAGGGGAAAAAAGCAAGAGAGGGTATCATGATCCGTGAGTGTACTGTATTACATGGAGTAAGAATGGAGGAATGTGTTGAGACCCGGTAACGAGAGGGAGAGAGGAAGATGCCTTCTCCTTCTCTTCGGTGCTGTGCGTGTGCTCGTCTCGTAGGCTCCCTTCTAGTAAAGATTCCCTTCCGACATGCGAAGAGATGAAGTGGTCCTGGCCCTAGCCAGATGTAGCGAGAAAGTACCCTTACAAACCCATATTCCGACTCAATCCGTTCGCTCGCTTTGAGATCATTCGTTAAAGGATTACATATCCCTTCTGTACACATAATGTTGCCGTTCGTTGTTGTGTTATGCTTGTTGGCGTTTGCCCTGTGGGTTCCTTGTTCCACAAAACCTCAGACCGTGCTAAAACAGCACAGCTATCATGTCAACCGTCTCATCTCGGACTCCGAGGTATCGAGACTAGTTGTAATTTAATTGGGCTTGTGCATCCTGAGTACGTGCAAAAACCAGTCCTCAATGGGGAGGAGGTTGAGAAGCACGTGGTTGAACTTCCAGGCGATTAGGCAAGCGCAAGCTCCGGCCACCGCATCCAGAACAAAGTGGTTGGCAGTTGCGACAATGGCCGTAAGAATGATGGCAGGGTAAACCATGCCGGTGAAAATGGCGACAAGTCTCTTCCACCCGAAGCGGCCCTGTCTCCTCAGGGGAACGGTGGCAATCGTGAGGCCGATGAGGAAAGAGTATCCGAAGTGCAGGGAGGGCATGGCAGCTAAGGACAAGAGAGTTAGAGCGAGCAGCTTCATTGTGATTTCCGAGTCAAGATCAAAACATACCGTATTGGTTGCAGAACTTGTTGGTAGTCCAGACACTGCTATCACCATCCTTTCCGTGCACGGTATCCACAAATCCATACGACTTGGCCTCCTTCGCGTCCTCGCCGTTGTAGGTGGGGTCGCTGAGGAGTCTGGGCGGCATGCAGGGCCAGAAAGTAAATACGATGAAGGCCAAAAGGTTGCACATGGCCATGGTACGTCTCCGGCGCTCGTACACATCCGGGCCGAAGTGGTTGACGAAGTTGCGCCAGTCGCGGACAAGGGCGCCTCCACCATGGTTCTCGTGGATGCGGGCGCGGGGGCGAGTGGTGGTGACGTAGAAGAGGACGATGAGGAAGAGAATGGTGCCGGGAATGTGGATGAAGGAGTAGGTTCGGTTCGTCCACTTGAGGATGGTCGGGTGTCCAAGGAACCAGCCCTGGACGATGGGCTCGACAAAGATGCGCAGGCGCTTCTCCATATGAATAATTTGAAGGGCATGCTCGCGCGCGGTATCGACTGTGCTGGCCTTGAGAGTTACAGCCGTGAAGGCTCGTCCAAGTTGGTAGACCTGTCATGGCACCGTTAGCTATGATTCGTGTGCAGGGGACGTGATGCGACGCTGACAAGCGCGACAGCCCGGGACTTCGGAGTGGCATACCCAGTAAATCAGAGCCCAGTACCACACCTCGACAAGGAAGGGGAACTTGCGCAGGACGCGGCTCAGTAATCGGTCGCGATGAATCTCGGTGTTCGGCGTGACGACCTCCCGTTCCCAGCCCATAAACTTCAAGGTGCGGAACCTCTTTCCGTATGGGAGATCCTTTTCGATCGCCTGGTTCTCTACCACAGTCGACGACGAACTGGACCGCGATGGGCTCCACGGTCTCCTGCTATCGCTGGTGTACTCATCTTCCTCGACCTTGGCTTTCCTGCCTCCTTCGAAATTTTGCTCGTCGTTCAAAAGCGATGCGGATGGTAGCGCCTCGGGGTCGGTCTGATCGAGCGGGTGCCAAGAAGCTCTTCGGCTTGAGGCAGTTGAGCTGGTGTAGGTAGTGTTGCGATTGACGAGGGTACCACCGGCGAGGAGACCCACGACAATGCCAGGCTCCAATATGGCTCCGATCGCCATTGGCTCGGGTGCGAAACTCGGAGTGGAGAATTAGGTTTATAAGGCTGGACGGTAGGACTGCTTGAACGGCTCGAAAACAGGCGACGGCTGTCCAAGGCTGTGAATTCCTTGAGTTCCAATGGGCGCGACTACAATCGCAAAATTCCACAAAGCCAGGAGATGGGCGAAGAAGGAGGGATGTCGCGGTGGTGTTGTTGGCGTAATTGACGACGAAAGCGGTACAAGTATAGAAGACCGCTATGGAGGGTGCAGTGTACTAATTGCGCTCGCTGTGTTGCGAAACCCGGACTGACAACGGTGGACAAGCAAGGCGACAGCGACAGCCACGAAAAAACAACCGGGCAACAGCGAAAAGAAAGGGCAATGAAAAGCGCAAAAAGTAGGCCCAAACGGCAAGGTTTGACTGGAGATGGGCTGGTTATAAAGGGCGGGCTATTCCACAGTGTCTATCGATCTTGGCAGCTTGGAGGGTATGGATTCACTGCATCACATACTATGTGAGACCCAGCGAGTGGTGTCGATTAAGCCACTTACAGCCTTGGCGCTTGCGGTGCCCCATCGGCAGGAGGGAGTGGACGAAAGCGCATGGAGGCGCTGGCTTCGACCTGAGGCAAAGAGAGAGGGTGGAAACAAGGTGGAAAGTGGAAGGTGGGCGCGCGGCCCGAGGACAAGGGGTAAAAAACTGCAGGGTAACAAAAGGAATTTCTTTTTTTTTTTCTCAAGGGGAAAAGAATGCTCTCGATACGCGGATCTCTGTCCAATCTTGGGAAATTGTAGGGATGGTCCCGTCCGTGACGTGTGCACGGCAAGGTGGGAGAGCAGAAGCGGTTTCTTGCCAAATCCTCAACAGTCCGGTCTTGTCTACCATATACACTAGAGCAGGCACTATCCAGTCGTCACGTCTGCCGTTACCTGGCCACCCATTGATGATAGAAATATCGATCATGTTGTACGTAGAGTAGTTACGGTGCTCACTGCGGCATTGTATGGTGTACACAGGTAGCCATGAGTGATGACGACGCGGCCGCCCCCTTCCAATCTTTCCCCGTGTGTTTTACCGATTCGGGGCCCCGGTACACTAGAGGCGCCAAACTCCGTCGTCTCCACGGTCAAGCGGCGCCCGGACATTAACCTGACCCCGTAGAGGTAGCCATTGCGACTGTGGGCATGGTGTCACACGACACCTCAACACTTTGTGTGCGCCAAGCAAATCCCCATACAGTACTAATCGTCATGACGCATGGCCACTGGTTGGGTGTCGGTGTTTGCAATCCCGTGCACAAAGGGCTGCCAAGGCACAAAGCCCCCTTCTTTCAATAAAATGCGAGGGTGACCAGTAACACAGCGGCACCGGTGTTAGAGCTTCGTCGACCTAACAAACCCCCAACCAACGGTGACTGGATCCTGCATCTTCCTTGGGACCCCTTACATGTGGGCGTTGACATTCCATGTCCGGGAGCTTTTCGTTTACTTGTTGCCAGAATGCGCACAGTTTTGCGGCACGAGATGTGCAGGAACGTCCTCCGACCGAAGTTTGAAGCATTCCTCTCCTTTTAGGGCAGCCAACCCTGCAGAGACTTTGAGGAGTAGAAGGAGGCAACCAAGCCGGCCAATCAGCTGTTGCGATTTCTGCATCTAAAGAGCAATGCCTCACGGTGCCTATGCATGCCCAGCTTTCAAGCTCAGATGATGATTGACTGAAAGTTAACAAGGAGACATGAATCGCTGTTCTATCGAATTTTCGATTCGCGAGCGAGTGGACGAGCCTGATAAGGACAACCTTGGTACACGACCATCACGACCAGGAACGGACGCTGCTTGGGGGGCTGCGGATGCCAAGAGCTTGCTTTTGCCGAAAAATAGATGTCAAAATAAGCTCTTGGCGCCCCACAGTGCCCAAGCAGCTTTGCCGAGATCCGCTTTATATGGGGCCTGGCTACATACCCCCCCCCCCCCCTGCTGAAAGGACAGCCAGGCTCGCAAGGTCCGTCGCCGACACCCCGACCCCGTCGGCTCGCAGTTGGTTACCTAGGTAGTTCAGTTGTTATCGTGAAGTTTTCACAACCAGAAGCATACTCTCAGAAAGTAACAGCATAGGTTCCATTCCCAAGCGGGGAAGAGTGGTGTAGTGAACAAAGCCATGAAGCTTTGCTTGTATGTACTGGTCCGTGCCCGGTACCTGACAGGGAGACAAGACTGGACTTTGGCTCGCAACCGCAGCAAAGGTCCGAGGGACCGGTCGAACAACCTCGCCTGTCCATCCCCGGCTCCCCAGCCGTATGGTTTACCTAATCGATGATCATGACGACAGAGACATGGATCGGGGGGAAACGGCAAGCCGAGGCCTGACAAAAAAGTATTCCGCATTTCCTATCAACACCTAACGATTGTTCGTAGAAACAAAAAGAAACTGAAATGTCAAAGGGACGGTCAATCCTCGAGCGAATTGGGTAGTGTACTACATACCTGCAGTTAGCTGTTATGTTGGTATGTATTGCACAAGTCACCTTCCCAGTGCACGATGCCCAGTTATGTACACTAGCTATGCCCCGTAGTCCTGCAGGGTACCTCTATCATCGTCATAGAAAAGGAGTTATTGCGAGATCACGACAAGCAAGACATCTGAACTGAGGGTAGACAAACGAATAATCGTCCACTCAGCGATGGCTAGTTTTATGATCTGTATACTATTTTCACGTGCGCACGCCCCTGTATTCACCGTTCACTTACATTACGCGGCATAGCATTACTTAGACACGGGCAATTCCACTGGAAGTTCTAGCATCTCGTGCATAATAATGGTCCGTCGTTGACATAACGGTATCGTAATCGTACACAACTTCCAATGAAACGGGGAGACCTTGCGTTCCGAGCCCGAGCTCCGAGTCCGGTCGGCGTGCCAGACCCCATTCTTTCCCTGCGAGCCCCTGGAGCGGATCTCCAAGGAACATCGATTGCCGCGCTGCCGTGGGCTGCTGTCCTCCATGTCTTCCATTTCAGATTCCATTTTAGTTTAGAAGCACTGCTCCATTCTCTCAATCCACCACCTCATTTTGGCCATGTCTGGCCATTGCACGACAATCTTTGGCGGCCCATGATGCCAGCGGATTATCGCATTGAAGATCGCGGGTCCAGCACTCCAGAACGGATACCATAGTGCCACGTTGCGGCAACATCTGACAACGCGGGGATTTGCTGCCGGGTTCCTGGGGGTGGCCAATGTCGCTCATGTTTCTGAATGTTCGAATTTGCGCTGACGGGCAGCTGGCGCTGTGGTCGGGGAGGGGAACAGAGATCCCGTTATCATACATCCCGTCGGAAAAAGCATTCGTTATCCAGCCAATCAGCCATACATTCAGGTTACACAGCAACTGCTGTGAGAATCGATGGGTCCCATTTCCGTGCATCCCCGGTCTCTTTCCCCCTGCGTCTGATGTTCGGGGTCTCTTCCATGGTCTCTTCAATATTCCTACTCGATACTTCATTTCATATGAAGGGCCCAGAGCATGTGAAAAGCCATAGAAGTGAAGTGCTCGAGAACCATATCACTTGAAGATGATAGCGCAGCTCAATATCTCGCTCTAATACTCGGTCTAGCGGTAAAGAAGTCGTACGACATACTCAAATGAAATCCGGATAGATCATATACGGTGTGGTTCTCGAAACCAAACTTCATGCGACTGGACCATCAAACACAAGTCGTTGGTTTTGGGGATTTGAGTTGAGACAGACTCTTCTGTACCTTACGTACTACCCGAATGTGGAAGCTCGACGCTGTACTCCTAGGCTTGCCTACTCGCGTCTTGTGTCCGCCATGGTACATAAAAGACCATAGGAAGTATCCTAAACCCCCACAGCTCTTCACCCTGACTGTTTGCCCGGTTCTTCACCAAAGTGTACCTCAAGAGTCAAGACCACATTCTCCCCCTAGTCGAGCCAAGAGCCGTGAGTCTATAACATGTCCTAGAAAATTTCATCACGCACCACTAGTCAGCCATGATCTCTCTAGAAACATCAGTCACCAATATTGATAGCCAGTGGTCCTCAAGCCACAAACCACAAACCACAAATCACACCAAAACAGGTCTCTCGGGGGGAGGGGGGGGACACCCAACTGCAAAGTCGACAAACTTTTTGCAATCCTCAAACTCCAAACCAAATATACACTATTAAAAGGGTGAAAAAAAGAAAAAGAGAAAAAAAAAACCATTTCAAGAAGCAATACACACCCCCGTCACCGATCCCTTGGGCGGATACTGATGTCCCTCCTTCTCGATCTTAGGCTCGCACTTGCACCACTCGTCTTTCGGCACGCCATCCATGATCTTGGGGACGTGGTGGCCGCAGCCTACCCAGGTTACGCCGTCTACATACGGAATGTTCATCAGCAAAGAGTCGGCAGAGTCGGCAAAGGAAGATTAGTTTATGATTAAAGTGAGTGAGTCAAAAGTGAGGACGGGATAGGTAGGTAGGTAGAGGTACGGCAAGTACGTCAGACAAGCAGGATTGATTGATGCCCAAGACTTAGGTAAGACGGAGGAGGGGATGGTGTGTGAGCAGAAAGATTGTTTGTGTTTGGTCGCTGTTGGTTTGTGGGTTGATGAGGTTGTGACCCAAGCAAGCAAGCAAGCAACGAACCAAGGATAGGTACCTATTTAGGTAGGGACCGGAAGAGCCGGGAATGATGGAAGAGATGGGCCGCAAGTGATAGGACAGCAAGTCAACTTACGGCAGACAGGACATGCTGTTTTGTGGCACATGCTGGGTGAGATGAGGCCCGGTGGTTTGTTGAGAATTTTGCGGATCTTCAGCTCGCTGGTAGCAGTGGTTCGGCGAGTGTAAACTTTCTTGGGAGATATCTCTCGCGACGATGTACTTAGCACAAGCCGGAAAAAAGATGTAGTATGTGGTGCCTCGGTGTAAACCAACGGAAAGGCTGTGCTCTCGGCTTAGGCTCTTCCACTGCCAAACCAGACATATGCGAAGAGCTCGGCCGCAATGAACATGACGTATCAATGATGAGGTGTGCCAAAGCACTGGAACTCCGCCTCAATGGTTCAAAATATCTTTTTTTCGTCTCCATGAAAGGATCAGCTTGGGAACTTTCAACAGATGCTAATTATTCCTAATCAGCTTCTTGTCCTCTCTTCTCGCGAATAACGGGTGCCTTGCCTACCTCTACGGACATATTCTTCTCATTTCCTTCATCAGCGATGGCCACGGTGGTAGTCGGGACCAGGAGCAAAAAAGTAAACCAGCCTCAAACACTTCACTTTGTCTGGTTTGCGACTGCCTCATAGAGTGGACTACTTATCTTCTGACGGCTGGTTGACGAGGCCAGAGCCTCTCGAAAGAATAAATCATCCGAATCCAGTCATGACTGGTTCTTCCGGTTTCATCCGTTAGGGTTTCGGTTGTTCACCTTAGCTTGATCTAGTTGAAAAGCTCGTTTGCACATTCTCTGTTAGATTCCCAGCTTTAAGGAGAGGGTGACCGCGATGTAACTTACCGATTCCTGCGCTTTCCTTTCCCGGTGCCATCAAAGCTGGGATCCAGAAACATGGGCAAATTGCTTCTTTGTATCGCTTCCAGTAGCTCTTGGTTGGTACGGTATCAGCGTTTCGTTGACCGTTGAGCGGTGGCAAATGGGCTTGAAGAGTACAGAAGTTACTCGTCGATCTAGATACCTACTTTTGATTCTTGGAGGCTGGGTTGACCATGGAACGATGAGCTCGAAACTGCTCTCCTTCTCAACTTAAGATACAGAAGACAAGCTAATTGCTCTGAGCTGATGTAGAAGTCAATGTATTGCCCCTATGTTAGTTGCTTGCGGTGTTGTATATGGAATCGACTAGTAAATTTCCATCGACTCAGGATGCAGGGTTCCATACGGCCATTTAGACTAGACCTTTGTAAGGCTGATCGCTTGCCAGCTGCTCGAGACCCATGGGAGTGAACCTCGATCAAACGCAGCAGCAATCAGAGAAGATATGTCTATGTGTGTTATCTTTATATTCCATGTCTTCCAAACAATGAAGTGAGACAACCAGCCCAAAACAATTGATCGGAGGGTATAATGTTCTACCGCAGATTGTGTGTGTATCTTAACCACTATACTACCTAACTGAACCCCCGGACGAGATATTCTGCGCGGCCGTGAGTGTAGGTCCTCTTTCAAAACACCAGACGCCAGTCCCAGATGCAAAATCAGATATAACGCAATCCCTTTACAGTTGCCGCCCAAGAGACTAGACATATAATTAGACAAATCAAACCATCACCCTCGTTCACTCTTGCGCTTAAACCAGGAGCACAGCGTTCAAGCATCCGTCGTTCTGTTGGAAGTTAAGGATTAGCAGTTCGTCCATGTAGAGTTAAGAAGCGAGGTTGCGTTGGTCATACCTCAGGGTTGTTGGTGATCTGAGCATAACGACCCCAGGCAATTTTGCCCGACGCGGTGACCATACCAAGATCGGAAACGTTGACCTCGATAATGGTACCCTTGGACAGAACACCAAGCTGGGTATAAAGGGGGTTGCTGGGGTTCTTCTTGACGCCGAGAATGGGGAGCTGGACCGTGACATTGAGGGTAGGGTGGGTGACGTTGGCCTTCTTGTAACGGAGACCCATGGGCCGGATGAAGCGTTCGTACTTGACTGGGCGTCTGGTGAAATCGGGTCCGACGAATGTTGGCTTAGTGACGACGCGCTTCCAGCCCTTCTTGTGCACCTTCTTGCCCGTCTTGACGACCTTGAAAAGCTCCTCTTCGCTGATACCCTTGACCTTAGGAATAGGGACCGAGAAACGAGCGGCCTTCTCGGCACGCTTGCTCTTGATCTGGGAACTGCACGAAGAAAACGGTCAGTCTCTCGTCATCGTATGGGACCCTTTCCAACCTCCATGACCACTGCCATCATCGCAATCACATTGGCCTCCACCTCCGCCTCGGCTGTTCGCTTCTCATGTGTCCTCCCATTCAAGTGACGTACCTCAAAGCCTTCGCACTCGTGGGGTTCGACCGGTCGAGCAGATAAGCGGGAACGGGGTTCGAAGGGTCCTTCTCCTCGGGGGCGCCCTTGACATTGCGCTCCTCGTGCTGCTTGATGGCCTTGCGCATCTGGATCTTCTGGGCATGACGCTCCTTGGCAAAGAGCTTGGCCCTCAGGCCACGCAAGTTCTGTGCATTCTCGCTCTGCTTGTGGCCCTCACGGGCAGCCTTCTTGCGTGCGCGCTCCTCGGTGTCCAGACGCTTACCGTGAAGCTTCTGGGCGCGTTCTGCGAAACGAGATAATCGGTTAGGGACTGGGAACAGGTCGACGGTAATCAAGATCGAGTGCGAAGGAAACTATACCGATGTATTCGTTCTGAGGCTGTATTTAGGAAAACGTCGGTTAGCATGGTCTGCTCTCAAGTGATCGGAAGGGGTCATGATGTTGAGGAGAGTGGCTGTGGATTGAGAAGGGCAATTCGAAGACATGATATCCGTACCATATTGGTGTTTTAGGCCCTTTGAGGGTCTTGCGGTTCAAGATATGTGGCGACGCAATCTGGCCTTTAGATGTTGTAGGGCGACGAAGGGCGACGAGAATGACGATGCGGTTTAGGTCAATATGCTTCAGTACCTCTACCTATGCAAATGCCTGCTGAACGGACGTCTTGAAGCCGATAAAAAAACCATTCAAGGCTAGCTTTCCTTATCGGGCGACTCCTCCAGTGGCGGAGACCCGTAGAAAGGTGGACATAGTGGGGCGGTTTTATCACCTGTCATTGGTTGATATCTCCTTAATAGATCCGTGCCATGTCCAGGAAAACGTGGAGTGGGTTCGGATGAAGGTGCCAGCCAGCTGCAGGGCATTGGAAGTGCACCACGGCAGCCAGAGCCGCCCGTTGAGGACGAGAACCTTGATGGAAGGCCAGTGGACAACTTCTGTATAGATCTGGAGGTCACCGTTACCATTCGTAGAATGGCTCCTACAACTAGATCATTACCAAGGGACACTAGTTGTGTGGCTCGCATAACCCGCTTCAACGAGCACAGTAGGTATGTGTCATGTCAACAAAGGCAAAACCCAAAAACGTGATATGCTTGGGGTGTTGAGATATCTAGATACGCTACACCGTGTCATGACAACCTATACTATAATCCGTCCGACGGGCTCTATTGCCAGCCAACGCCCGCCAATGAAACCGGAATCCGTGCAAAATGACTAAACTCCAGACGCTGATGCAAAATGTTTCTGGGTGTCCGTCCTGTCTTCCAGCCAACGCCATTGCAAAACCGTCTCCAGAAAACGAATTCCTGCCTTGAAATTATCACGATGCGCCGAAACCTTCCCAATTTAGAGGCAAAAGAAAGAAGGAGACACGCCACGCAACCACGACATATCAGCGGTCTCCGGCTCTGGACTTGAGTTTTGCAAGTGCTGCCCGCTTTCTTTCCTCCTTCTCGCGCTTCAACCTCTTCTCCAGCGCCTCCTGCTCCATGTCTTCTCTGCGAGCCTGCAACTCTGCCCGGCGTTCCTCCGCGTCGATGTCGGACAATCCTGCCTCCATGTCTGAGTCATCCTCTTCCAGTGACTCGTAACCACCGCGACGACCATAGCCGTACCCATCATCCTCATCTTCGTCGTACTCGATAAAATCGTCCAACTCCTCATCCTCCTCCTCGCGTCTCCGGGGACGTGAGAATGAGGCGCCATAACCGGACAGCCCACGGCCCCTACTCGCGCCTGCCGAGGTGGATGCTCCTGGTTTTGTGGTGGTGGCCCCTGGGCGGGGACGTGCCGTGCCTTGGTATCCAGTCGTCGCTAGAGCAGCCTTCTTTACCTTCTTCTCCTCCACGGCATTTTGGCCTGTCTTGGACTTGGCGCCAGCCGGGGCTGAGGGGGTGATACTCCGCTGACGGTTCGCAGTCGTGCCATTGGTACCATTGCGGGTTGGCCCAGCTGTCACACCGCTCCTCCCGGTAGTCGGTGGCCTTACATCCTTCTTGCCCTTCTTCGCTTCCTCGGCCTTTAGTTCCTTGCGTTCCTTCAAGGTCAACTGCTTCTCCACCTTCTTGTGCTGAATCTTCCCAACGGATGACAGCATGGGCTGATTGGCCTGGGCCCTTGCCATAATCTCTGCATACGAGCGTTTCTTCGGAGGTCCAGAGCCGGCGACAGGAGCGCTAGGGGCAGGTCGGCTGACGAGCGGTCGCGAAAGTGGAGCCTTATTCCCATTCGAGCTTGTTCCTCCCACCTTTGACTGCGTCGATGTGGTCTTGGTTAACACCGGAGCTGTTGGTTTCGTGGACGAACGTGGTTGCGCGGTGCCAGTGTAGCCAGTTGTTTTTTCTGCGGGACGCGTTGGGTTCGCATTTCCTGTGGGGCGCTCCGTCGGTCGGTCGGCGGGGCGCGCTGTAGAAGGTTTCGATACGTTTCCATTCGGCCGGGCACTTCCATTTGTCGCTGGTTCGGTACGCGGGGCCTTTGGCGCAGAACCTCGAAGGTCATCGTCGGCCTTCCGTTTAGATGCTACTGGGACATCTTTCGTAGAGATCGATGATGACGATGGCTTTTCGCCCGTTATCGATGCAAGCAAATCCGAAATCTGCACACGTGTCAGCCAGCCTTTTAAAGGGCAAGCGCACTAAAGAATGGCAACTTACCGGCATGGCTGCGGTTGTATCGGTGGAATAACCTTCTTTTTACCAGCTTTGCTTATCCTTCTCCTGCGTTCAAAAGACGGAGAGTTGTCCAGGCATCGAACAAGAGGAGAAGGAAGTAGGTGGCAGGGTTTTATATGCTTTCGTCACAGATCGCCTTCCGCTGACGATGCAAGATGCACAGTGGGACAGGCGCGAATGCTTTGGCCAAAAAGACGGCGAAGAATGAGTGTGAGTATGCGAGGTCGCCAGTCGCCCGATAGTGCCGAAACCAAGAATAAGAATTGGGCTGGAGATGGGTTGTTGGCGAAAGAAGAACAAAGAGTCCTGCGTGATCGGGGACTTGGTTTCGCAACTTTTGCTGGGCAGAGACAGAGACGGGAGCCAGGATGGTCAGCGTAGTGAACGACCCACCCAGTCACTTCTGGTCGGAGCGGTGAATCGCGGTCTCCGAGGTCAAAGTCACAGGCCCAGACGGTCCAGACCAGCAGCGTGCCAAGCCGCACGTCACCGAAAAAGTTGTGTAATTGCCAAGAGCGCCCAAGGCGTTATGAATTGGCCAGCTTTTTATGTAATTGCAAGCGGCCGGCAGGCAACGACGGGAAGGAGCTTGGCGAGAAAGAACGCACGGGATCTGCCCTAAGTCGAGTGGATTGGTCAGGTGATTTGAGGCTTGTGGGCTTTCGTGGGGCGCAAAATTGCGGGGCTTCACAGGAACGAAATTGTAAAAATAATCCGTGATCGGGTCCCGTCCGCGAACTTCTTTCCGAAACAGTGAACTTCCACCCCCAAGAACCTAAGAAGAGTCTTTCTCCGCCACAACTCAGCGGTTAAACCTGATTGACATCTCTGGTTCTCCAGCTCAGTAAGTTTTTGGTCCAGCTTTCCACAGCCGTAGGATTTCCGTCTAACAACGCGACCTTCAAGACAGACAAAATGAAGCACTTGGCCGCTTACCTCCTCCTCACCCTCGGTGGCAACACCGCCCCCTCTGCCGCTGATGTCAAGGCCGTCCTTGAGTCCGTTGGCATTGAGGCCGACTCCGAGCGCCTTGACAAGCTCATCTCTGAGCTCGAGGGCAAGGACCTCAACGAGGTACGACCATTGTCTAGAGAGCAAACTTGAGTGTCCGGCGCACGTAGCTAACACGAGATATCACAGTTGATCGCTGAGGGTTCCTCCAAGCTCGCTTCCGTCCCCTCCGGCGGTGCTGCTGCCCCCGCTGCCGGTGGTGCCGCTGCCGCTGCTGGTGGCGCTGCTGAGGAGAAGAAGGAGGAGAAGGTTGAGGGTAAGGACACATTCAATCGCTTGCGCCGTCGTATTCAGCTGCTAACTGTCGGGTATAGAGAAGGAGGAGTCCGACGAGGATATGGGCTTCGGTCTCTTCGACTAAGCGTCTCATACCACTGTCCGGTAACATGGCATGGTATTTTCCGAGAAACCTTGACGGATTGTACACGCGGTTCGAACGTCACCTGCATCACATTCGCCTCGACGGCGGCAGCAGAGCTGGAGTTCTTGGGATTACAAGGGCACGTCTTTCATAAGGGCGTCAAACGGCACATAGGCGGAACAATACAAGTCGCAAGGTTTTCTTCGGACCTTTTTGTCCCTTCGTGATCATACATGTGCGTGCTGCGCTGTTCTGGACGTCTGCGCCTGCAGCTAAAATTGCTGGGAATATGTTGCTTGAACATGCATGTTTGTGAGCTTTTCTTTTCCGTTTCTGTCATCGCACTAATATGGCGTCCCAGCGGCGGCGCCCTGCGAGAACGTTGGTAAACAAACCCCTTGACTTTCACTTGACATCAGCTCCATTGTCGTCTCCATCCATTTATCGATACGCACGGTTGCATGTGGTTTCTTCAAGTCGGGCTTCCCTGTTGTTTTTGTTGTTGTTGCTGTAAACAAAGCTTGGCAAGCCCATCACTGGAGTTTGCGTTTCCCAGAGAAAGGATCCATTTCAGCGGTTGCCGCGAGCAACCATGTAACATCACCCCGTGTTTTGATTGGTCGCAGCTCCACAAGTCAAAATACTCGCTCCTAGCGAAAGCCAACAGTCAGCACGCACCCAGGACCCCAATCCAGAGCGAAACCCCCCATCGTCTCCTCTAGCTTCCGTCCACGACATGCTTCATCCGCGCCGCACCACATGATTTCTCGCTACCCTCGTTATTCTTGGTTCCATGCGCTACTCTGGCACGTAAATTCGCAATCGTCCACGCAGCTCTGTGTTTATTAGGTATCATTTTCTTCAATATTGGACTGGATTGGAAAAGGCGGCACACCAGGCGCAAAACAAGAGCAGGATCGTCCGTGGCTGCGAAAGACGGGCAAGGTTCCAAGCTCGCAACAGGACGAAAAGTTAGGTCCACCCAACGCCGAGCCAGCGCATTTGCAACCGCAACCAAAACAACAGGGGCGGTAAACAAAACACATGAACGACATGTCGTCCATTTCGCCAACGCCCATGGGCGGTGGAAGCCACTTTACGTCTATGGGAAGAAGGACATCCGCTAGACAAGCTTTGCGACGTCCGCCATCGCGGCCCATGCTCAATCGCAGCGAGTCGAACCCCCAGTCGCAATCTCAACAGTATTCCAACCTCAACGACAGCTCGGACGACGAGATCCCCGTACCCATGAAACTCAGCGCCTTAACCAAGGCTCTGCTTAACGACGGCCATGCATCCGAAGCCTCATCTTTTGCGCAACATGGCGCTCCAGAGGATCTGCAGTTATCACCCCCAGCTCGACCACCATCACGGGTTACTAGAAGAAGCGCGTTGTTGTCGTCAAAGTCAGAGGAAAGGTCGGAAGGTGTGAGGGCGCGGGAAGCGAGGCGGAGTATCAGAGGAGGAAGCCTGCAGCCCATGGACAGGCCGACATCGCCAGTCCAGAACGACAGCAGCAACAACCGCGATGGCAGCCCAGTACCTAGGAAACGAGTGGTCCGCCTCAGCAATCCCGTGCAGGGTCCAGTCAGCTTTTCAGGAAATGTCCGGAGACTCTCATCGACGACGGCAAACCAGAGGAGAACCAGGACAGAGAGCAGGGAAAGAGAGGTCGAGAAAGAAATTCCATCGTTTCTACAGCAGCAAGGAGATGCAGGATCAGATTCAGCGGGAGATGCCCAAACGCCCGTCATCAGGACGGTCAGGATTGCGGTCGGCTCTGGGTCTTCAGGCAGCAAAGGTCGGATTTCTCTAGGGGGAGGAGGAGGGTCGTCGGGTAGTTCGTTCGCCGGTGTTTCCGGGAAACGCGGCACAGGATATAGCGATCACGAGAATCCCGAGGATCCTGCAACCATTGGAAGGCCACAAACGGTAGCACCACAAAGCTCAATGCGTATCAAGAGAGTCGCAAAGGTTCCAGGGAGCTTTCTCAGCGGCCCAGCGCGGCGAGGGCGGAGAAGGCAGAGCGATGAGGACGAGGCAGCACATGGAGAAAACGAAGCTATGAGCATGAACCAAGACAACGATGGGAATTACGAGAGCCACATGCAGAGTCATGTCGAAGCCGCTATGGGCGAGCAACATTTGTCGTTCTACGGGTCCAACAATAACTATCGCGACTATGCCGCATCCGGAAGTCCTGTGAGCGGCAAAGCTGGAGCGGTTCGCAGGCGAGAATCCAACTTCAGAGCGATGGAAAGAGATAACGGGGAACTGGGTTACAAGATCGCTGAGCCTCATCCAGATATGCCCATGAACAACGACAAGGAGAACGAGGCACCGCCGACCTTCAAGAGGGCCAAGCTGACCCCGTCCACAATGCTCGATCACGAGATCCCGAAACCGGTAATCCCCGAACCAATGGCCCTCGACATTGGGCGAGACATTGGGCGAGATCTTAAGAGGCTTTCGATTTCACCCGACCGCAAAGCGCTGGCGCATAAGAGTCAGAACACACCGCACAGGCCGGCGCCTCCACCTCCACCAAAGATGTCAGTTGTCGAGACTGCAACAGCTGCGGCTGGGGCTTCTGCAACAGCTGGGGCGGCCAAGAAAAGGCAGGTCCTTTTGCGAGTGAACGGCCGAACATACACCCGCATTGACTGTATTGGACGGGGTGGTTCTGGCAAGGTTTACCGTGTTTCCGCTGAGAGTGGGAAGATGTTGGCCTTGAAAAGGGTGTCTCTTGAACATGCCGACGAAAACACCGTGAAGGGATTCAAGGGCGAGATTGATTTGCTGAAACGTTTGAACGGTGTGGAACGGGTCATTCAACTGATCGACCATGAGCTGAATCTGGAGAAGCAGGTACTCAGTGTGGTAAGTGATTTGTCAACTCCAAAGGATTCGTACTGAGTACTAACCTAACCCCACCACAGCTCATGGAAGTAGGTGAACTCGATTTCAACACGCTTCTTAAAAGCCGCCAAAGCACCGCAGAAGGCGCTCGTCTCGACCCAACCTTCATTCGGTATTACTGGAAAGAGATGCTCGAATGCGTGCAAGCCGTGCACGCCCGCGACGTTGTGCACAGTGATCTCAAGCCGGCCAACTTTGTCCTTGTCCAGGGCCGCCTCAAGCTCATCGATTTCGGCATCGCCAACGCCATCCAGACTGAAATGACAGTCAACGTGCACCGAGAAACGCAAATCGGCACGCCCAACTACATGTCGCCCGAATCTTTGATGGACTCGAACCAATACGCCTTCACGTCCGCCCAGAACGGCAAATTCTGCATTCCGCCGCCGCTGAACCACCGCCAGCACGGCGCGCCCAAGCTCATGAAGCTCGGCAAGCCCTCGGACGTCTGGTCGCTCGGCTGCATCCTGTACCAGATGGTGTACGGCCTGCCGCCCTTTGGCAAGATTGCCAACCAGATGTCGCGATGCCAGGCCATCATCAACTGGTCGTACCAGATCGATTTCCCGGTGGCCACCGAGGACGGCAGCCGCGTGCCCCCCTCGGTCATCCGCACCATGCGCCGATGTCTCAACCGCGAGCAGCGCGAGCGCCCCACGTGCGACGAGCTGCTGGCCGACACGGACCCGTTCCTGTACCCGCAGGAGTTCGATCCATCGGTGTACGCGGCGGCGGAGCATGGCAGGGTCCTGCCTGTCACAGAGGAGCTATTGTCGAGGCTTATACAGAGTGTGGTACAGAGATGCAAGGAGAGGATGCCCACGGAGGCGGAGGTGGTGAACACTTGGCCGCAGGCGTACTGGGCGACTGTGAGGAAGGCCGTCATGGGTGCCGGTAATAATGCCGGTGGAGGTGGAGGTGGGAGTGGGGGTGGCGGCCACCAAAGGTAATAACTCGGAGGCCGTTTTCTCCTCTTACCTTTTCTTATTGTTGTTGTTGTTGTTGTTGTTCACACATGTTGGAAGATGGATGGATTGTTCTTGTTAAGCGTTATGGCTTGGATACGATACCCTTGTTGTTGTCGGAAGTTTCTGTTGGATACCCCCCCGATCAGACCTCGGTTGGTTACTGGGAGTTTTGTATAGATACCTTCCACAAGACGTGTGGCGGTTGGGAAGCAAGCGATTGCGTCTGGGAGCGGCTATGTTCGGGTTTGTTCTGTGGCTAACGAATGATGGATCAAACGGGTTATGGATATCGTGTTCGCTGAACACCATGTCTATCTGGTCGCACGCATGGGTTGTATAATGGTGGAAAGATGGCCGTTATTATTTTCTTGGTGTGGAGCTTGCTTTGTTTCTCTTTTTACTCAGCTACTTGTTAGTGATGAAGATTATGACTGGAAAAGGTGCATTGGATTAATGGTGGGCGGGCGTTTCCGTTCCTTTTCCCTGACTATAGCTTTACTTCTTCTTATTTGCTTTAAGCCGTCCATATTGTCATTGTTTAAAAGCTCTTCATCGGGACAACTCATAGAAGCGTTTACTTATCCGTCTCATCGCCTCTCCCTTGCTGAATGATAGATTTCATGTAATATGTCGTAGCGAAGGCTTGACTTGCTTTGGTGTCCATAAGGAGGCCAGAGTGTAAGCCTGTTTCAGCGATGGTGGTTTGAATATCAACGTTTGGCCTAAAAGCCCAACGTTATGCTTCAGCCATCTTCGAAGTAGTCTGCCTTAGACTGCTTCAACCTCTGGAGACATAACAAACTTCATCAAGCTCAATATGCACGCTTGGTACTAGCCATGATTCCGATCCCCGTTTTATAATATGAACAAGAACAAATATGATACATGTCGAATATGTCGGTATATCCCCTTGATCCTACACAACTAGTCTATAGTTGATCTGTAATCACCCCTTTTCTAATCGAAGGACATACAGATATATGACGGAAGAAGCCCAGGCAGGCCTTGCTACCCCTTTTTAAAGACCTCGGCTTCAACGAACGGTGCTTGATAAATCCCACCGCGTCCGCCATCTGTAGCACATTTGGAATCCATCTAGCAGCAGCATAACATTGTAAACTTCCTCCATCCCCTTTGTCAAGTGTTTGTGTGCTATCGGTGTGCCATGCGGTCGGCTGTTTTGGGCTGAACGGTGTTGTTCGGTATTGGCCTGCCCGGGGTTGTCGGCTTCCTCCTCTCCTTCTCCCCTCCTCCTCCACTATTTGCCCACCACCCCTTGCCCCATCATCTCCTTTCAACAGTGGCATTCCAGCCTCACTGTTTTCTGTCCCTTCCCTTCCCTCTTTCTTTTCTGCCCCCTCCCTTCCTTCAGCAGTAGCAAACCACTGTGACCCATTCAAAGGCTCGACACATCATTGATCTTCAACTGGTTGATCCTGAGAACCGTGTACTTGTGCTTGCTGAAAACATGCTTCTTCTTCCTGCACCTCCGCTTCTTCTTGATCATGACGCGCATCGGCTCGCTCTCGGTACCCATGACGATGGCGCGGCACTCAAACAGGCGCTCGTCCACGTACGGCGCGCCCTGAAGGGTCAGGTCGCGGCTGCCGATGACCGAGGCCCGGTTCAGGCGCAGCACGTCGCCAGGTGCCACGCCGGGCATCTTGAACGGTAGCTTTACCGTGTCACCCTCGGTCACGAGGTACGGCTTGCCGTGGATGTGGATGGTCGTGTAGTGGCCCGGCTGCGCGGCGAGCACGGGGAGGAGCTCCTTAACTTGCTGGCTTATCGAGGGTTGTTGAGAAGATGGTGTGCTGGTGGGAACGGCTGCGGGGGCCTCTGGTGTTGTGGCGGTAGTGACCTTTGGTGGGCTGGCCTTAAGCAGGGTGGCGGCAGCAGCAGCAGCAGCATCGGACTGGCTGGTAGGCTCAACTTGCTGGGCAGTCTGGTGGAGGAAACGAGTGGCGGGCGCGGCGGCGGCGGCGGCAGGACGGAAGGGGAGGAGGAAAGATGGTGGGAGGCGCGTGACGGGAGTGCGCAGCTCCAGGACGGAGCGCAAAAGTGCCCTGCTCATGGTTGGGACTGGCGGTACGGTGCGGTCCGAGGCGCAACGAAGGGGAAGTTGTCGAGAGGTAGTGACGGAGGCTGTTGGTTCGGGCTTCGGTGGTTCTGGCTTGGACGGAGCTCCGCAATCCCGCGACCTGACTGCCTGCGTCTCGAAGCTGGCGAGGAAAAATCGGGCCCCGTTTCTGGAGCGAAGCGTCGTCGCACACGGCACCGCTACGCCGGCAGAAAATAAAGCGGGGCTCCGGGCTCGCATTCACCAATCGAAGTCATGGGTCTTCACCTGGGTGAGCACTTTCGATATCAACATCACGAACGACAACACGGTCGATTTTCCATTCCTACACAGGCGAAACTACTACGAACAAGTTTACGGATACATGCTGACTTAAATCTGCGCTGCTCAGTTCTCGGTCGAAGAGCAAATTCGGCGCAAAAAGACCGCCACGGATGACCGCGGGGTATGGCCCGGCAGCCTTTACGACACCTACCTCTCCTCGACCTGTTGCGATTTACGAGAAAGAGAACAGCCAATGGAGAGAGAGAACATCAATCTTCGGTTCCACAAAAAGAAAGACAAAAATGAATCAAAGACAGGGATATGGGTGCGGCAGTGTCATCAGCAGCGACCAAAAAAAGTCGAAAAAAGAAGATTCCCCTCGACCGGAATCGAGCCGGTGACCTTTCGGTATACAATCTAGACAATTACAGCCGAACGTGATATCCAACTACACCACAAGGGGTTTATTTGTTGAAATACCTTGGATCTGTATGCTCTTATTCTTTGGACACAACAGCAACACCGACGAACCATTTGGAAGGCAGTATCACCACACGCCCCGATGAAATGTGCCATTAGAATTCGCACGAGGCTTTATTGAGCAGTTAGACATTCGGACAACTTTATATATGTTTACGGGTCACTTGCGAAGAATCACTCCGAAGTATCTTCTTCGCATCGTTTTCCCACACTGCACAAAGCACACTGGACGTCAAACTTCCTCTAGAAAATCAGTACGAATATTTATTGATTTCATAATGTAGCACAAAATTCCACAATTCCCGTCTCCCAAAGCTTTACCGTTTCTATGACACTGTCGAAAACCTGTTTTGACCATCATCGCCCGTTGCTAACCTCCGCTCATACCTAACAAAGGAGATCCAAGAAAAAGAAACTGAACAAAACCGACACGCCACTGTTTTTTTGGGGGGATTTTCGAATAAATGGTAATTGCAAACAAACCGATGTAAAACCAACAAATAGACAAAACAATAACGGTATAGCCCATCGCGCCCACCCCTAGTACCTCATACCACCTGCTAAAAAGAAGACGATTCGAAAATCATGGAAAGTACCCAGCACTTTCCCATCTTCTTCGGTTCAACCTTACACCTGCCGCTTACCTACCATGCATGTAATAGTCACCTGCCTGGTAGCTCATTCTTCTCCGACTCTCCCCTCTCTCAAGCGCACGACTGTCAGCGCAAACCCATTCATCCGAGTCGCTTCCATCGTCATCATATTCATCGTAACCGAGACCAGCCTTGAGCTTGTTCATAAAAGAGCTAGCAGCGCTGGGTTGCTTTTGGTGGTGCTTCTTTTCACCCTTGTCGTGCTTGCTGCCACGACGGCTGCGAGAAAGAGACCGCTCGCGGGTCTTGCTGGCTGATCTACTTCTACCTCCGCCTCTGAAAGTGGCATTGTCAGTAGCTTCGTTGTGTCTTGTCTTTGACAGTTTTCTTCGGGGTACCTCGGTGTGGTGACGAGAGGCATTCGGCGGATATGATACTTGCCCTTTCTGCTGCTGTTGCAGGGGCAACGGCCTGGGGTCGGGATTGCGGCCTCTCTCCTGTGGCATAGGGTAAGGGATGGACGGCGCGGGGCCGGGGTTCGTGAACATTTGAGATTCCCGAATGTTTCCCCTTGGCGGTCTCACCTGGGATTCGGAGGGTCGACGGGGTCGGAGCGGCGCAGGCACCGCTGTAGCATCGCGATCTGAAAAATAAGGGCCATGCCGCGGAGGAGGGACTAGAGGGCGGCCGTCTCTGGAGGTGCTTCTCGAGGTTGAAGCAAATGACCCTCCGATCTTTGAAGATTTCGAAGAGTTGGGAGGAAGATTGGGCAACGGCTTACTCTTGTAGTTGGTGATGGATCCTCGCTGCGGCGGAACTGCTGCCTTGTCATGAGGGAGGTTGATCATGCTTGATCTTTTATTACTACGACTGCCTTCAAATTCGTTTCTGGACTTATCTCTGGACCTGCCTCTGGACTCTTTCGAGGGTGCCCCTTGTTGGAGGAAGAACTCATGACGTTCAGTAGCTGACCCCTTCAAGAGTTTTATGTTATCGTTATGAGCGGGGGCAGGCTCTCTAGACTTGCTAGCTGATCTGTTCTGCCTAGTCTTACTGGCTGCCCTTCCCCGGCACTTGTCGCAAAGGCCCTCATGCTCCTGCTTTTTCTCTCGGGGGTGGGAGCAGTACTTGGCCTTGGAGGAGCGTAAGCAGCCCCATGTGCTGTTGGACTCTTTGGCCTTCTCACAAGGGCGAGAGGTCGTAGTGGAATGTCCACATTTGTACTCAGTTTCGGTGATCTTACACATAATGAACTTTGGTGTGCTTGAGGCGGTTTGCTGACTTGTTGCTGGATTTTGTAAGTGTGAGTTGTTTGATGATTAGGGTGTTGTTGGTATCGTTTGATGCTTTTGCTTTCTTGTCGAACTTGTGATTGCAAAAGAGCTTGTTGATTGACTCTTGAATCATCTCGAAGTGAAAAGATCTCACCCGTACTTATATGCAATCCCATGGGTTTTCTTGTTCTCGAAAACAGACCCTATTCCGTGTACAAAGGCTGCCGTCTTAGAAAGTCTTTCCGAGCTCCTTTGTGCGTCTACGCTTTGGCTTAGAACAACCCCATTGTCTGGCCCGAAGAACAGTTAGACTGTACTTGACCCATAACCCTAATTCCCGCACAAGAGACAATGCCCATGTGCCGTCCCTATGATATTCGGCAGACACCTTGGATCATTGACTTCGGAGTGAGCTGTTCAGTTTCGCTTATTGCCTTTAACACGGAGATCCATGTCCTCAATATATTTCATTGTACGTGAACAGTTATGAAGAAGAGTGACCCGCGCCCTCGTCAGCCCGCCTCATGCCGGCTCTGAATTGTTCATTCGTTGTACAGACAAGGGGTCACTGAGCTTGCTTTCACTCGGCTTGTAGCGGCCACAGTTACGAGTATCATCATTGATGCTGACATGGCTCGTTTGTTCAAAGTCTATACTTCGTAAACACCGTAGTGCGCAGGCAGCCCAAGTCTGAGGCATGGGCACGAGATGAGAGGTCATGAGCACGTTCAACTTTGGCTAATTCTTCCTTATTCAACTGCTCAACTATGCGAGTAGCTTGGTGTATCACGGAGAAACTCAGAGACCACAAGAATTATGGTGATTGCAGGTTTAATTAGAAGTAAGCTATACTTACTAGGTTATATCCGTGTTCTTTTGACAAGGCCTTCCAGCCTTCAGATCCAACCAGACCAGCCCCGCTTGATATGAATCAGCTGGGTAAACGCCCTTCTCTTTCACGCTGAACCCCGTAAGCTGACCGTTCTGCTCAATGAAATGGGCGTCAAATAACTTGCTTGCGCCGTTTCGGCTCCTGTCCTCAAACATACATTAATAGCAACATGTCCAAACTCCTAACGGCGCCTACCTGCGCATGCAGTTGACCCTCCACGTAAATGCTAACGCCCGAACACCTTCCCTCGCTATGCCAATCATCCATCATTGCCATCCATCTGCCTTCTTTTGTCTGCTAAGCAAAAACAAGATGGCGAAGGGCCAAGAGACCAAAGCAAAAGAATAATAATACCGGCAAAACCGGTAATCTTGATGGCTTGTGAATGTGGGCATTAACCAAAGCATACCGCCCTGAACAAAATCGACTCCAACCCCCTTAGCTCATATCCCCCAACCAGCTGTCTTAGTAGAGGCTACCCCGAATGTCTTTGAGAACAAGCGCCTGCATCATCGGGCCCTAGTCGATCCGGATATGATCCAGAATGAGGCGCTCCATCTCAATGGCATGCCGAGTGCTCGGACGTCCAGTCTTCTCGACAAAACTCTTAACCATTGTCATGTGTAAGCTAGGCGGTAGGCGATTCTGGCTTGATTCCGTGGACTGATAGATGCGAATTTCCTCCATGATCTGACGGATGCAGGTCTCTGCGAAGCGAGCAAGCTCGGTCATGGGCTTGCGATGGGTGGTATCATCAGTGCGGTCGATCGTCTTCTTAACCTTCGGCGGCTGGAAGACAGCCCAGAGCATGATTGTGCCATGGCGAAGACTAGCTTCCTTGAAAGCCAGGAGACGCTCCCAGCAATCAACATCGGCCATCAGGGCGGAGTTCTCGGAGGCATAGGCCTGGCCAGCCCAAGAGACAAGATGAAAAAGATAGGCCAAGTCGAGTGGTGATAGGGAGCGAATGTACGCCAACTGGCGATCATGAATCTTAAGCATGGCCTCATCGCCATCAAGCTTCTGGCTAGAGTTGCCGTTGACGGCCGGCTGCATCCACATCGACATGACGTCTGCCGCGCAATCTCCCAGCCTGTCCACCACCTTGAAGGTCTCTTTGAGTCGGGCCATCAGCAGCTCGCGTTCGATTTGAGGAAGATCGAGGAATGCTCCGGATGTCGAAAAGATGGAATCGATCTTGCTCCTCAGGGGCTGGCCTGGGCTCAGGATAATCTCCGTGCGGGAAGTGCGAATCTTGAGCTCGTTGAGGATATCGTAACTCTTTGGATAAAGATACTCGCGCTCAACGTTGTGCGAGGAGCTGATTGCGCCTGAAGGGGGGAACAGAGAGGAGTCGTAGCCGGTGTACAACGCAACAGCGTCCTTGACAATGGATTGTTCGTACCGAGTCACAAGCTCGTAGACATGCTTGCTGGTGCACATCAAGGTGACAATGGTTTCGATGTCGCAGAAACTCGCAACGCGGAGAAGAACGTCGTCGTTTAGGGCGGGCATCGTGTCGATTTGATACCCTTTCGACTTCGTTGGGAGAATTATGCGTAGTTCCAAGGCTTTTCTGGCTTTGATGATTCCAGAAAGGCCGCAGGCTGTTGAAGGAAAGGGTGGACTCAATGCCAGTCGAACTCAAGGGGATGTTATAAATGGCGAGAGAGCAAACGAATGGAATAAAGCACGAGGCGGGCACCTCGGGTTAAGATATCCTAGTGAATTGTGTCCAAGGTGGGGTGTATCCAAGTGATGTGCCGTGAGGAAGCTAAAAGTCAATCATGTTGAGTACCCCAGGTCTGGCCGCTGGTGAATATATATGATCGGGTGAAGAGCAAGAAGAAGGAACCTGAAGTCGGAGAGGGAACTGGAGGTGAAGATGAGCGAGGAAGTACTAGTTGCAGGGGTCTGCTCCCTAAGGTTGTCCATGACGATTGGCACATGGGACGAATTGGGGACCTTGACGGCCCCTACCAGTCATGATAAGTGCTTCGGACCTTTAGGGTGCCCAACAAGGTCCTCATTCGTCGGCAGCCACAACCCAGGAACTGGGGTAGAATGACATGGAATCCCGCCTTCCGAGAGGAACAACAAGTCAAGATTGGGGCCTAGATATATAACACGATGAGTTTGTCGCCTACCCATTGTGAACCCTACCACCTATGTCGCCCCATGCATCCCTTCTCGTCTGGCTGAGCGACAATAGGATGAAGAGCGAATGTTCGGCACATCGAAGCAACGCGCATCGTTTTTGCAATGCACCCCTGTGGGCAGAAGGCCAGCCATCAAGGTTACTAATGGAACCCTTTATTGTGGAGAGGTGATTGTCATGTCGACATCTTTGGGACGGAGAATAATGGTCTCATGTTCGGACGGCTCGGACAGGTTTGGGTGACGTGCACGCCATGACCTATTAACAGTGGTACTAGTAGGGCGACATTGCTGATGCATGAGCGAACGGCCTTTTTTTTCCCCTTCTCGTGGGTTCTTCCATTGACGCACCTGAGCCTGCAACACCACCACAGGTTATCGCGATTTACCCGCTCCATCCAACCTTCTGCTGACAAGCCTAGATATATGTACGCATGAGCCACGATCAGCCATCTTAATGCAATCGCCCTATTATTGTGCCTATCGCACCTCTCAGCGAAGTAGGCGCACGCCGATTCTACCACGGTTTTCAATCTTGCAAGGATCGACGCTACGTATAGGGGTCGCATAGAAATGTGGTGTTCAGGGCGACCCTTTGGCTGTAGCTGGCGGGAATTTGGTTGGCCTTATAAACAACCAACAACGCCGTGTCATGCGGTAAAATGCGTCTTAATTCGTCCTTCCGACTATCGATACATGCTTTCGGGCCGAAATGCCGTTATGGCGCCACGATATCCTAAGTCGATTTGGAGTGCTTCGTCACTGTGAGTCGCTTCCCCGCTAGTGACATGATCTTTTCGATCAGCGTTTTCTCCTGGTCGAGCTTGGCAATGTCGTCGGAGCCTCCTATGCTTATCCCGCCGACGAGAATATTGGGAACTGTCTTCCTTCCTGTCCTGTCGCCGAGCTCAGCCTGGATTCCGGGGCCCAATGGGTGTTGGTCCAATTCGACGACGAAGGGCGCAGGGTCGATTTGGTAGTCACCCAGCAAAAGGCTCTTCGCTTTCTTCGAGTACGGGCAATAGCTTTTGGAGAAAATGATGACTGGTGAAAACCTGGTCAGCGCTGTTTTTGAACGATGGAATCGTGAATGATTGTATGTAGAGATGTAACGCCTAGACTTACTTGGTGACTTCTTGAGAATGCTCCTAAGTTCCTCGAGGATCGCGTGGTGCTCCTCGGTCTCGACGGAGTCTCCCTTGCCGAGATGGTTCTGTCCATGGGCCGAGCTGCCAACGCCGACGACAGCTTCCGGATCGTCGGGCTTGTTGGGGGCCTTTGCGTTGGCATTGCTCTTGGCCATCTGCTCTGCTTTCCTGAGACGCTCCTGCATTGCCTTGGCCACGATCGCATCGTCCTCGTCAAACTCGACCTTTTGTGTCCCAACCACCGCCTGTCCTCTCCTACTGCCGCCGCCTATCCTTGACCCTTCCATGGCACTTTTGGTCTTGTGGTAAAAATCTTGGATCGAGCGGGGGTCGGGCTCTTGTGCATGGCGGGCACGTGAGGTGAAGAAGAGTAATGTAATGAAGCCGGCCAAGGCGATGTATAAAAGCGCCCTCATGCGTCGTTGGGATGGCATGGTAGGCAAATATGAAAGCTGTAACGGGTGGTTTGAGGATGGTCTAGCAAAGAGTTTACACGGACTGGTCGTCGACGAACGTAGGGGCGACGGCCAGTTATAGGCGTGGTGCAGATGGTGTAGAAGTTGCTTCGTTTAACGATGGAGACGTGCGCAACAATGTGTCATTCTTCGCGCCGTCAGGAGAGGCCGCCCTGCAGCTTAAAGTATGCTGTGTGCCAACGTTGCCAGAGAACAAACGAGCTGTTGATGCTAGATGTGCTTGCCTTTGATCACAAATATAGTATATGGATGAAGGTGTAGCTGAAAGAAGTCGCAGCGTGTTTGTGGTATGTCGGAGCCGAAAGAGTTGGATCGAAACTGGGGGACCGGAGAATGGATGTCGTCGACAAGGGGGCTTCGGTTGGGGTTCGGTTTCCAGGGCAGAGAAGCACCGCGGGGGGAGGGAGAAAGAAGTGGAAAGCAAGAAGGTGGAAGTTTGGAACGGCGACGGAGACGGAGATGGGGACCGACGACGCCCTGGTAGGCGCGACATGGAAATTGGGACTTTGGACGAGTTCCCGCTGTAATTCCCCCATCAGGCCCTGTCGAGGCGTCACGAGCCCGTAACCGGCACCGGCCACCATTCAAAAAGGAGCCACAGCGGTAGGGAATCGCCCTGCATTTTTGTTGACCCTCTTTTAGGTATCTCACAGTGTGCTGCCAAGGAAGTGCCGTGGTCCTCTGATCACCTCGGCTGTGCTCAACTTGAACTCACCCAGTCCTTGCCGCATTGGTGTGTCTGAACTGCAAATCGAGCACATTCGGGGTCAGTCGAAAATGAAGGATTTCGTCCATATCGGGAGTCACTGGAAGGGAATGAGTGAGACAACGACTTGAAATCGTCGACATCCACACTAGTGCTGACATGCTGCGCGGGGGGCATCTGAAGGGTCCGTGTTTGAGTGCAGGGCAGTGACGTTAAGGGAGTTGAGCCAGGGGACAAGTACGGGGCAACTGTGCCGAAATCCAAGGGCATGTTCCCCGCGTGCCGATCATGCACACTACCGTTCCGGCTGCAGGGGCAAGTACGTTATGTACACTAGACTGCCCGGGATTGTCAGCCTGGGCATGGTTTATTTTCAGAAAAAAAAAAAAAAAAAAAAAGCTCCGAACATCTTGACTATCTTTTCCGGACCCCTGTTTCACTTGGGCAGGACTTTCAACTCCTTAGTTCGATCTTCAGACTATCAACCGTGATACCTTGGTTGAACCATTTGCATAGCCTCGACTTGTCTCAGCTCATGTCAAAGCTGGAGCGCTTGGCCGGAGCGGGCAACGAAGAAAGGGTATTCATCCCAAGCTTCAATTCCTCCTCAGTAAGTCATCAAGAGGCAACCACATCACGCCGCCGTATTTGCAATTGGACTTCTGGAAGGACAGCATTGAACCTCCTGGGCGAAGCAGGTAATCGCAAAGACTAAACATTGCCAATCCACCAACAGAAACGCAACAAATCTCCGCCGTGCTAAGGCTTGTGTGCTATCTGATCAACACTGCAACGGGCATGAAACCAGCCGTTCAGAATGTTTGGAGTTTTTCCCTCCTCATTTACTAATCACCAACCCAGGAAACATGCCTTACTAATCAATCAGACCAATCAATATTGATTCGGAAACGCCATGGAAGTTCCTTGCATACGCACCGGTTCTGAAAGCAACGCAACTGCATTGCGCGTGAACATCATGAATCATTCTATCCAGCACAAGACTTTCGACATAAGATCTCGTACCTATCTTAATACTTTCTTTTTACAGACGAAAGACTCCGTCCCGTCCCGGCTCGGCCCTCGAAACGCAAAAGGAGAACCGTGCTGTTAACAAGCGCTTACAACCGGTAAAAACCGATGAGGGGTTGAACCATGGACATGGATAGAGGTACAAGTAGAGAGAGAGCAGCGACCATTCGACATACCTACGTCGTCGTGGTTGTTGCTTATGGCTTCTCTCAGCTTCCTAGATTTCTAAGCAAGTCTCCACCAAACAACCAGCGACATATGGAGATGCGCTTAGAGATTGTATACTCTTCTGAGTCGTGAACACCATGATCACGCAATCCCAAAATCCCCCACAAAAGGGGAGACTTATCATTAGGTGAAGGAACACAAGTTATCAACTCCTGACAACTCTTTTGTTCTCAACCACCCTCTTTGTTGTCCAACTATAGTTCCGCTCCCAACAGCAAAGCATACACTCCGGCTTGGACCCAAACCCAGCAAACACCATGGCAGCCACTACCACCCTCCCATCCGGCATCCCACCCACCCATCCAGCTGTAGTCGTCACGGCCCCCCGTGCCCCGCTCTCCATCGTCCAGCGCCCAACCGACCCCCCCGGGCCCGGCGAAGCCCTCGTCCACGTAGAATGGACCTCATCAACGCCTCTCGACCTGCACCAAGCCGACGGCGGCCTTCTCATTGATCTCCCGTACGTCGCCGGCTCCAGCTTCGGGGGTACCGTCCTCGCCCTCGGTCCCGCCGACGCCGACACCCCTGCCGCTCATTACAAGCTGCGTGTCGGCGACCAGGTGTTCGGCATGGCCTGGCGGGAGCCGCGCGAGCGCGGATTCCAGACATTCATCACGACAGCGACGTACCTGATGAGTAAATTACCCGAGAACATTACGATGCAAGAGGCTGTGACGGTGCCGACGAATTTGGTAACGGTTTTGCATACGTTGACTGAGGATTTGGGGTTGGAGATGCGGTGGCCTCTTTCTCATGACTCTAACGCAAAGGAGGAGAAGAAAGAGGATAAAGATCAAAAAAAGCAATGGATTCTGGTCTGGGGCGCGGGGAGTAGTGTCGGCCAATACGCCTTGCAGGTGTTGAAGAATTGGGGCTACCGCAATGTGATTGCTGTTGCGAGCAAGAAACATCACCAGGAGCTGCTGACCTTGGGCGCCGGAGTGTGTTTTGATTATGGAGAGAAGGACGTGACGGATTTGATTCGGGACCATGTGGCAACTGCGTCGTCGTCATCAAATGATGCGACAATCCCATTGGTGCTCGATTGTATCGGGTCATTGGAAGGTTCGCTGAGGCCGTTGACTAGGCTGGCCGAGAAGGGAACGAAAGTGGCTATTATGTTGCCTGTTATCGTCAAACATGCTACTGAGGATGAGTCGCCAGAGTATGCGATGGATGTCACCAAGCTTTTGACGGGAGAATGGAAGGAGGGCGTTGTTCTGAAGGGGGTGAGAACGTTTTTATACACCCAAGTGAGTCTCTCAATGAAAGAGCCGTCAGCGATATCCTGGAAGAATCCAGCTAATCCGAGTGCCAGAACGAGTTCATGAAGAATCATTGCCAACCGGACATCGTCCCGGCTTTGTTGGAGCAGGGTGTGGTCAAGCCGAACAAGCAGAGGATCGTTAAAGGCGCCACATTGCTTGAGCGTGCTACGAATGCCCTCAGAATCCTTAGGGATAGAGCACAATCGGGCGAAAAGCTGGTGTGGAGAGTTGATGAGAAGTCGGCTCAGGATCTGTTCCCGGACCTCTTGGTTTCGAAGGCTGATCCCACAAAAGCCGAGACAATCATTTGAGCCATTGACTTTGCTTTACTTTCTGGCCTGGACGACTCGACGACTACTCAGCTTTGTATCAGCACTACTCCTTGCTAAGACTCATTGGAAATAACCTTTTCTTTTTGTTTGTTCTTCAAGGAAGCTGCTTTGGGATTCCTTGACATTGTCCCCAGTGAGACCTTTGAAACTACATATCCATGGGAGACTTTGCCTGCACCTATGGATTGATATCGGCCTTTACTTTTGCAAGCCAATTGACGACTGGCTTCAGTCCGGAACATACAAGGCCGCGTCCTGATGTAGTAACCGAAGACTTGGCCAAAAGTACTTGATAGAGCCCTTCACGTTCCCGATTCCTCCAACCAGGATGTTGTTCTGTGACCGGGTAGAGGAGCCAGCAGTGAGAAACATGAAACAGAAAATATCTCTCGGGAATCGGCTATGCGTATGTACATATGTGCTGTAGTTTTGGGGTGGATCGACCCAAGAGCTCGTTAAGCAATTTGCGGGGTAGTAGCAGTGATAATTCGGCTGTTTCAAGCCGTATTAGGAAATATGATGAACTCCTTCCGGGAAATTGATGCCCTGCAGAATCAAGCGAAACATTAAAAGGACCGATGTCCCGCCCCAATACCCCCATTCGCGATGCCACCTAAATTCCATCAATCAGGCAGCGGTGAACGGTTTAAGGAGTATGGCAGTGTTATCGGCGCTTGACGGCGACAGTCCTTTTAAAGCCTGGCATGTCCGCTCCAGCGTTAACAGTCGTGTGTTATTCTCGACAGAACCACAGGTTTTCCGCCGTTGAATATTCACCATGCTTCTTTCAGCATTGTCGGCCGTCCTCAGCCTTGCAGGCTCAGCGGCTGCTGCCCTGACCTACAAAGGAGTCGACTGGTCGTCTGTACCTGTTGAAGAGAAGGCTGGCGTCTCTTACAAGAACGTGAACGGTGCTGCCCAGTCCATTGAGCACATTTTCCGAGACAGCGGTGTCAACACGGTCCGCCAACGGGTGTGGGTGAATCCCTCCGGGGGCACATACAACCTGGCCTATAACATCAACCTGGCCAAGAGGGCGAAGAACGCCGGGCTGGGTGTTTATATCGACTTCCACTTCAGCGACACTTGGGCAGACCCCGCGCACCAAGCGATTCCCTCCGGATGGCCGACCGCCATTGACGACCTGGCCTGGAAGCTATACAACTACACACTCGATGCGTCGAACCAGTTCCATGATAATGGTGTGCAACCGACCATTATTTCCATCGGCAATGAGATCACCGGCGGTCTGCTTTGGCCGACGGGAGGCACTTCTTCGTGGTACAACATCGCGCGCTTGCTGCACTCAGCGTCTGCCGGTATCAGGGACTCGAGGCTAAACCCCAAGCCCAAAATCATGATCCATCTTGACAACGGATGGTAGGTCCCCTTACTGTGTAAAACCGGATCCTGTATAGAGCTAACATCTGGCCAACCACCACAGGAACTGGGACACCCAGAACTGGTGGTATACAAATGTGTTGAAGCAAGGGCCTTTGGTGTCTTCCGACTTTGACATGATGGGAGTCTCGTTCTATCCCTTTTACACGCCCTCGGCGACTCTGTCGGCCTTGAAGTCAAGCTTGACAAACATGGCCAACAGATGGGGCAAAGAGCTCGTTGTCGCTGAGACCGACTGGCCAAGCTCATGCCCAAACCCGGCATATGCGTTTCCGTCAGACGCCAAGAACATCCCCTTCAACGCCGCCGGCCAGTCGCAGTGGATCAAGGCCGTGGCAAACGTGGTAGCTTCTGTGCCCAAGGGCAAGGGACTGTTCTATTGGGAACCCGCTTGGATTCACAATGCCAACTTGGGCTCATCATGTGCGAATAGTTGTATGTTCTCGAACTCGGGGCAGGCCTTGTCCAGTCTGTCAGTGTTCCATAACATCTGAAGAGGAGCGGCTGAGGTTGAGAGAGGATAAAAGGGATTTCAGGTCTTGCGGATATCCAGGCTAGAGTGGTAGATAAGATAAGAAGCATGATGTGACCTTAGGACATAGTTGCCTGCCTCCAGAAACATCAAATGTGAAAAGATGACGAGAGGGAATGCGTGACCGGCGAACTGCTGGCATGCTTAGTGCTTGAATGTGTGTCAGGCCAATGCTGTAGATGAACTTGATGCTCGGGCTTTTGGCCAAAAGCGGCGAGGAAAGTTGGGAAATGACAGAATGTAGTCATCCGGTGGTTGGCTTCGTACCGGGATGACACAGCGAGAATGAATGAGATGATGATGCTTCATCCGTCCAGTCGCGACGAAGACCGCGTTACGTATGGTGGTCGGGTGTATACTGAAGTAAGTACCGTGATGGCCAGTGAAGAACGTGGTGCGCCACAGGTTGGCTCATGCCAAATTCACAGCAAAAACCTGGGTCGTCCAGCCACATCCATGGCTCCAGCCACAGCATGTATCGAGTGCGCTGGGGCGGGGCTGTTGAGGGCACAGAGCCCTACGAATTTTCCCCGGTGGGTCCTACGGACAGACGTGCACCGCCCACCCGCCGCCACTGGCTAGAGGTTTTGCTTGCTGTGAGGGCCGGAATCCTAAATCCACTCCCATCATCGCGACAGTCAGATTTTCGCTCTTCGATACCCCGACGAACAGCGAAATCGTGATCACCAACCACCTACCGCAAAGATGGCTGACGAATACGTACGTGCCCTTCATTTTATGATAACGATGATGCCAAACACATATCATTGTGTACTTCCCAGCGGACGGCGGCCATAATCGAATTGGTCCCCTTCCCGACGACAACGACCACACACACACAAAATTGCACACCCTCAGAATGAGAATGAGGAAAATGGGGAGAATGGAAGACTGACCTTTTACACTGTAGAACGCCGAGGAGGCCGCTGAGCTCAAGAAGAAGAGAACCTTCCGCAAGTTCTCTTACAGGGGTATCGATCTCGATGCGTAGGTTCTCCCGCTCGTTCGCCATTTTGAGATTCCAAATTCCGAAGAGAGCAAGCCGGCCAGCCAGCTAGACGACCAAACCAAACGGACCGGGAATATCACGATATGTTTCGAGCCAGACATGCGACGTCATTCCATTACCGATAAGAGAAGGAAGGGGGAAGCGGCACTCACTCGACATCATCAACTACTGGGGAATTGGGCGGTTTTGGATGGCTCGGTCGGCTTGCTCAAATCAGGAGGAAACATATGCTGCGCTCGCGATGCGCCATGACACATGAAAGCACATGTGCTGACAGCAACCTTTACGTGCAGTCTCCTCGACCTTGGCTCCGATGAGCTCCGCGATGTCGTCCACGCCCGTGCCCGTCGCAGGATCAACCGTGGCCTCAAGCGCAAGCCCATGGGCTTGATCAAGAAGCTCCGCAAGGCCAAGCAGGAGGCTAAGCCCAACGAGAAGCCCGACCTCGTCAAGACCCACCTCCGTGACATGATCGTTGTCCCCGAGATGATTGGCAGCGTCATCGGCATCTACTCCGGCAAGGAGTTCAACCAGGTTGAGATCAAGCCTGAGATGGTTGGCCACTACCTCGCTGAGTTCTCTATCTCCTAGTACGTTATCCCCTGCCCCTGTCGAATAATCAGGGAGACGTGTGTGCTAACTACGGTTACAGCAAGCCCGTCAAGCACGGTCGCCCCGGTATCGGTGCTACCCACTCTTCTCGTTTCATTCCTCTCAAGTAAATGCTCTGGGAAATGGGTGGTACTTGCATTTTGTCTCAAATCATGGGTTCGGCGAAAACGGACGCGGGTTTGCTCATTTGGTCATGGCATGGACAAATGTGCCAGGGACTATCTTAGTTTTGACGAGATAGTACAAACGAGTAATGATGAGTGCAACGTTCTAGGTGATCACACACATAGCTCTTGTCCGCGGATTCCTTGATTGAGCTTTGCTGAATGAGGAGAACAATAAAAACAGAACTCCCTTGGATTATCGTATCTAGCCTGCCTTATTCATCACTTCGCTGATTGATCCTTTCTTAGTATCAAGACTTGAATATAAATCACAAACACACATATTCACCATTACGGAATTCGAACCTACCCTAGCTGACTAGGCCGTTTCCCAGCATACCAACGTCATCGAGCATACGTACAGGCCCTCATCTGTTTATCATTCTCCCAGCCCTCTGCCATGGCCTTGCCTCGCCTCACCCATCCTACACCACTCACGACTCACCACTCCTTCAACCTCCTCCTCAACTCCCCCAAGCGACCGAACACACCGTGCCTCACAGCACGCCGCAACAATACCCCATAAAGGTATCCCTACACGTCGCACATTCACACACGAACCCTTTTTCCTTCTTCCCATAGTCCCACGTCAGCTGTTCGCCTTCTTTGATATCCCTCCTAGCCTGCACGCAAATGTGTTTTGGTTTCACAAAGTGGGCCAGCCCCGAGGCACCGATGCGCCACTCGCAGTTTGGGCCGCGCTCGGTGCGCTTGCGCGTCACGTAGGCCGAGGAGGAGGAGGAGGGCGAAGTGCAGCAGTGGTTGATGAGGGAGCCAAGGAGGTAGATGCAGGCGTCCGAGTTTGTGGTTGGTGTTGGGGGTGTGCTTGTGGATATTGATGCGGAGGCTGTTGATGATGTAATGGGCGACAGGGTGTTGGTGGTTACTATTGTTGGTGATACCGGGGGTGATGGTGAGGGCAGATGAGGGATGTCGGACGCGGGTGGGGTAGCGGTGGTCCGTTTAACCTGGAAGGCATAATGTTTGAAGAAATCCAGACACGCCTTTTGTCGGTCTTCCTCCGTCGGGTTGGCGATGAGCATCTCGCTCACGCCAGCTACGTACGTCTCGTACTCTTCCCGCGTGATGATCGAGCCGGCAAACCGGCCGTGCACGAGGTTCCTACCGAAGAATTTTTTCCTTGAACTGGTCATGTCGGGCTCGGTAGACTCGGCAGAGAAGATGGGCTCAGCGTCTTCCCAGGAGGCAGGCGGAATACCGTTGCGGGCGGCGAGCATGGGGAAGGCGAGCGTGACGATGTCTTGGCCGCCGTCGGCTAGGGCGGCCTTGTAAGCCTGGTGTTGGCTGTGCATCAGGGAGGCGTCGGCCGAGAACTTCTCGTTGAAGAGGGCCGTCATGAGAGGCGCCTCGTGGAAAATGAATTCGTCCTTAGTAAAGTCGCGAGCGGCGAAGAGGCCGTAGCCTACGCCGGCGCCCACCAAGCCGATGCGTACAGCCGGAGCATCCTTGGGGGCGTTACGTAGAAATTTGGCTGGCAACTGTGTGGACGACATATCAGCAAGGTGTATGAAAAGAGAGAGAGAGAGAGAGAGAGAGAGAGAGAGAGAAAAGAAAAAAAAGAGTTGAAGCTAATGATGATAGAGGGGCTGACTTCGACGACCTTGGCAAGACACTACACGATGATGGACATGGTTGAGTCTTGCAGGCCAAACATATGATGAACGATTAGAATACTCAACATGCCTTCGCCTGCTTCGCGGCATCGAATCCTTCGTCTTCATCAGAGGTCCTTATTTGTTCCTTTGATCGATGTTTATTCGCCATCCTGGTGTCAGCTTTGAGCCCTGGCTGGGAGAACCAGTGGGACGGTGGTGCGCATGCCTAATCGCCGCGCAACGACTCAAAGAGCTTAAGACGAAGAGAAATAGCAGGCCGGGGGTTGCATGAGAAAAGTAAAGTACGGAAGGGGGGAAAAATAACAAACCCGTGATGATTTTGGCAATTGACGTTGGTGGGTTTGGTGGGTCGATATTCCAGGTACACGTATGAGGAAGGTAACTTTCTGATGTTGCTACGAACCGACGGCTCCTGTCTCAATAAGATGGAAAGGAGGAGCAGTCTAACGTCTAACTTAGATATAAGAAGAGGAAGTATGCAATTACTGCACGACACTTGTCTAGTTGGCCGCCGCCAGCTTCTTCGCCTTGCGCTCCTCTTCGTCAAGGTGCTGCTTCCTGTAAACCTCGACAACCTTGTCCAAGGGGATATAGGTACCGGCCGGGACATTGCGCGCGCTACCGTGCTGGAAGACCCTGTCACGTGGTCAGCTTTTAGGTCGCACCAATGGCATCTTGTGTTATGTGAAGCAGAAAAGCAAGGATGGGAAGCACGATGCCAATGGCAGGCTGTCAGACACACGAAGCAATTGATGGCGTCCAATGCCAAAAGAACAACATCTAGTTGCCTAAGCTCGGACCACAAGCTTCGAGAGCTCTCCATCTCGTGTAACAGCAGCTGTGACCTGTCGATGCGTGAAAATGGGCGGAATGCCATTGGGATGGTAGTGTTGCGCGAAGTTGGATATGGCAGAGGAGGAAAGCATATCCGGGGTCGCAAGACTTCCCCGTCCACTTTGAAGCTTCGTAATAAGACATTGGGATTGATAACGTACTCGGGATATTTCATTTCGTAGTGTCCGCTTCTCAGTTGGTCGACGTAATAGAAAAGATGCTTGTCGTGAGCAGCCTGCTCGAGTGCCGCTGTCACCAGAGCGTTCTTGTCCGCCAAAGCCTCTTGGTGCTCCTCCCACTTCTGCAACCACTTCGTGATACTGTTCGGCTGTCCGTCCTCGCCCGGCCGAGAGAAGTAATAAAGAGCACCGAATGCGGGGATGGCGCCGAATATCACATAGAAGGCAGTCTGTCACTACCAGGTTAGCCTCCAAGTTGATATAACGATAGTATGCAAGCTATCACGACAAGATGACCCTGTTCTCCACACTGTATTCATGAACGTACTCCAAGCTCCTCGTTGGCATCTGCGGCATTGGCGTGGTGGTGCTCCCCATGACCGGCAGCGCTGTGGGTGTGGTCGGCAGGAGCGTGGCTGTCGGAGGCATATCGCCTCGTGTTGCGCACACAAGGGGCCCGAACCTGGCGGGCGACCCTAGAGACTCCAAGTCTAAAGGAGGACATGGCTGTCGTCGACTTATATCGTGTAATTGACAAGTGCGGAGCGCGAGTCGTGCGTCGACGGGAATAGTGGACCCTTTCTCTCCTCCTGGCGGAGTGACGCCGGGATCCTCTTTCTGCGGGGAGATCGATAAGAAGTTGACCTGGAAGCGGTCTCGGGAGAGCGAAGCAATTGCGCAAACAGGGTAAACGCCGGTTGTAGAGAGTGAGAGCCTTTCGGGCTTTGCAGAGACCAGGCGCGCAAGCTGCAAACCAAGATCGTTGTTCGAGTTGACGATGTGATGAGCGCCGGTACTGTAGAGGTAGAGGTAGCTTGGCTAGGTACGCAGCCCATTATCTGCACGTGACCAAGCCTTAACAGCCGAAATGGCCAGGAGGGCCCTGCGTCGAAAAGAGGAGCTTACACGATGCCAAGCCCTGTCTCATCACAGAAGCCTTCCGAACGCTGAAGTCGATGGAATCAGACAAGGTGTTCAAAGACGGAGGCAAAAATCGGCTAACATCCACTCGATAATCAGACAAACTGTCCTTTTCTTTCTCTAATTGTATTTAATTATATATCCTACTACAAAGGCTATACCATTGCAAAGCGAATGGTCTTATTCGTTCTCATTTACAGTCTCAGCATCACCAACCTCCTTGTAGGTTGTTGAACCGTACAGTATCATAGTTATAGAGGTACATCTTCAACCTCGTATCACAGCTCTTAAACTTTCCTCGCCTTCTCCTCACGCTAGGCTTGTAAGAGACTCAAAAACACCAACATCCGTCACTCACTCCGAACAACTCAAACAACACACATCTAAACACAATGTCGAAGCCAAAACTACACTCCCTCCCACTGAGTCTCTTAGCACTCCTAGGGGTTGCCCTAGCCGGCGTCTCAGCTTCAGCGTCAGCATCACCACCAGCCGGCGAGAAGCCATCCTCACCCTCATCATCAGCAACATCAGACGAAGTGGAACTCATCTGCCACACCTCCGACCCAGCAGAATGCTACCCCAAGATCTTCCAACCCACACACGAGTTCCAGATCGTCCACCCAGACCAAGATCTTCCCACGGGTCTTCACGTTCGTCTGAACATCTACACCGGCCAAAAAGAAGCCAAGATCAACGTCCCCGATGAAGCTGTCGACCCGTCCCTTGAGGGTCTCCCAGTCGACAACTCCATCGTGATCGTCGACCCAGAAGATTCTTCGGGATCAGAAAAACAGCAAAGTCAGGGGCAGCCCCTCAAACCGCCCAAAAATGCCCCCGCTTACGACCCACACGGCAAGATCAAGGAGCCCAAGAAGGAAACCGCCGAGGCCCAAGATGAAAGCTCAGCCTTCTACAAGTCCCTAGCCATCCTCAAGAAGGGTCTGGACATCGACCAAGCACTCGACATGCTTGAGGAGATTTCCCACGATATTTACTACGGGCTTAAGATCGCTGAGGACTATGATACCGTCCGCGAGCTATTCTGTCTGGCTAACTCGCCGTCCATCATCTCTTCTTCTTCTTCATCATCCTCCTCCTCCTCCTCATCCGGTTCCACCTCCTCTTCTTCACCAGAGACAACAGAGACAGGAGGACCCTCAGAAAAAGACCTCACCCGGTCCCGCCTAGCAGCTTCAATCATTTCATCTACTGTACAAAACAACCCCAAAGCTCTGGCGGAAATCACCAAGCACTGGCCCACGCTTCAACGAGACCACTGCACCAAGTCCAAATCCAAGGACTCTGGCTCGGACCCACTCCAAATCTCCGCCTTCCGCCTTCTGCCATCTCTCCCCTCGTCCGGCTCCCCGTCCGACTCGGAACCCATTCCCTCAATCCCTCCCTCCCTAACCAAAGCCCGTATCTCCGCCATCTCCGGCCTTTTGAAATCCCCCTTAATTCGACAATCTTTTCTCGCTGCTGGCGGTATGGACCACCTCCTCCAGGTCCTTCTTTCCGGCGCATCCCATTCTCAGGGCCAGGGCGCCGCTGAGGAATGGGAAAAACTCCGTCGCCAAGCCGGCCACTTGATCCTCGACAACTTTTTAGACGCAGACATGGGAGCCGTTTTGGGCGAGTGGCCCGATGCTACTGGGGACGTGCAGGCTAGCGATAAGGAGTGTGCTAGCCGTGCTGCCAGCCGTGGTGATGGGGAGAAGAAGGAGGGTCAGGCTGACTGTTGGGATTGGCACGCCAAGCAGCTTGCGGATAGGTACAAGAAGGAAGGAAAGGGAGGAGAGGGGCATTGGAGCTGGGAGTTGTGGAGTAAGTTGAAGGAGCAGAGGAAGAATGCTTCCAGTAACAAGAAGGATGAGTTGTGATGGGAGCCTGGTTGTGGTTTGCATCATGGCTGGAGTTATGTTTTAGGCTCACCAAAGGGCATCATGTAGAAAATGAGTTCATACCCGCATGTTTTGGAGATACGATACCACGTCGATCAACTTGAAGCGACGTAGTCCAAGCATTGAAGATCGCCGTCTTAGTGTACACATACTTCATCACGATCACGAAAACGACCTTTCAAATCGGGACAAGCCGCGCTCATATATTATTCTACCAAATCTAAATTCATCGAAATTCCCTTTTCCTTTTCGTACTGATGAAAGCAATCAAATAGGCTACGAGTGATATAGGCGCTTTTACTTCCAAGGCCCGACTAATCGCTGGCTGAACGCAAGCCTTGCGATGAATTCCCAGCCAGCATGCAAAGAGACTTCATGCGGAAAGGTCGACGACAAAACGTGATCGTGCCCCCCATCTGTCCTCGCTGATCTGACCCTAACGAACTTTGCCCGCCCTACTCTCATCTCTGGACATCAACGTCCGTCATCCTTGCGACTTTTATTCCCTGAACCAACATTGGGGAGAGGCATATGACCCTTGACGAAAACTGCCGCGGTATATACCGACTTAGAAGCACTCGCACTCGTTGTCCTCTTTTGGGTTTATGTGACTTCTTGTTTTTCTTTTCCTATACCATCAACTGTCCGTCTTAGGCCTCAGCTAGAAGTGCCAGTAATGACAACAACTTCCTCTCAATCCGCATGTAGGCGTGGATGCTAATGAGATGATTGCTCATGAACGTGCCTAAGTGGCCTAGTGAACGTTCAAGTGGAGTCTTGGTTTGTGGTCCTCCTTCTCGTTGACTTTCATAATGACTCTGCCCAGCTTGGTGAAGGTTAAAAGAAATTCTGGGCGGCGAACTATGCGCCTACATGCTTGCGACCTTTGAGAGCCACTATTGCCTGTCTTTTGAAGTTCGGGATACTCTGTCTTTAGAGAATGTCGCTCTTGAGGGCACATGCCCAGATCGTCTTCAATGAATAGCCCCTCCGCTGCTCCCGGTGTCCGAGGTGGGATGAATAATGAAACAAAAACAGATCGGGGACCTACAGCCAAGGCCGACTTGGAGATGGCTGTTGAAAAAGGACGTGATGTTGTTTAGTAAAAGATGAAATGAAAGACTGATTCCTTTTTTCGCTTTTCTCGAAAGACACTCGGGCGGTTCTTTTTCGGACTCGCTTGGTTCCGACGAATGACAAGAGGAACCTATTTGTCGTTAGGTCGCACGCCCGTATTGCCGAAGCCGCTCAAATTCCATCCCGGATACTTGGACGCCGACGCGTTTGCGTTGGGGGCTTCAGGTTGGGGAGGAATGCTTGGGAGACCACTTCCCGCTTCCCTCTTCAATAATGGGTTCGGCGGGAGCGATGCAGGCCCTGTAGGCTGAGGCTGGGTGTTTGACGTCGCACCGCCACTTGATTGATCCGATGCGCTCTTTCTTTTATACGCACCCTTGTCTTGAAGGTATTTCAAGGCCTGGATAATTGACAAATCTTCCTGCTCCTTGTCGTTCAGGAGCAAACGCTGCTGGAGGGTCATCTTTCCTCCGTTTAGTTCGCGCTCTCTCAGGGCCTTCTCACGCTCATTCGGATCATGGACGAAACGGCACTTGCCCCGCTTACCGCAGTTTCCTCCAGTCGAATAATACTTGCAGTGCTTCGACTGATCAGCCTTCCTGGCCACAGGGGGGACAGCGTTCTCTTCCGGACGAGTAGACAAGACTTCTGGCTTCTCGTCGTCAGACTTTGAGATGGTTGAGGGAGATGAGGGTTCTGACTGGCGCATCTCGTCGCCTTCGTCCTGCTGTTCGCGCTTCCGCTTGATGCTGGACTCGACTTTTTCTAACTGTTTGCGGAGCTTCTCCGCCTTTTGTTCTTGCCTCATAAGAAGAGAGGCCTTCTCGTCGGCGGCCTTTGCCTCAGCAGTCTGTGCCTTGACAGCAGCTTTCTTGGCTTCAATTTTGGCCTTTGATGGAAAGTTGGCCCGGCGCTCGGCGATCCAAGCAGCAAGCTCCTCGTTGGTGATCGGACTGTATCAAGAGTTAATGTTATTCTTATGAGACAGTAACAGCGGGACATGCTTACTTGGGAGCATCAGCACCAATCATCTCATTGAGACGTTCCTCTTCATTCTCATCGTCCTCGTCGGACTCATCGCCCGGAGTAAGACCTAGAGTGTTGGTCTTGCGCTTTTTCTTCTTTCCACCAGAGTGGTCGTGCTTCTGATGGTGAGCGGGGGGACTAAAAGCCTTCCCACCGCGGCTGTTGTGGCCGCCAGCATGACCATTTCGGCCGCGGACCTTGTCACCACCAAACTGAGGACGATGGCGAGGATGGCCGTTGTTGTGACTACCACGTCCATGGCGGGGCGCGCCTGCGGCGGGAGCACCATCATAGACGGGATGTGCTGGCGGTATGTAAGTAGTAGGAGGCGGATAGGGCTGGTATGGCGCAGGAGCATAAGGCGCCCCGTGAGGTGCACCATATGGCTGCGGCGGATACGGAGCCGGAGCGGGGGGTTGCGCAGGTGCGCCATCAAATCCCATTCTGATAGGAGGTCCCATCATCTGGCCCTTGGGTCCAGAACGATCACTATGGGAGCCTCTTCCACCTCGGCTGCTGGTGTTGTAAGGGGTCTGGGGGTGCGACTGATGGTGACTGCCCCACGGCTGGGGAGGCGGACTAGCCTGCGGTGCGGGGGGAGCATACGCCGGGCCGTAAGGAGTTTGTGGCGCGGGTGAGTATGCGGGCTGGCCGTATGGCTGCTGAGCCTGGGGGTAATGGGACTGTGTGCCGTAGCTGGGCGCGTAACCTTGAGGAGGGGGAGGGGCAGGAGGCTGTTGCGGGGTATGCTGGCCATGCTGCTCTGAATGCCACTGCTGTTGTGGCGGAGGGTAGGCACCCGGCTGGGGCTGGGGCTGATGTGAAGGATACGGGCTCGCCGGGGGCGCCTGCTGTCCGTATGCAGAAGGTTGCTGGCCATATCCGTAAGAATGAGAAGAGTGGTAACCGCCACGATCTGAGCCACCACGGCCTCGTCCAGCATAAGTGCCGCGCTGGGGAGCAGCCGGCTGGGGCTGCTGCTGTTGATAAGGCGACTGGCCATAGGTGGCGGGGTAGCCAGCAGGCGGGTTGTTGGGCGGTGCCGGTCCCGGAGGCGGGGGAGGCGGTCCGTAGTTGTAAGCCATGGTCTATGTGTTCACTTTCGAGCTATGGCCCGGAGGAAAAATGGATATAGATGAATCTTGATCTTGCCAGCTGGTGTGTGACACTTGTGATTTTTCCCTGCGCAACAGGGTATTTGCTGCTCAGCTAGTATTGAGCTGCCGTCACGTCCCTGCAAATTGGGCGTTTTGAGTGTACTCGGAAGAATTTGAATCAAGCAGGAGGAAGGAGGGATGGCAGGTATGGCCTCAAGACAGTTCAGACGCCGTGTCGATGGTCAATCGGTAGGGGTGTCGTTTAGCACCCTGGGCTTGTAATGGTTGATGTGGGCTTCTTGAATTCCAAGGCTGCAAGCTAGGCAACACGTGATGGATTTGAGGCCGTTCGAGTCCTGTCGGAGATGCCGAGAAGGAAGTAAATGCAATGATGCCTCTGCGACTTGGGGGTGGCTGTCCTGGTCGTCAAATGGTTTGTGACGGCAGCAACTGATCCCTTTTGACACGGGCAAGATGACAAGCTTTCACTGGCAGTGTTAAATACCCCTGGACAGCAGACTTTGCCGATGGTCAGGATTTGAGTATCCTTCAATCAGTGAGGGTTGGTAGGATTCAACTTGGCGTCAAGCAGCAGTGTTGGCGAGATGTTACACCTCAACCGATTGCAACCTGGGCTTTGCTTCCCCAATGCGGACTAGAATTTGTTAGAACGAACGAACGAACGGCGGACGTTGCGAGGGAATGTGGTTGGGACGAAGTGGGATTCAGTCCGACGATCGCGCCTCGCCGCACAATGAACCTGATGACCACCGGCGAGTTAACTCGCTCTGATGGCGTGGTGAGAACCCGACGACGCGGGGAACAAGATCAAGGGTCGACTTCGACCAGAAGCTACGGGCACTTGCCTGTTCGTAACACACGAGGCAAGAAGAATACTCACGGTTTAGGCTGGGTTGGCGATCACGGTCACAAGTGAGTGCCGGGGTCGAGAAGTACGAAGTGGAGGTTGAACGTAATCTATCTCGAGAAGATGGTTTGGAGATGGATGGAGGGGTGAAGTTGTGAAATGGAGGTCGAAGGGTGAAGGAGAGAGACGTGGAGTGTGGAAGGAGATGCGCGTTGGTGGGTCCACACTTAAGGTTCCCAAACCAAAGGCGGTCAGCCGATCTACGCAGGGGTGGAGGGGGCAGAATTCGAATCTCTGTTTTCTCAGGGTCGAGGGTCCGGGTGTTGGCAGGAGGTGCGTTGCTGCCCGCGTTATTGCAGTGGTGTTCGGCGGACTTTCGGGCAGGCTCCAGCACAGCCAGCTCGACCGGATTGCAGGCGCGCAAACTGTGGCACGGCAGGCAGACCTCGAGTCCCAAGTGCAAGTCTACAATCTAACCCTGGTATGTTTGTTAGTTTGGTACAAAAAAACGCCCATCTCCACTCGAGAGCCCCCGAAAGTGAAGAAGCGTTCGATTTTCCAGTGATTTTCAAACAGATAGGTACTAGATGGGGACTACCCTTTTATATTTTCCTATGCTTGGAGGTCTTCAGGAGACGGATGGAGGTATAAAAAGAGGCATTTGTGGCGTATTACACCCTGGTCATTGTTGGTCTCTCCAAACGAAAACTCCAAGGAAGCCAATAAGAGCTCTATATCTCCCCTGTTCAACCCATGGCTGAAGAACCAAACTAACAAACATACCAGTATTATATTGTAGAGGTACCTAGAGGTACTACGCTCCCGTCCAGTGCCCGACGGTGGGGCTTTCAACTTTCACCTTCAGTCCCGTCCTGATTACACCAAGGGCAGCACGCAGGCAGGTGCGCGATCCAGTAAAACTGGTAATATTGAAGGAAGTTGAAAGAGACGAGGGGACTTTTACATAGCCCTTCAGATCATACCCTCTCGAATCTTGACTGGGACATTCATCTTCATCGTTGCATGAAATTTGACGGATTGCACGATCAATGACCGCCAAAACAATCATTATCTGATATCGTCAAAAACCGCAGAATTTCCGCCCCCCGTCAAAACTTTTTGCATGCATCAACATTCAACAACACTGCATATCAATCCATGTCCGGACCGATGTGTATTTTCTTGTGAACATCCGGTCTCCTCTCACACAACCACTTACATACGGTCGTCACATTTCGCCCAAAACGGTCACCACACCACTACATCAAGCTGAGAGTGTGTCCAGTAACAATCCATACCACCATCAATACGTTTAGTCTGGTGCAAACCCCAACTTGAGAAGGAAGAGCTCAGCTGCACGGCACAAGGACCCTTCTCACGCTACAATGTTCATTACTGTTCGTAAACTTTCATCTTTCCAGTGTGTTTGCCGTTCATAGTCGAATGGGGTCTAATATCAGATAGACAAAAATTGCCGACTTGGTGCAGATTGCACCCGAGGACTTTAGCAAAGAGAGTTTCGTCGCGATTGAAGACAACATCAACGCCAAATATGCAAACAAGGTGGGCAACAACATCTTTGAACAGGCCCACCTAAGCACCCATCTAACCGCTGTCTTGGTCTACAGGTAGTACAGAAAGTCGGCCTTTTCGTCTGCTTGTGGGATGTCACTTGGACCTCAGAAGGTCAGATAGGTCATGGCAGTGGTTTAGTCAATGTGAACGGTATGATCATATTCGTATCCTAGTGCTCTCCTGTCATCACTGACATGTTATGCAGTTGAGTTCGAGATGGTGGTCTTCAGGCCATTCAAGCACGAAGTAATTCTCGCACGCATCACCCATCAGACCGAGGAAGGCATATACCGTCAGTTCCATCCTTCAATCCCCGTCTCTGTCATCTTTGGTTCCCTGTCTTGAGCCTAACACGTCTGTTCTCCTGCAGTTGGCATGGACTTCTTTAACGATATCTTTGTTCCCGCCGCGGAGCTGCCGGACAACTCAGAGTTGTGAGTACCAGCTCATTCCCCCTGGTGTCTTTCCGGGACATGCTAACATCTCATCCTCAGCGACACAACCGAGAAGGTCTGGGTATGGAAGGAAGAAGGCCAGGAGCTGTACTTTGACAATAACGAGATGGTCCGCTTCCGAGTTATCGGCGAGGAGTGGCACGACCAAACACCAACAGGCCCAGTGGAAGTTGACCAGACTGCAAACCAGCTCCTACCGCCATATAAGATCACGGGTTCCATGAAGGAAGGAGGACTGGGATGCTGTCTATGGTGGGAGTAGAATGGCCCACTCCGTCACACAGGCGAGAGAATCCAGGCCTAGACCAAGCATTGGGAGGGGCGTTTTATCTTATTATCCAATTATATTTCTGCACCCTAAACTGATGGCGGCGTGTATAATTTTGTGGTCTGGTTTCGTGGCATCTCAGGTTAGGCCGTTTGTTTAGTTTATGCCGTAATGCCCTCAAGAAGACGCTCCTCAACATCGTCGAGGACCGAGTAATGCTCGATAACCGCGAGGTTCTCGGCCTCGGCCTTGAACTGCTTATCGGGATCGACGCCGGGGCCAAACATTTGGGGCGCCGCGCCCATCCCTCCCATCTGCTGAGCCATTTGGCTTGCAGCTGTCACAAACCATCAATACTGGAATCCAAAGTGATCAAGGAGTTAACACCACTTACCATTATCGCTGCCGAGCAAGAAGTTAAAGACGGACTGAAGACCGAAGATACAGAGGAAGTACCAGCTGATGCTGGACATCCATCTGGGATCCATATCCTTGGTCATGACACCTGCCTGAAGCATGCTCTTGAACTTGATAGTCAAAGGGAAAGGCAGTTTCACTAACACCTCGTTAGCCACCATAACGCTCCTGCCACGGAGAAGACCCGATCAAGCCACATACTGATAACGTAACCACTGAAGAACGCATTAATCCAGCTCATGATCAGCGTGTTGGGGATAATCATGGCCATCTGGTTCTTCATCATGCCCATCATGCCCTCCATCGAGCTTGGATCGCTCAGTGGGTTGGGCTGGCCCTGTCCGGCGCGCTCAGGGTCCTTGAGGTAGGCGCCCGACTCGAAGGCTGTGACGAGGGCATCGCGGCGTGTGGCGAACGACTTCTTGGAAAGGGCGTGGAAGTTTCCGCGCAAGTTGATTCCATGGAGAAGGGAGCGCTGTTCGCGGATGGCCTTCTGATCGAGCTTCTTGGGGGCGGATTGCATCAACACACTCGCATAGTGTCGGAGTACGCCCGTCAGGATCTACATTGTCGCATTTAGTGTTAGATGATGAACTCGTGTCTGGTTGGAAAACCGCATGGCCATATTCAGGATCGGTCGGTTCGTACCATGACAATCGTGATGGGGAAGAGGATCCAGTAGCTATCAACACCTAGCAGTTAGCAATTGGACTTCCTAGCTTGTCTTTCGTAGCTTAGCGGCGCATTTGGGAGGCGCTCACAATAACTGGGGATCCCTATGGATCGTTTGGACCGGAACTTGGGCCATTGTCGCGATATCTGTTGAAAACCGTTGGCAGACAAGTTGTTGATATCACACGGAAGGCTGTGAGATCGGGTGTCGTCGTTGTCCCAACATCCAACGTCCAAGTCGCTGTTGACCGCGGGCGGGACGGGGCGCTACTGAACCCTGTCAATCATTGCATCAGCTCCCAGCGCCCCTGTCTTCCAAGAGGCACGTAGGTAGGTAGGTAGGTACGTATCTTCTCGGAGCTTGTGCACTGACCAGAATACCGCTTTATCACCGCTTATCGTGCCTGCCGGTGCAACAGGACCATTCCACCAAGGTGGCCTTTCCCTGCCTGCAATCAATGTCCCGGTCAAGCACCTCTTTGGCTTGCTTTGGCTTCACGTTGTGGGAGCTTTCATTGACCTCCAGCCTTCTCCCATTTCAACCACTTTCTCGCACCTTGCCAGCATCATATCATTCAACTAGACCTCTGATCACATTCATAGGGACAGTCCGTCCCTAGATCATTGAAGCACGATGGCGTCAACAGAAAAGATCACGGTCTACAACGTAGCTGGTAAGCACCTATACACGAACCATTGAGATCTATTCATGCACGTATTAACTAACACTCGTGTTCGCAGATCTCCGAGCAACAACCGACGACGCCCTCGTCAACTACCTCAACAGTCTCGGCCTCGTGCAATCCCACACTTTACTCGACACCCGTCTCGCCCTGGGCTTCTCAGCCTTCTTCCTCTCCGCCGCGTGTTTCGCGTGGGACTACAAGCTCGGCTTCGAATCCACCAAGCAATACACTTTGATCGCCGTGATCCTCTACACTTTACTCAATGGCGCCCTGACGTACTGGATCATGTTCGTCGAGCGGGGAACCATCTACGTCGGCTCGACCAAGGACAACAAGACGCGGATCAGATTGATTAGCGATAGCAAGAAGCCCCAGCAAAAGGGGGAGGCGCCGTTGTATAAGTTGAGGGTGGAAGTGGAAGACGTCAAAACGGGAAAGAAGGAGAAGATTGAACTGGAGAGGAAGTTTAGCGAGTGGTTCGATGCTAGTGGACGGTTTGTCGCAGCGCCGTTCCAGACGGTCTTGGCGCAGGGAATTCCGTTGGTGGGGAAGTTGGATCCTAAGCGGGCTGTTGTTGCTGCTGCTCCTTCTTCTGAACAGAATGTTATACAGGAACAGTTTGCGGAAACACCAGGCTATACGGCGGAGATTTTGGATGCTATTGCTAGTGGCTTGGGAGAGAGCCAGACGACGGCGGCGACGACGGGGTCTAGTGCGAATCAGGATGCTGGGAAGAAGAGAAGGAGATAGAGATACCGTCGCTTTCAACCGTACCATTTTGAAGTGGCGCATGGTTGTGATTAGGCAAGAAAGGGAAGGGATGGTCGCCAAATTTAGGCCAGCGTTGCTTTCACCTTCGTTATATCGGGTTTGCGTCGTCCGCGACTAGTCTGATAGCATGGTATCTTTACTTCACAGCGATTGTGTTGCGTGTTCTTGTTTTGTTTCCAGGTTGAAGTCGGACTAATGACCGGACTAGACAGCCTTTGAGAAGGAGTCAAAACTTGTCAATTGGGCGCGTGTCTGCTTGCTTCGGTACCTATACGCTCAGCGGAGAGCCGTCTCGATGAAAGAATAGAACAATATTCCTTATGATCACCACTATGCCTCGTTTTGAGAATCCATACATCGTCACTCTGTCACCTTGGAAAAGTATCAGCGCATAACTCAAGAAATAAAAAACTCCGTTGATCCCAATCCACCCCGAGCTCTAACCACTATGCATGCCTTGACGGCCCATATATCTATGAATGCATCATAATCCCGATACCCCCGCCTACCCAGTCGATCATCCATATGTCCTCATCCCCAAGCATCTCTCAACCTCTGACCTCCCTCGTTCTACACAACCTTGGCCCAATTCTCCCTAGCAAGCAGCGCCACCTTCCTCGCCTCTCTGCTCTTATCTCCACTAGCCGTGGCCAACATCCTCTGCATCGGCAGCGCATACGCCAACAAATGCCTCTCCTCAAACTTCTTCGGGATCGCCCCCAAAAGCTGCAGCGTCAGCTTCCTCACGGCCGCCAGAGCTCTCGCCACGTTCCCCTTACTCGTGTTCTTGGCCGCCTCTTCGTACGTCTTCATCCCCGCAGTGATGATCGCCTTCAGATGTCCCTTGAGCGCCTCGGGCTCGTTTGCGAGGATTTCGACGAGGACTTCGAGAGAAGTGGCCACCTGCGGTTGGGTGATATCCCCGGAAGCGGAGGAGTTGTTGAGGGCGGTGATGAGCAGTCGGACCAAGTGGCCAAGGTCTTCTTGGTAGACTTCAAAGGGACAGTTGCTGACGAGCGAGAGGATGGCAGTGGTGTAGCGGCCCGCGGCGAAGGCGGTGTCTTCGTCGCCTGTGGGTAAGGCCAGGTCGTAGAGGGGTTTGGCGAAGTGCGTGTAGGCCCACTGCTTGTAGAAGCGCTTGACGACTGCGTGGTTTTCAGGACTCAAAAGCTCGTTGGTCTTGACGAGACCGCCGATGGTGCGGGCGACGATGGCGCCGTTGGGGCCAGGGCTGGCAATGGCCTCGTGCAGGATGGGGACCAGGGCTAGGACGTTCTTGTCCTGGCGGGCACAGGCGCCGGCGAGGGTGTGCATGGCTACGGTGTTGTAGACTTCGAAGATGGCTGGGTCGGTGTCATCGGTTGTTGTGGCGGTCTTGATTTGCTCGCCCCAGAAGTTGAGGACACGCTTCATGGTTTCGGACTCAGGGTCGAAGGTTGACTGGCCGCCCTTGTACTTGTTGGCTAGGACGGCGCAAATGGTACCGCGAATCTCGCCGACTGCCAGCAGGACGGTAGCCATTCTCGATGTGTCGCACATGAAGGTCTCAGCGATACCCTGTGGTGCGTACTAGGGGGGATGTCAGTGCAAATGTTGACAGGAAGAGGGGCATCACGATGTTACGTACCAGTTCGGCCATTGCTGCGGGACGAAGCCCTTGAAGAATTCCGAGAATGAGCAACTTCCTGAAAGGCGCAATTGAGCTCGGCCCAGACGATGAGAGGTTCTCGGAAAAGAAGAAGTTGAAGGCATTTTGGGCCAAGTTGCAGGACTTTTGCAGGTTCTCGTCGAGACTACGCACCACGAGTGCTGCCAGGTTGGCCGCTTGGGCAAACACTCGCTCGCTCCAAGGAGCTTGCTTTCCGTAAGCAGCCTCTCTGTAAAGATGTCTGACGATGAACAAACAGATCCTGAGAAACTCGCGGTAGACCTCGGGGTCATCCTCCTCAATCATCACTTCGGACGAGCCATCCTCTCTTTGCAGCTGGTGCAGCCAGTCCTTCGATAGACCTTTGAATTCCTCGAGCCAGTTCCTGTCACTGCCTGAATACGCTTCCAACACCTTTGGCTCGAACTTCTCGAAACAAGCGTCGCGGAAGTGGAGAATACCGCCATGTAGCGCAGAAATAATATAGGAATTCGCCAACGACTCCTTTTCTGAGGTAGGGAGTGGAGACAAGGGGAAGAGATCGTGCAGGGCTGTTGCAAGCTTGAGGAAATGCTGAAGGGGTTTGAAGGTCTTGGGAGATTCACCGTCAAGGGCAACATTAAGGGGGATACGCGAGCACCCAATAAAGGCGAGTCGAGACAGGATGTCTCGGAGAGCATTGAGAGTGTACTTTGTAGGGCTCGTCCAGTCGCGCTTCTCGATCTCCGCCTTTGCTCTTTCAACGAGCTCTGCATACCCGTCCGTGTAAGTTGCAACAACTGCCTGCAGAGCCAGGACCGCTTCATCCTCCACCGCAGCGTCGGTAGAGTTATCGTTCTGGCTAAGCGCCAAACCCTTGGTTAATGTGTGTGTCAACAAAGAGCAGATCTCAGAGCAAACTGAACGAGAGACCAGCAAAGAGATTTGTCCATCGGGTCGAAGAGTCTGCTGAGTGGCGAGCGATGCGAGACCTTGGACAACCTGTTTGAGAACCTCTGGTGTAGTCTCTTCCGACTTTCCAGTCCAGGTTGGTAGGTAAACATCGTGATAGAGAGCTACCAGATGATCACTAGGCTCCGTCTTAAAAGCCTCCTCGTCCTCGGGATGACCTTGTTTCCTGTTCTTGAAAAGATCCGCCCGAGACTTCAGGGTGGAGTTCAAAAGAAGGAGCAGGTCCTTTGTATGAGAAGGAGATTTTGGTAGACGGAGGTTTTTCCTGATGATGTCAACGAAGGCCGCACTTTCAAGGGTATATGCACGGATATTAGTAGTGATGACAGTCATCAAGAGAAGTCCAGCCTGCTTTGTGTATGTCGGGTTCGCCAAGTCATCGCGGCAGTCGTCGACTACAGTATCGATATAGTTCTTGAGCAAGGATACATCGAATTTTTGTGTTGTTGTGCCGTCAAGCCTATTCGCAATTGCTCGCAATACATCCAGGGTAGCATCGATAGTCTCCTTGACCTCCCCGTTTCGTACTTCGTACTTGAGAGAGTTCCAAATCTTGTTGATGTGTGGGACAATGCTGGTCTGTGGGTTGTCGTACTGTTCGATACAGGCCTTGATCGTTTTGAGGATGTCGAGCTTAACCGAAACTGTTACTGCATCACCCTGGTCGAGCTTTCCAATGAGGAATGGAAATGCAAGCTTGGCTACTTTATAATGAGACGCAAAACACGCCCTTACGGCGTTCTTGAGGTCGTCCGCAGTGATGCCGATCGGGGTAGCCGAGTTCCTCAGTGTGATGGGGAAGTAGGCTGAGAAAGCCTTGAAGATCTCCTCGGTTACCTCGTCGGATGTCGAATACTCGGTAAGGAAGATGGGAAGCAGTTTAAACCATAGCATAAGATTCCGCGGGTCTCTCTCGTTCTGGCAAAGCTGAAGGATCTCGACGATGAAACCGCTAGATGTGCCGTACTTGTCTTGCAGTTCATTGTTCACTGACTGGTCTTGAATGAGACTGAGGAATAGCTCGTAAATTTCGAATCTGGTGGCCGCCGTTTGTAGTTTGAAATCTTCCTTGAGCTTGCAGACGTCCTCGATCATCTTGACACCGACTGCAGGCTTGAATCCCTTCATGGCGTGAAGCTGGCGCAGTGCCTTGGCCGAGGCAGTAATGCCTGCTTTGTGGTCGTAGGAAAACATGGCACCAAAGAAACCAACGAGACGGATGACTTGTTCAGGTCGAAGCAGGCTCTTGTCCAACGCTTCGAGAGTATCGGCCAGGAAGCCCAGGGCCTTGGCCCGTGCTATTATGTCACCGCTACCGCTCTCGTCATCGCCGTCGTCTGACTGATCATCGTCTTGTTTGGTGATGGTTATCCATGGCTGGATCGAGGCAGCCCAACTTCCCACCGACGCACTGCTGGCTCTTGTGTTCTCGATTTCTGGCCATAACAGATCAGCCCTGTGTTCCGCCGAGGTGAGAGTCTCATAACCTACCTTTGGCCGCCTTTTTGGCAATCTCACTCTGAGCAGTCTCGTCGTCCGAGAGCACGTATTGCAGGGCCCAATCCTTGAAACTCGACATGTTGAAAAGATTGAGATGGAGGTGGTAGTGGTGATGGTGATGGTACTTGACGTTATATGTTGTCACAAGCAGCAAGGTGGATTCGGGAGAGCGCGATGCAGAGCTGTGAGAGAATGAACGACGAAAACCTTCAACGTTTCCAAATGATGTGCACTCAACCTGGACCTCAATGGATTGCCGTCGGTGTGGTCAAGTTAGGGGGTGATGGAAGCTTGGGCCAACTTCAAACACAAGGTTATGTATGGGTAATGTATGGATGGATCAGGATGAGGGACGGGATTGTAAATGGAGATGTTTCTAAACTTGTCACCCGGCGGTCGACCAACAAAGCGAATAGAGATTAGTCTGGTCTGACAGCGGTAGCATAGGTACCTAGTCAGACACAGGACAGACGGTGACGGTGATGGGAAGGGTGGATTGAAGATGCTGGTGAGATGCCGTCAGTGGCCGATGCCCCTGGCCTGTGGCATGGCCGGGGCAACATCGATCATCACACTGCCGTTATCGCTGAAAGTTCCCCGCCGATATGTGGCAGAAAACGGCGTTATCGCGGGCGGTGAGGCTGAAAAAGCTATGGCGTTTCGCGGGATCCGATCGTGTCTGGGGTCGTGAGATTTACACCATGCCGGTTTCGGCAAGAGGGGCTTCCTTTGCGGCATGGATCGATCCAGTGTCGGGCAAGTCTTGAAATTTTAAAAAGTTTTGTTCCTTGCCTGGCCCGATATTGGAGGGACCTCCACCGGCTGTGACTCTTACGAGTGGTGCCCTGTAAAAGAAGGCCTGGAGTTAACGGGCCTCGCTCCCCGTGCTTTCAGTGTCCACGCGAGAATCCACTCGAGTCGCGCTGAAACGCCCTGGATTGGCGCCATGTATAAGACGACGAGAGATCCCCTGTACGAGAGAAACTCAATCGGCCACGCAAGATCGTGGCCCTCATCCCATACTTTTGACACTTCCAATTTATACCCATAGATTCTACTGCTGTCTCTGTTGTAGATCACCAATTGACCCGTCAGAGGTTCATCTGAACTGAAGCATGTAGGTACCTCATCTCAACTTGACAGTGAGGGAACCGCGGGGTACCCCGAATACCACCTCACTTCAACTTCCCCAAGGCATAGGCTGTCCGTCTGCTTCGATCTTCTTCAAACAAGTTCTTACAAGAACAGACTGAGGAATTGCGAGCATTACTATTGGGATATGACCATTTGGCCGTTTGGGATGCACCTCAGAAATGCGCCCGACTAGAACTTCGGCTAACTTGTTTGTGCGGTTTTCCTCCAGACAGCTTTTTACGAAGAACATCCCGAGACTACCACTACCACCAGTCTTCAAAACTCACCAGACCACCAACTCGCACATCGACATCATGGAGGCGCAACAAGTACCCAAGACCTGCAAGGTCATCCTCTCCGATACCATCGCCAAGAAGCTGCTTTCCGAGGCCCGCGAGACTCTTGCTAAGATCGAGGGTCCCAATGCCTCCAAGCCTACCCTGGCTGCTTTCCTGGCTACCGATGACCCGGCCGCTCTGCAGTATGCTGAATGGTCCAAGAGGACGTGTGAAGAGAAGTGAGTATCTCGCAATCACTCAATGGGTCAGTCCGGACTTGCCCCAACACCAGGGTCTAATCACTACCCCAGTGGCTTCAACTTCGACCTCCGCAAGGTCGACAAGGAAAACCTCGAGGAGGGCATCATCGCCGCCAACAACGACGACCAGGTCGACGGTATTCTCGTCTACTACCCCATCTGGGTCGGCAACCACAGCCAAGACAAGTACATCAAGGAGACCGTCGCCCTCTCCAAGGACGTCGAGGGTCTCTGCCACACCCACCTCTTCAACATGTATCACAACGTCCGCTTCCTCGACCCTCCCACCAACCTCAAGAAGTCTATCCTCCCTTGCACGCCGCTCGCCATCGTCAAGACCCTCGAGTACCTGCAGATTTACAACCCCATCCTGGCCTACGGCAACCGACTGTTCGGCAAGACCATCACCGTCATCAACCGTAGCGAGGTGAACGGTCGCCCTCTCGCTGCGCTGCTCGCCAACGATGGCGCCACCGTCTACTCTGTCGACGTTACCGGCGTCCAGGTCTTCACCCGCGGCGAGGGCATCCGCCAGTTGCGCCACCAGGTCCACGACAAGGAGGGCTGGGAGCTCAAGGACGTCTTGCCGCTCAGCGACGTCGTTATTGGCGGTGTCCCGACCGAGAAGTTCAAGGTGCCTACCGAGCTGCTCCGTGACGGTGCTGTGTGCATCAACTTCTCCAGCTTCAAGAACTTTGACGGTCCGGCGGTTAAGGAGAAGGCCAGCATCTATGTCCCCAGCATTGGCAAGGTTACTATTGCTGTGCTTTTGCGAAACCTTGTGGTGAGTACCTCCTCTTCTCCTTCCTCCCCTTGTCTCGCTACCAAGTTACACCCCAGCCATATAGAACCAGTTGAGAGACTCGCTAACAACAAATTTTTCCCTTCAACAGCGCCTGATCGCCAACCGTCCGCGTCCCGAGGGATCTGCGCCCGAGGACCCCAAAGATGCCAAGGCGCGTAGCGAGGCCTTCATCGAGGGTTGATCGGAACAATTTCCCCCCATATTTTCGCTCAAGATTTGCGTATCTGCGTCTTGATACAATTGCCTTTGATCTTTTTTTCTCGAGTTCTGGAAGGGCTGTTTGCTGGGTAGAAAAAAAAAAAACCGGATGGTTAGGGTTGGGTAGGATGGGAGCAAGGGGTTGGTTGATTGTACTAGATTTTTGTCCAAAGTACATAAAGAAACCATCACATACGTACATGAACAAGGGAATTGGTTTATGATTTTTCACGCTTCGACGTCTAATTTAGAGATATAGAAGGATCTGGGGATACCAGAAAACTGGGTTGTAACAACACCCTTAGACAAAAGACAAATCACCATAGGTAGTCTAGACACTACCAAAGGCCAGATGAACAAATGCTCGCATAAATCAAAATGTCCGTTCAACCTGCAACAACGCTCTGTCTGCTTCTTTCAAACATGGTTCTGTGACTCACTTACACAAAAGCCGTTGAGTGACTAACATAGGTACTAGCCGGTGGGGTGGAGCAGCCTGCGCAGTATAGTCCGGGTCTCGGCAGTGTACATCTCGGCTCCTCCGTCTCGCTCCGTCCGGCTCGTCCATGCGCCATGTGAACCCCGATAGTGACTTCCGGCCCGGTCATCGGATCTCAAATAGTAGTAACAACGAAGCATTAGCCGCTGAACCTACCGGTACATAGCCGGAATTGTCGTTATGTTTACAGTAAATACAGACCCATGTACAAGTAGAGTACTTGCACTAGCCCTCGAAGAAAGAAAACCTATGGGTATATCATTATCAGTTGCTGCTCCAACAGTAGTAGTAGAAGAACTACTGTAACTAGCACAAGAATTCCCCATCATGTCGGTCCCTCTGAAATCGATCCGCTCAAATCGAAGAACAACAGACCCCAAAAAAAATCTCAACAAACAAACACACCTATGTAGTACCTAGACCAAGACCTGACCGTACCTATGTATATATGCATCGCTATGAGAATGAAGCCCCCCATAAACTAACGTGACCAGATGAAAGAGGAAGAAGAAAAAAAAAAAAAAAAAAAAAAAGGATAAAAAAAGAATAAAAAGGAAATCGAGGAAAACCGAAAAAGAGAGCCGAGAAGTACCAATACCGAACGGGTCACAAAATAAACATAACAGTTGAGGTTAACGAAGAAGACTGTTCTCGACAAAAAAAAAATCAAAACTCGCCGCCGGACACCCGCCATGTTCCCCAATCCGCCCATCCGTCTGCCTGTCCGCCTGCTTTCCAAAAAGAAGAGACAAAAAAAAAGGAAAAAAAGGTCCGGATATAATCATCTGAATGTGATGATGATTTTGTTTCGCTCCCATATACACATACACTCATACACCCATCCGTCATATCCCCAGTTTCCGATCTTAGTCTCGATGAAGACAATGTCCTCCTGCCCGCTCGATACGTTTACTTCCCAACATCTATCATTCTGCTCCTCGCACAGATAAACTCAACATGTGTTATTCTGATCCCCCCCCCTTCTCTCCTTCCTCATTCTCCCACTCTTCTACCTCCTCCTCCCGTTTCCTCCTCCCACTCTTCTCCCTCTCACTCTCTCTTCGACTCGGCACCGACCCATCCATATCCTCAACCCCAGGCTTAAACCCCTCAAAGCGCGGCCCAGCTCCCTCAGTCAAAGGCTCGACCCGACAGCGCAAGTAGCATCACTGCACCTTGCGACTTTCAAACAGCATCAAGTTCACCGCCGTGTCATTCTCCCCGACCTGGCTGGTCGGCTCGCTAAGCATTTCCCACTGCCGGAAGTTGAAGGGCGTCAGCCGCTCTTGCGGTCCGCCCATCGTAGGCACCCACGAGTAACCTCCCCAGGGGTTGGCTACCATTATCATCGCTGGTCGCGTTGGGTTCATGGGGGAGGGTGTGGGCGGGTTGCTGTTGTTGCCAAGGTTAAGGTGGGTGAGGTTGGTATTGATGCTGATGGCTGGTGAGGGTATGGGGCCTGTGCCTCCTTGTTGTTGCTGTTGCTGTTGCTGTTGCTGTAACTGATACTGTTGTTGTTGCTGCTGCTGTGGTTGTTGTTGTTGTTGTTGTTGTTGTTGCTGTTGCTGCTGTTGGGCGGCATGCCATCCTTGTGCTTGAGCCTGTTGCGTATGACCGGGAAGACTAAAGTAACTTCCACCATTACCACTACCACCAGCGCCGGAAACAGCACTACCAGCACCACCTGCGTTCTGTGGCCCAGGAGTAACGCCTGGCGTGTGTGTTGGGGTGGTACCTGGGGCTGGCGATCCAGTGCCAGTGGCAGTACCCATGGCCATCGCCGTCGGCCTCTCTTTATGACAGAGCATTAAGTTTGCATGTGGGTTGTCCTGATAGCTGAAGATGTACCTAAGCTTCACATCTGAAGGGGACTTCAGAGCTTGGATACACTGTAGCCGCGCATCCTCGGCAAGGTTGTCAACTAACACGCAAGCCAGATCGAAGATGCGCCCACCCAATTGACGAGTGTCAAAGTCGGGCCCGTGGATCAGGTCGAGTTCCCTGATAAGACCAGCGCACACCATGAGAGCTCTGCCGCGAACTTCGTTTCCGGGCTTGCTGGTGTCAAAGGTCTGGGCATGGAGGGTGAGGAAATTGAGAAAGAGGGGAAGCCAGTGGTTCAGAATGTCGCTTTTCAGATCAATGTGACTGTCACCGCCGGCGGCGGCAGCACTGGCACCTTGGCCTCCCCACCCTCCAAGACCACCTGCTTGGCTAGGGAATGGTGTCAGAGTTTGTAACAGCTCCAGAATGTCAGTGAACCTTTCTACCATGACCGGAACCAGTTGGTGCTGACGAAACCCCATTGGACCGCTTCCGCGTATAATAGTATCCATAATGGCGAGAAAGTTCTCGGCTTTTTGGAGGCGCATCTGGAGCATTGACCTGTCTAGCGTCATTGAGGGTGGGTTTCTGGCCGAAGGCAGAAGGTTCAGAAACCGAGCCTGGGCCTGATTTTTGAGGTGATGTGTAAGGTCGGGCGAGAGAGAGGGGAGCATTCCAATCCATGAGACCCGCTGTGCGTCCATCGACTTTTCCATGGCGTTCATAAAAAGTTCTACGTTCGAAGGAACTCGTTCGCCCGAATCTGCCGCGTTTTGCTGCTGGTCATTGGACGACAGACTCAACAGTAGCTTAACATGGCAGAAGGGGAGAGTGAATTCGTTAGTGAGGTTGAGAACTTGCTCGAACGTCACGCGTGTGCGCTCGCCAGCGGCAGTGACAAGCAGCTTGGTAGTCATGCGATCGATCCAGCCGTCAACTTGGGCGTCAGGTCCTCTGATTTGCAGCGCCTTGGCAACTCCTACAGGGTCCTTTAACACAAGGAGCTTTAAAAGCCCCAGGAGACGGTCCTGATTTGCTTCCTTATCCAGGGGTAGTTCTTCCAGATCGTTTTGAGCACGAGCACAAGTATACTCGGCCAAGGCGAGTTGGATCAAACAGAGTAGTTCTCGCGGGCTCTCCTTCTTGGCCTGTTCTTGAAGAATGCCAAAACGGTAGCGCTCCTCTGGCGTCAGTAAGCTTTCAGACGAGACTGGCGCCATGAAGAGTTGGAGCACTTCTTGCATATACTTAGTACGAAAGGTGGTCTGAACAATCTGAGATGTGGCGACAGCTGATGGAGGATGTCGAAAATTACCGGCTCCAGGAGCATTGGGTGACTCCGAAGCTGTTGCCAGAATTGCAGGCATTTCCAAACAACCTATAGAGACCAAAAGAGGGTATAGGTGCAGGATCGTTGCCCGCGTGTCAAGACCCCGCACGTAAAGAAGCCATTGTGTCATGAGCTCGTCGAAATGCTGTGGATTGAACATTCGCAGACGCTTCAGGAGAATACCGTAAACCCTCTGCTGTTCATCGCCCTTGGCCCAGTATGCCTGTAGTCGCTGAATCACCGCACTGAAAAGCCGATCCATCGTGTTGCGATCAAGACTAGTACCGTTGGCCAGAAGCTTCTCAACCTCTTCATGGAGATCGCCATCGTGGTCTGAAAGACGAGAAACCATATTGTCACTAACAGGTGAACAAGCGTCTACAGGATTGTGCCGGTCGCTCACAGCCAAGTCGGACTTCAACTGCGTAGCGACTTCGTCCATTCCAGGGACCCGGGATGCCAGGTAAGCGAGCGACGCAAGTAACGGCCGCGCTCCTATCCCCTGCTCTTGCACCTCTCTGAGCCTGCTATGAAGAATGCTAAACAGGTTTTTGAGACAGCTGAGAGCAGCAAAAACAAAAGTATACCGAGTGATCGTATCCGCGATTGAGGCGAGTACTTCAGGATTGGAGCATTTTGTCAGCATTCGGAGGACATCAGCAAATACTGAAAATTCCTGTGCGGCCTCGAATACTGTCCTTATCGAGTTGAAAAGTCTGGTAGAGAGGTCATGCTGACCGAAAGCGTTAAGAGAACTGTGTTCAAGTTCTCCTCCAAAGACTGTGTTCCGTAGCCAGGAAGCAATTTCTGCCTTGCGCGCTCGGCTGGCGTCTTCGATGCGCCGGGCTATTTTCTTAATCGGAAAGGGCCTGGCCATTGACACGGCATCAGTAACTCCTGCAGGCAGGCCTAGTGCATGCCGGAGGTGTCTGATGGCCATATCTGCATCTTGTGCGTCGTCTGCGATGCGAAAGCCTGCCCGGCGAAGCAACGCATCTCTAGATCGTTTCTGTGAACTGCCCAAAATATGCGATGGAAGCTCTGCAAGCAGTCGAGAAAACGGGGGACCGTCCGGCATGACCAGTTGCGGATCAGTCAGCCCACCACGCGTGATCAGCCATTGAATGTACTGCGATACCAGAAAAATCCCCGAGCGAACTAGCTCGGATACGAGGTGATAGAGCGCGTCCTTGCACTCCATCTCTTCAAGGGCCTCTCCTTCCATGAAGCCCAGCACAGCTGAAGTGACGTCCAACCGCAGCGTACTCCAATGCATTAATATCCGATGGGCAACATAAACTTTTGCGAGCCCTGGCCTGTATGGTGTCGTACACCACTCGAGGAGAGCCCTGACCAGGGCAGCCTTATCCTTGGAGACAGTCCAGCACTGCGCTGGAAACTCATCAGGCATCGGCTTCTCCAAGATGACCTGGTCCAGGTTCCTCACAAGGATAATTCGGGCAGCCGGTTGCGACCTGTTGGCGGAGGCGACTAGTTGTTCGTTCCGATAATTGATACCGGCAAAAGATCTATGGCGTGCTTCGTCCCCTTGAGGCAGACATGTTTTGAGAGCGTCTCGGTACTTCACCCACACAGAAGGCGATACGAAGTTTTCGGGTGTAGCCACCATCAGCGTTCCTAAAAGGTGCGATAGCTTGGAAAGAAGAGGAACATAAATATCTCTGTCTTCGTGTGCATGTATCTAGAAAAGCGTCAGAAACGGTGACCGGTTTGAACTGGAAGCCTTCTGGCTACGTACCACATGGTAATGACTAATGAGAGCAGTAGCAAGTCTTCGGCCATACTTCCTTAGACGAAGCAGGTCTTTCCAGTAAATTTGTGCGATAATAATCCACATGGGCAGTTGAGAGTGGTGGCTCGATTCCAAGCTAGAAACCGTCCAATCAAGATAATGCTCACGGTCCATGAGGCCCTCGGCATATAGGTGCGCCGCTAGCTGGATGCTACGTGCTGTTAGCTGGCCAGTCTCGCTCACAGGAGGGCACGGGTACACTTACGCGTAGTTGACCTTGGCTTTCCAGTTTTGCTCGCCGAACGAGAAAAAGACACGCTCAATGAAATTCTCGATGACGAGGGTCCAGTCCTTGAGCCACTTGCGCTCGCCTTCCAAAACCGAAGCGTTGTTTCCCTTACCAAGCCTCCTAAAGGTGCGTAGCTCGTTGGTGCCCACACACTTGGCCAGCCAGACGGCACGGTCTATTGGAACGTTCTTGTTCAAACACTGATCCAGCAAGACCTTGTTACGCACGCCGTGGGGGATTGATCGACTGAGTTTCCGAAGAGGAATGGCGGAGTTGGCCAGGTCTTTGAGCCAGACTTCTTTTTTGGTGTCAGTGAGCGTGACTCTTGGGGGCGGCTTGAAGGTCGATGGCGCAGTTACTTGACCCGCATTTCTCCTGTGCCATAGCACACCCGCAAAGAAGATGGATAACGCGTTCAGTCCACTCCGCTGCTTTAAGCCGTGAAACAAAACCGTCTTTGCGGATTGTGTCTCTGGGGTAACAAACTGCTTTTCGCAGTATCCCACCCGTATGGCCGTGTCGTTAAACTGATCTTCGGGGTGGTTGCCGGCCGTCCCTGACCATGGGAAGAAGTCGGCACATCCATAGTTTGCGGTGGCAGAGCTGCCTGTCGTGGAGGACGATGATGCCGTTGCAAGCGCACTTGACCTCCCCTGGCCCCCTTGTCCATCACTCCTCCCACGGATACGATAGCGCGGCGCGGCGGCAGGTAACTCGATGGTATACGGTTTCGGACGCGTGTCTTTCCGGGCCGGGTTCGGCGGCGGTGGCGCTTGTTCTCGACGCGAGTGATCGGGCACTGCTTTCGGTCGGCGCTGGGGAAAGGGGATCGGAACGTCGGCATCTAGGTGTTGGGGCGGAATGGAGAGTCGATGATGGGGACTCATGTCGCCCAAATCGGGCCCATCGGCTAGAGGCATCATTAGGTGCGTCAAGGAGCCATACTGAGTATGCGGTTCCACGAGGCCGGGAGATTCGATCACGGTGGGAGACGAGAAGGCGTCGGAAGGATCGTTGTGCGATAGCTCAAGCCTAAGGCGCGAACCACCTCGGCGCTGGGTCCCATAGCGACCAACACCCACGGAAAGTGCGGGTGACGAACCCGACGGGTCTGCGGGAGAAACTATGCTCGTGGGGTCTTGCTGGGCGAGTTCGGGCGGGAAGGCGTTGTTGAGAGTGTTGTTTTGGTTTGTGAAGTTGTTATGGTTGTTATTACGAGTGGGAGCCGGCGGCGGCGGCGGTAGATAGCTCGAGGCATCATACTGCTGCTGCTGCTGCTGCTGCTGCTGCTGCTGTTGTTGTGGTTGTTGTTGTTGTGTGTGAAGGTGTTGCTGTTGTTGCTGCTGCGCCTGGGCCTGCGCCTGGGATTGCGACAGAGAGCGCTGTTGCGACAGGACCGGGCCGCTCAACTTTCTCTGTTGGGGCTGTCGCTGCTGGACGCCCAAAGGGGGCCGGGAGGTCATCGCTGGAGGAGGAGCGGATGCGCCATTCCGCAGGTCGTTAGTTGGGCGAAGGGGGATACGGGAAACGGTCGCGATCGGGGTCCAGTTGGAGTCGAGTGGACGTTGTCTCGGTCGAGGAAGGGTTGAGGACGGATTTCAAGAAACTGGTCGTTTGAGATGTGCAAAGGCGCAAGAGCCGGTCTGGTGTCTGGATGCTGTCTGGGATCTGGAACTGGAGATTGGCCCCAAGTAAGTCCAGTTCGCTGGTTAGCCCCGTTAGATTAGCGATAGCGCGGCGTATGGAGATGCGGTGCGTGGCACTATCAATATCCGGCGGATGGATACCAAGCTAGATCCCCAGCTGGATCCCACGATGGACACGGGGTCCGGATTACCGGGGTGACGGGGGGGGGGGGGGGGGGGGGGGTATATGGTCAGGTAAGGTCGGGTAATGCTTTCGTAAGGTCGTACTAGCATAGGTATCCCCGAGTCCACCACAGCACAACGCTGGTGATGTACACCAAAGAGTTACAGTCCCTGGCCGAGTCTGGACCAGCGAGTGTCCGGCCGCCGACAGGAAACTCCCGGTCAAACTTTGCTAGACACCGACACAGAAGCCACGCTCGGTCAAACAGCACAGCTGACACAGCGCCGTCCCGGTAAAGTACCGAACGTGTTTCCCGTTTTGTCAAAGGGAAGGCAGTCAAGAGACCCTGCCTTTACTGGATGAAGACCTCCCAGACGGCCAGACCACTAGCAAACAAAATTGGCAACCTGGAAGTTTCGGGGCGGAAAATACACCAGCATAAGGATGTGATATTTGACACGGATACATATGCACCGTTCTACTGAGTGTACGGACGTAGGCACGCTCCAATTCAATCGTAATGCGGCCCGGGACCCTGACCTGGGCAACTCGGCAGCGATGGCTGTCATATGGACGATCATATGAACCATGGGTGAGTGGGAGGTGGTGATGCCATTGATACCTTGGGGATACCTATACATAGACAGATGGGGTAGGAGCCACGATAAGAACGTGATGTTGGGGTCCATCGAATACATATCAAATCTCCATGGCAGAGGCTGGGGTCTCGACACAGGGGGCAACGACAACCCAACAACTTGCAGTGCGGCTTGAGCCATTGAAACCTGCTGCTTCACAATCCAGAGACATCTACACCTCATCTTCCGGGAATGCGCCCTGTGAGATCCGCAGGGCCAGGGCTATGGATTGGTGGATGGACAGACTGTGGAGGCAAATAAAGCAACAAGGCGGTTTTATATGTTTCCGAACGGGATCGATTGCCATGTCGGTTGGTTTTTCTGTCTTCTGAGTCTGCGTTTGTGAGTGGGTGGCCTGTCGTCGATGCAACCCAACCGGAACTCGTTGTCAGAACCACGCAACGAGGTGCATGCCGGAATGATATCCAAAAGGTCCGATCTGCCCCTCTCTCAGCAACTCGATAAAAAGGTGATGAAAAGAGAGGGTCAAGTTACGTGTTGTCTTGTCTAGGTCCTTCGAAATGTCTCGAGACCAACAAGAGGGGGCAGGATTCGGTGAGTTAGTTGATCCTTGATTGCACAAACAGCAATGCAGCAAAAGAACGATACGATACGATACGTTTGACAAGAAAATGACGAGACGAAAGGCGGTCGTACAGAGCTCGATCGAAGGTTGCCGTGACACCTCAGCTGTAGGGATGGCGTAAAAAAGTGAACAAGTGGTGCTCAGTCGTCGTTGTGCTCCTACCCGAGACGCCTCCCCAGCGGCACTGCTTACAGTAGGTACCTGCCTGCCTCATGCCGCAGGGCCAGTTGACAACCACTGCCAAACTGTACAGACCGACGGGTCCGAGCTTTGTTGAAGCTTCGTTCCCGGCATTCAACCCGACCATCATGATCTTCAACAACATCCTGCTTCCGACACTTGCACCATGTCAACTGTAAGCCATGCGTCGTTGCATGCAGAATCCTTCGAAACTCTGTTGGAAAGCGTACCGTAGAAACGCGCCAAACTGGCAAAAGGCTATGGTAATCCCCAAAACCCTCTTTTTGCCACATAGTGCTGGCAGAACTGTAGCGCTCAAGTCCGAGCCTGTTCTTGGAAGGGTTTTGCGAGTTTGGCGAGATTCTACGATATTCTTGCGACTTGGTAGTTCATCCAACACGGCTCCTTCACCCTTTGGTCGAGTTTGAATCGTTCACGGTAGTGAAGAACACTCAATCCCATCACATACCAGTTCCACCTCATGCCGCCTTGCCCTCTCTTCTTACACCTCTTGTCAAACTGTCGCAACAGCCGCCTCAACCGCCTCAACCGCCCCAACCGTCTTTACCCCTCTAGCATCCAGGAGCGTGTGGTGGTAGTAGGCCTCGGAGGACGAACGGGAGCCGAAAACGTAGGCCACGGGCTTACAATTCGGCACACCCCCGCCATACGCCGTCCGTCCACAGCTATCCACGTGGTTCAGACACACGGTCCTCGTCGAGCAGTTATCCTTCGTCCCAAAGTTGGTACCTTTGGTGATGACTGCGATGGTGGCCATTGTTACAGTTTTTTGAATTGAGGTTTAGTAGGAGTAGGACATGGGCGGTTTCGAAGGAGGAGGAGTAGGAGGGCAGGTTGGGGCTTGGGGACGAGTTTCAGGTTCACATTTGTCGTAGCAGCTGCTAAGGTGGTTGAGGGGTGTGTTAGTTCGAAAAGATGAAGGGATGGGAGTCTGTAGGTGAAGCAGAAGACTCACCCTGAGTATATCACGCCATAGGGGTTGACAGCGTCGAAACACAACATGTGTGGTGAGTGGCATTCCTCTGCTGTGGGGGCCGCGCTGCTGAGTCTTCCTCATAAGAGAAGGAGTAATGAGGAGATTTTAGGCAGTTGCATGTTTGGTGCGGTAAACACGGACTTTAGGTGAGGAACATGAGGAGGTGTGTGAAATCTCACCGAATTACCCTTCTTGACAAGGAGAAGGTGCATCAGCCCGTCATACTCTATTCTTCTCGGAGACTGGTTGCTCCTAAACTACGGACACGTTCTCGGTTCGCTTCTGGCCCCATACGAAGTTCGAGCGCATAATTATCGTTTACCGAGCAGGATACAATGCGAAGTTCGGATTTCCTCTGGAATACTGCTACCTACTCACCCGCGCGCCACATTATCTACCTGATGTCTACTTGGAGTTTAAGTCTGCGAACTAAACCCAAGCTTCAAGGATCTAGGGGAGAGGCACTGTTTAGAATGTTCTATTTCTATCGACAACGGTGCAGCCAAGATTTAAATATTGGTGATCCAGATTGCGCTGATTTATCCGGCGCTCAATAACCCACGAATCACACAGCATCCGCAATGTTTTGGCTATATAACATGGCGGCAGCCAAGATGGTACAGTAGATGGTTCAGTAAGAATGAGGTACAAAATCGACCAGTGTCTAAATCCATGAACATTTCCTGAATCGAGAAAGAGGGAGTGTCTCCGCATGGCTGAGTTGGTAGATATGGTTACACAAAACCAAGCAAGCAGGATCATGTAGCCAACGTGGAAATAAATGAGGATCTATGCCGACTCCCGGGGTGCAAACTTGAAGGCCTGAATAGTTCTGATCTTATGACGGACACAGAGGATCCTTGATAATAACACTCGACTACACTGGAATTTTCACTCGGTCGGAGCCGTTTGTTCTCCTCTAGTTCAGTTCTAGGGACACAACCAGAGAGAAAAGGAAGAGGAATAACACGGAACGAGAAGAGAACAGTGACGGCGAAGTGTTGCCAGACTTGTCGGACCAGTAATGACAGATTTTGGCTGTGTGATATCGAGGGGTAATGACAATAGTTCATCATGTGTTTCCTTGTGTCAGGAGGAAGACAAGGCAAGACGCTTCGCGGAGCAATGCAATGTAGCGGTGCTTCATTTGTATCGACAAGTGGCACAATAGTAGATGATAAACAGGCGCTGTATAGTGAAGATTTATACCCAAGAAGTTAAGAGCGTATGGCAAGCATGGAACCTTTTATCTCAACCTTTATCTGTTTTCTATTTACTTCGGTGGAAAATTTGAGAGATTAATCCTTGGAAAACTGTCGAACTCATGCTATATACAGAACAATGATGGAATTATAGAGTGTTCTTGGCCTTCTGCCGATCGCATAACCAGGTCTAAGTGGAATGCAGCGGTGTTGATACAACCGCAATTTTTTCCAAAACCGATGGAAGCCACTTGTCCCTTCTGATCACCCCACGGGGAAAACCATGTCACAACTTGTGTTGTGACGTTTGATTGCAGATACTTCAACTTCTAACAAGAGACAAACCTAATGTGTATTGGGTATTTCCTCTCGGAACCCTACATCGGTAAATTTCAGGTGGAGTTGCTGCGGACCACGAGGAACGGCATAACTATGTGCAAATCTAGCATCGTCAGTCCCAGATGTTCAGACATCGGGACCTGAGTCGCATCTGATCGGGTCATATGGACATGACTTACCTTATACAGAGCCCAAGAAGCTGGGCAATGAGTGTACTGACGGATCGTCGTGAGAATACACCGAAAGAGATATCTCCTACAATAATGCCTCCGAATTCTTCATTGCCTCTTTGGTGTTACTTGCATCTGAATGGGAGGGAAAATGGTAACGGCAGAATTAAAGCGATGTCGCCCAGAATGTTAAATCATTAAACTGATACCATTTGGGCAATATCGCCGAGGCCAAGGTGACTCGACTGCAACACATCACGTCGGAAGATGAGAAGATCAACATGGAAGAGGTGAAGCTATACGTGTCGGCAATTTTGAGTAAAAGTACATCCAGAGTGGGATGATGTGCCCAAGATGGAGAAGTGACGGCGTGAAGTCGTGAAGTTATGAGCCGCATAAGCAAGAAGAATAAGGATAAACATATCATCATACCTACTGGAGACTCACGGCACTCAGTTGCATATAACCTCAATCCCCCCCTTCGAACTCTCTTCACATATAGTTCATAGACATCGCCCTCATCAGTATTCATCCTTGACCACAGCCCCCTACAATTCAACAACTCAGTCTGTCAGAACTCTTAACAAACACCGAGCCATCACAATGAAGTGGCAGACATTGGTCTTCAACCTCCTCAGCTCTACCACCCTCGCGAGTCCAGTATACGTAGAACCCTCAGCTCCCTCTCCTGTTTACACCCTTCGTATCTCCGGGTACGTCAAATTTCACAGTTCACAATTCACACCTCGCACCTCGCACCTCACACCTCGCTTCCCTTGGAAGTATCTCTTGACCCCAATCTTACTTTTACCTCAACTAACAAACACCCCCCTCCACCCTCCCAGCGGCGGCCCCGACCTAGACGCCCACTATCTCAGCGCCCCCGGCTCCATCATCGGGGTCTTCCCCGACACAGACAACAATCCCATCAAGTTCTACGCCGTACCCAATAAAGGCACCGGGCTCGTCGAGCTGCACAACTGGGCTGGCATTTCTTACCCCGGCTCGCCTAACACCTCAAAGACCAAAGCCATCGCTTTGGTGGGCAATGCCCGCACGGGATTGATGGACCTGACAAGCGTGGAGGATCCGGCGGTCATCTGTGGTGACAGCGATGGCCTCAACTGCGAGTGGACGAGCTTTACGCTTAACCAAGGCGCGCCGATCGAGGGCAAGCCGGCCAATACTGTGAGTTATGCGGAGCCGGGCAGGTGGGTGGCGTTTAAGAGTTCGAAGGCGGAAAGGGGTGGGTGGGTTGTTAGGTGGAAGTATCGTAAGTCATATTTCGAAATGTGTTGATATTGTGAGAGGTGTGTAGTTGCTGACGATAAGATGAAACGAGCAGCCCAGGCTACCACCACTCAGGACTTTGTGCCGGTTGATCTTGTGTATGAACCCATCTTCACCATTGCGGATACGGCGAAATCATGAACCTCGTACGGAACCCGAAGCGGTGATGATACTGAAAATAGTTGGAAGTGAGGCCGGAAGTGCCGGTAATTGCTGCGAGAGGTTACCGCGGGGATGGAGATAATGATCCATTGCGTTATTCAGTACTTGTCGTTCTCTTCCAAATATCCCTATTACCTGAAAATTTTGTCAAGTGTTAGCGCAGGTGTGAATCTAAAAGAGATAGAGGAACACCAAAACGGGTTGCTTGTAGCTTTGGGTTGCAAAAGCAGTTATGTGTTCGCTATTTTGACGCCTGATTAATTCAACATATACCTCATCCAAAATAAAGCCTCTAGCCAGTGCTTCCAATGCCGCATTCCTCTGGCTATCGGATAGGCCCCCCAAAGGATATAGAAAAAGGCGTATTTGACAAAGAAAAACCAATTTCGTATTGCTGTTACTGTGACAATAGTAAACTCCAGCCATGCACAAGACAGGGTACAGGTTCGTTACATGTACCGTGCCCGGATCTTCCCGAACCACCCGCCACCATTCTCGCTAGTCAAGAGCAAGTTTCCCGCCACATCCGCGCGGTTCTCTCTCCTCGACGTATTCGCTTTTCTGATCCGCACAGAGTAAATCGCATTGTCGTAGTTGACGCAATTAAAAGGCAAGCTCCTTCTTGATGTTGGCAATGGCGAGACCTGGGTTGAGACCCTTGGGGCAGGTGCGGGTGCAGTTAAGAATGGTGTGGCAGCGGTACAAGCTCATGGAGTTGTTGAGGGCGTCCTTGCGCTCGGCGGTGCGCTCGTCACGGGAATCGGCGAGCCAGCGGTAAGACTGGAGGAGGATAGCGGGGCCGAGGTACTCCTCGGAGTTCCACCAGTAGGAGGGGCACGAGGTAGAGCAGCAGGCGCAAAGAATGCACTCGTAGAGACCATCGAGCTTCTTGCGGTCGGCCTTGGACTGGCGATACTCCTTGCCCTACACGTGATGACGTATGTTAGCATCGATCTGTGCGCGCAGCTTTCTGTGACAGCGTATCCACTTACATCAGGGGAGGGAGTGTCCCTCTGGAGGTAGGGCTTGATGGACTTGTACTGCTTGTAGAAGAGGGTAAGATCGGGGACGAGATCCTTGACGACGTAGGTGTGAGGAAGGGGGTAGATCTTCATCTCAGCGCTGTTGTCGGCGGGAATGCGGCCTGTGGTTTGGAAAAGTAAGCATTCCGTCCGCCCCGAGAGACATATATCTCTGTGGATGCTGCGACATGGACATACACAAGCAGGCGAGGGTGTTGGTGCCGTTGATGTTCATGGCGCAGGAACCGCAGATACCCTCACGGCACGAGCGGCGGAAGGTAAGGGTAGGGTCGAGCTCATTCTTGATGCGGACAAGGGCGTCAAGCACCATGGGACCGGTCTTGTTGAGGTCGAGGGTGTAGCTCTGCATGCGCGGCTTCTCGGTCGGGGTGTCGGGGTTCCAGCGGTAGATCTGGAAGGTCTTGAGCTTGGGGCTCTGCTCCGAAGAAGCCTGCTGGCTCTGGGTAGCACCGTCGGCAAGGTTGGCCATGCCGCGGGCGGCGACGACGGGGCGGAAGGCCGGCCGGGAGGCGGCGGCGAAGACACGGGCGGACGAAGAGCGGAGAGCGGCCATTTTGATGGCGATGTGCGATACTGAGGGACGAGACAGAGACGAGACGAGGATGCGGAAAAGCAAGCAAGGGAAGCCGCTTGGCGGATGAGGTGAATGCCAGACTACGTTTGAAATAACCGGAACCGGGTTCACAGGCGGAGCGAGTGAGAGATGTAGCAGTGAGGTGGACGGAGATGCCTTCTACTGTGAGTGGCGCATCCGGGCGGGTTTGGCTGGACCCCCCGGGCCGTCATGACTTTCTTTCAACCGCCTTGTGTTTCCCGGAACACCTCGGTATACATCAGCCAATCAGCGCCCACTTATTCTTCAGCGTCCCGACTTCCGACCGTGGGGAATGCCCACTAGCCGTGCTATCCGGACAGTGTATAGCTGTGAACAGCATATCCCATCCCTGATTGTCGCTCATTCTATCTGATTTTCCAGAACCACCGGCTCGTCCGCCACGCTATTTGTGAACATGACAGAGTGGATGAATGTTATATCTGTATGGAGCTTGGTACTAACCATTACACTACATACGCCAAACATCCCTGGATTTGTTGCTACTGCCGGACCTGTTCACATGTGTCAGAGCGTTTCACCCATTCGAATGGAGATGTCCCAACTTCCATTCTACAGCGCGGTGCCGTGATTGCGCGGGACGGGAGCCACGGCACGTCCAGCTTGGTAAGAAGTTGCTCCAAGTAAATAGGCTTATAGCGAGCCGCTAGCGCGCTGATACCTCCATTTTCCAGCACTGTTAACCCCAACCCTCTTCCTGTACCACATCGCTACTGTGTAACCGCAATGTCTGGCCAGGTCCACTTCGCGCATCGGATTGACGGTGCGTTCCCGTCGTCACTGCAGTCTTCCCGCTTGCTTTTGCCGGCGATTCCTGTGGTGTGTTGATTGCCCGCAGACACTATCATGATTTACAGACACCTCTCCTTTCTCTAACCTCTCTCTCGACACAGCGGGCCCACGGGGGCTTCGCATGGAACCAAACCTACAGCGTTATCTACTATTGATCCACGATCTCCTTCATTGACAACCACCAGGGGCATACCAATCACGTCTTTCCATCGCCTGTTCCCCCTGGCCGATTGAAAGAGTTTCCACCACCCCCAACCCCCTCCGCAGCCTGGGCAATTGACCGTCCGACCAAGCAATGGCGTCCCTTAGCGCTCTCCGCATGCTGTCGGCCCCATGTCATACAGCCCGCCTGCGGCTGGCGAGGTCCTCGACCCTGATCATCAGCCCTACCTCCAGCAGCGCGTCGTACCGCTTCAGCCATATCAATAACTATAACCGACCCGCCGTCGACGGCATGCGATATCTGAGCACATTACCTCCGAGAGTGGGACGACGGATTGTCCACCAGCTCATGACACAAGCTCCATACTCGACGGCCGCCGAGCAGCCTGCCTCCGGATCCGGTACCAAGTTCGTCTACAACATCGCCGCCTCGTACGTTGGCAAGGGCCTCCCCTTCAACCCGTCCACCCACGTCTTCCACTTCAACCCCTACCACCGAGTGTCGAAGCCCGGCAAGAAGGCAAAGTCGGCGCGCCCAGAGTCCGGCCAGGATGCCTTCTTCGTTAGCCGTGTAGGGAACAGGCCTGGCGAGGTTGCGCTGGGCGTAGCCGACGGTGTGGGCGGCTGGATGGACAGCGGTGTCGACCCTGCGGACTTTTCGCATGCCTTCTGTGACTATATGGCGGCTGCCGCATACGAGAACGACAGGCAGCCCACCAAGATTGCATCAGCGGCGGCTAACGGACCAGCGGCGCCTGCTGGTGGTGAAGAGAACATCAGTGATGATGCTCCGCTAACGGCACGCTCGCTGATGCAAAAGGGATACGAGGCTGTTTGCCATGACCCGACTATCAAGGCTGGTGGCAGCACGGCTGTGGTTGGCATGTTGGATGAGAGCGGCACGATGGAGGTTGCGAACCTTGGCGACAGCGGCTTCGTAATACTCAGGCTCAACGGGGTGCACACCGCCAGTGAACCCCAGACACACGCATTTAACACCCCTTTTCAGCTCAGCGTGGTTCCGCCTAGTATGTTGCTCCGCGCTGCGACCTTTGGCGGGGGACTGCTTATCGATCAGCCCCGCGACGCCGATGTGACCCGCCACAAGCTGAAGCATGGAGACGTTGTCGTCTTTGGAAGTGATGGTCTTTGGGACAACCTGTTCAACCAGGACATTCTCCGTCTGGTCAGCAGCACAATGCAGAAGCTCGGCGCTTGGAAGGGCACCGACGCTGGGGTCCAGGTCGCCGAGGACCTGACTCCCTTCACCAAGCTCGACAGCGACGACAAGCCCATTTTCACGCTGCAGAGCTTCATTGCCACGCATATTGTCAGCGCCGCCAAATCGGCGAGCATGAACGCGAAGTTGGACGGCCCGTTCGCCAAGGAGGTCAAGAAGTACTACCCCCAGGACGCGTGGCACGGCGGCAAGGAGGACGATATCTGTGTGGTCGTCGTACTTGTTTCTGAGGAACCGGCGGACATGGCGACGCCGAAGCCACGCCTCTAGAATGGAAGGATGTTTAGGGAATACAGGACAACATCAGAAATCCTTTGCGCAAAGCGACATAGAAAGGGGATAAACAAATATCTTTTTTATTGGCAGCATCCGGGATGGAGAGCGCATTGTATTCTGAAACCGCAACGACCAATTTAGGGATCTTCATATTACATATCACACGTTTTTTTTGCATATCATATCCTCAACAACGCAGAACATATCTTTATGGAGCATTATCAGCGGCGTTCAAATGGCTCTTCCATCGACGGCTATTGTCTCAGAGACATAACTGGTATCAACACACAGAAGCGCAAAAGTATGGCCCTGGATCGAAGAAAGCATCCATGTTGTCGGATGTCGAGATATTGAAAGAAATTATATATTGACTCGATGTTGTGAATCCTACCTCGTCGGCGACGCTGCTCACCCTTAACCAACGTTATCAAGTGCCTCACCACCCCGCCTCATCATCATCCTAACCCTTAAAACCCACAAACCTGATCGAACTCTCCCCTGAAAGACCGCTCCCGTTCTATCCCATGTCAGCCCCGCAAGGCTGGAATGGAGATTTCTCTGACACTTCTCCCGACCGCCCCAGGCCTATGTTATGTTCTTCAACCCGCTTTCCTGTGGCTTCCGCGTTGCCTTCCTCCCTTCCATGAAAAAAAAAAAAAAAAAAAAAAAAACGCAACAAATCATCACCACACCCGGGTCCTGTACCGAGCTCATCGTTAATTCTGTGTTCTAGAGACCCATCTCGACCCGATCTAACATCGGCAGAAGAAGAATGGAAGACCCAACAATCAATAGTCAAAGCAGCATAACACTCAGCTCACGGGCCCCCACGGCATAATGGCGGTGCCAGGGCATGTAGAGGCAGCCCACAGGATCACTGGCAGAAAGTCACAGGTCTCGCAGCACGACACCGAGGAATGAACTAACCAATGTTTGCGTACGTACGCCTTCCCTTCCCTTTCCTTTCTTTCTGCCCTATATACTTTCTCCGACATGATTAGGAAGCAAGAAGATAGCAAGGTAAGAAGCGATAGGGCCGACAACATGAACCACGCCTCATGGTTCACGGCAACACAGTCCTTGGCACTACCACCCTGCGTTACGCACGCATGCAGGTAGCCGTTGGCAGTTGAGAGTTTTGTATCATGTCCATTTCTGCCTGGCTGCCACTTGGGGCCCTGGATCCTAGCTCATCGACATGTCAAACATCCAAACAAACTCCCAGAACCCCGTCTCTGTGACGTCTTCAATGCCGGCATTTGATCTTGTGGGGACAGGTCCCTGCATCATCTCCCTGCATCTTGGGTGTTCCACTCAACCGCACCACAACTCCCAAGTGATCTGGTGAATCCCCTGGAGAAATCCGGGGTAATGTGGGTCGTTGTGGATGATGATGTACGTAAAGTTGAAGCTGGGGAATATGAATGTGACCGAGCACCAAATGGTGCGGTCACAAAAACAACGATGACACCAGGCAGGTACGTAAAGGGATATTGATGGTTATGTTCGAAAAAACTGGCGACTTCAATTGCTTACGCCGTGGGTTGGTCGCCCAGAGCCCAACCCGTGGGATTCATCCACAAGAGGTGGTAAGACTCATCAATGATAAGCCTAGTAAAAGAAATTATGCATTAAGCAACTTCATCATCCGTCGTCGGGGGTATTATAGTCCATAGCCACACTTTTGCCGCAATAGCTATCCACCCGCTCGTATCCATCCTTTCATTAAGCCATCACAAAGCGCCCAGATTTTCCGTCAGTAAACTGCCAAGCCAACTCCAAGAATATGATTATCTCCAAATTTCCAAAAGCGAACTTTGGAGGGTATTCAGTCGTTTGGAGCAGCTGAGGCGTTGAAGCTCAGTTATAAACATGTTGCTCCGTCAAGAAAGAAGGAATTGTGTACGGGAACCACATTAAAAAGTGTTGTGGTTCCCTTCGTTTACATGATTGTAGGCTTTCTAGTTAAAGAAGACGAGGGCAGCAACGGTTCCGAGGATGAGCGCTAGAGGAGAAGCGAAACGCTCAGCATTGTTGGTGTTGGGGGGGCTGTTGGTAGGGGCAGAAGCGGTAGAACTAGCGGCATGGGTGCTGCTGGTGGTGGTGGTGGTGGTGGTGGCAGCGGAAGAAGCTAATAATAAATGTTGGTATGAGTACATGTTGCAAAATTTATGATCAAGTTGATCGTGTCACGACATGCAACTTACCGACAGAGGTGACGGTGCTGCTAGCATCAGTGCTGGAGGCAGCGGAGCTTGATACAATGGTGCTCGACTCAACAGTGGAGGAGACCATGGTCGAGGTACTGGTCTTGGTGACAGTGCTCAGGGTGCTCGAAGCGCCGGTAGTGGCCGCGGCACTGCCAACATAGGGAAAGCGGACACTGTAGTTCTCGTCCGCCTTGGAGTCACCATCGGCGATCTTGAAGGCATAAGTGCCGGAAGGAACATCCTCAGGAGTCCAGGTGTACGAGTCACCGGTGACGCCGGCTTTTAATTTGTCAGCAAGCAACTTGCGGCTCCTTCGAGAGATGCTATCAGGTTCAAAACTTACAAGCAATAGTCTTGAAGGGAGTCATATGATCCGCATCAGGGCCAGTCATCAAGGTGATGGTGATGGGAGCAGTGGCATCCTTCCACTTAAGGGTATAATCGACGCCCTCTTGGATGTTGAAGTCAGTGTTGGTGATGGCGGGCTTAGCGAGAGCGTAAGCCACGAAGGCGCTAACGGCAGCGAGAGAGAACTTCATTTTGGCGACGTTGACGAAAGGTTACGGCCGTATCGAGTAGTACGAGACTGTTGACAGAAGAGAAATGACGAGCAACTAAAGCGAAAGAAAAAGACGCGGTCAGTCGGGGTGCTCATGATATAAACTTGTGACAGCGGCCCCCAGCCTCCCAAGTGGAAGCGGATCACATCGGAATCTCACTCCGGGTCTCTTCCGCTTTTCGTTCTTCATCTGAGGACCACCGACATCCTGGAGCAGGCGCGGGCGCGCGGAAATCGGTGGAGCGGTGGACGATGGATCGTGTGGATCGGCGACCGGGTCGCTAGTCTGGGGGTTGGGTATGGGGATGTTCGCCTACGTACCCGATGGAGATTACTAGAATACTCTGAGTGTAGTTGTGAGTGTGGTGACGAGCTTTCGATTGTGAATGGCGGGGTAGTGAGCGTCGAAAGGACAGGAATCAAATTAGGTGGACGATATAGGTAGCGATTGTACTGGTTTGAGAGGGTCGGGTCAGGAGTCGAGAGGGACGGTGTAGTGTAGGTTGACGCTTCGAAAAGTCTGGAAAAAAAGGGAACGAGGCAGAGTACAAGTGGCAAGCCCAGCAACGGGCAGGGAGGACGGCGGGTCAAAGGTGCCTGGAAGGGTAAGAATGGCACAATTCAGTTTTAACCCCAAAGTGGCAGGCACCCTCGAAGCAACCTCAGTCGCTCGCAAGGGAAATCCCAAATCGTCGTGAAGCTGCAACTCTGCACAAATGCGCGCACCAATTAAAAGGCCTGGTTAGCAGGGGTATTTGATGGGACGCTCCAGGCACCCTTTCTCGGTTCTCACCTCTTGCAACTCGTCCAAGTAGGGTTGCTTTCCATGAACGGCGTGCTGAATTGCAGGTTAGTTCTTGCCCAAATCCGATGGAAAGGCCTTTGGTTTCGCCTCCATCTCCACGGCGTCTTCTGATCAAAACATTTGCTCGGAGATGACTCTTGAAGAGTTCAAGTTACCTGTCAAGATATTATTGCATGCAAGCAATGACACAGTACAGTCTCCTGGGAGCACAAAGATCCCATACATACTGTAGTGTACACAGTAAAACCCATCAACCCCGTAGATCTCCCGCCAGGCACATCATCACACCTCCTCTTCCCCGAGCCTGGAATGCGATGAGGTCAAGGGGCAGAGACATGTTCCAGTTCAGACCTCGGCGTGGCGCGCTTCGTTTACGGTTTGGATGCCATGAATTTTGTGCTTGACAACATCGCATGGAAATACCCAAAGCTCGGAGCCCATGATGATCTCGAAGGTGGTCCCTTTGCCCCGCCAACAGTTGTAGTGTATGCTTGTTGGATCGCAAAGTGCAACCATTAGTCTAGTGATCAGCACTGCCACCTTGTGTTGTCATGGAAACAGCGACCGACCTCGTGTCAGCACAAGGAACACCCTTTTTGTGTTCGTCGTAAAAACCAAAAGCGACATGGTAAAAGACTCTTCCTGGGGTTTTGGTGTATTAATGACTCTGCGAGATCGAATAATGAAGCCGCGTCAATGCTGGTTGCGATCATGCAGCATCGCGTTCCTGCGCCAACATGTGGGGTTCTCGTCTTAATTTCACAGACATCAGGGGCTTCTATTGGTTGGTATACTTTTCGGGGTTGGCCAAGAATTGGAGATGCACGGTTCCGAGTTCTGACTGTGCAGCATTTCGTTCGGACAATGCTTGGCCTGCAGCGGCCAGTCCAACTGCTTGGGCCACTGCAGTCATCCACTGTGTTGAAATACCTATCGAGGTAGGATAGCACTATGGAGCCAGGCATAGCGGGACGGACTGAGAGGAATGGAAGGGAATGTTGAATGGCGTCGACATTGTTTTCTTCAGCGGTCGTCCTTTGTTCCTAGAGGTAACTGCAGGTGAGACCCCTCATTAGCGGACTGACCCGTAAGAGCTGGTGTACTGATGGCGTGTGTCTCGGTTCACACGACTGAAGTAGTCACATTACAACCCGGGCATGCAACCAGGATTGACAACTCGAAATGACGAACTGACGTTTACTTGGTGGAAACGTTATTACGAAAAGGTCTGGGTAATCGGCAACACTTAAGCGCTTCATTGGAATCCCATTCCAGGTGATCATGGAGGGGCGCGCGCATAGCCCTACCGTGATGTCTGGTAAAGAGAAAACTGTGCATAAGGTCGCAAACAACCGCCATCATAGGCCCAAGTGCATGATTGGGCGAGCAATGGGTGGCTTCTTGTGTCACTCGAGCTTGATTGCTTATGGATTGGCCACTCACATATCCGGCAGCCCGGGTGTTCAGCCCCTTTGTTTCCACAAAGATTGGTCTTCGGTCAGAGCTCGATGGGCGTCTGCACTGATGATGAGAAACTCCGATTGTTGGGCCGAATGTCTGATAGTCTTGGCGGCACTGCCACATCTTGTAAATGATGCATCCGCCGCATAGCACTCGCAGACTTTGGGTCCAAAGGCATCGGGAGGCGGTTTCCATCAAGGGAAATAGACAGACTGGACTGCGAGCATGACATGCCTAACCAGCCAGTGGTATACACTTCCCGTATGCCTTTGAAGCGACTCATCTTCTTCCGTCATAGATCGCTGTTGTCAACGGGCGTAAACGGGCTGTAGCGAAAGGTGGGGACTTGGTGGGAAACGATTCCATTGTGATATCAAGACCGACTATGTCGTCGAAGCGGCTAACGGAGCTTGACTACAGTCAGCCTCATGAGCTCCGATCTCTTTTGGGTGCAGCAATGACGAATGGCATGATAAGAGACCATTGGACATCGTTTACGATTGTCATCAAGGCTCCGATGGCTCCAATGATGACCGACGTTACACCCACTCATGCGGAATTCCGGCACATCTGGTCGCCATTCGCTTTACTTCCAACTTGTTCGCACAGATGTCGTAAACAGCCAGATAAAGTCTCGTGGGCATGGCTTTGTTTCACCAATCGAGGCCCGAGTAACTGTGATAGCGTCACACCGCTTACAGACGGGGTTGCCCATGTCGCCGCATGTTTGACAGGTACGTGGGTGGACCGAAACATAACTAGGAGACCGTACATCCGTACTCGTGGAACTTGAGTCGATGAAACCCAGCGTTGTGCTGCATGGAGGAGTCAGTTGATTGTTGGGACATGCAGAACTGTTGGAGCCCTATCAGAACAAGGCATCGATGCGCTTGACTGTGTGGGGATAATGCGTGACGGGAATCTTCAACCAGATGGCTTTATCCTAAACCGACCCTCAGGAGAGATAACACCGGACAACTCCGCGCCGGACGCCCTCAGCCTCCTCGCGCAGAGGTTCAACCGAAGCACCGAGACCTCTCATCCGTAAGACAAAGTCGTCTAACGAACCTCCGACGCCAAAGTACATCTTCTTTGCGCCCACAATGGAGGAAGCATGGCCACTTGGACGCTCGTTGCGCTCTCGCTCCAGGATCAAAAGCAGCGTGGCCGCAAAGCTCTCGAGGGCGAAAGGCGAGTAGATGGTCTCTGCGCCAATGACCAGTGTCTGGACATTTCCTGTAGGGTTTGAGGGAATACCAGAGTTGTAAAGAAGGTCGACAAACTCGGGGGACCATCCACCCGACAGGAAAGAAAGCGTAATTTGATTGGAGGTCAGGAACTCTTTGAAGGCTTCGACTACTCCGGGAAGCAGTTCGACTTCGTCCTCTAGCGCAAAGGCGTCCGCTAGAGCAGAAGTGCTCTCTCGCTGAGAGAGCGCCCAAGCGAGGATAAAGTTGGGCAGGGTGACCAGATAGAGAACTGATGGGTTATAGTCAGCCAGTACGAGCGTGAGCGGCTGCTTCTCGCCAGACTTTCTCTCGTTCATTGCCCACTGAAAGAGCGCGAGGGACGGCAGGGCAGTACCGCAGCCCAGCTGAAAAGCGATCTGTCAGCAACAACAAAGAATCGGGAAGAAAGCGGAACAGGAGTAAGAAGCCAAGAAGAAGAGAGGACGCGTACCTCCATAAGCACACAAGGATCGCGATTGAGGATCGTGGGAGCGTTTTCGGAGGCGAGCACCTTGACCAAGTCGACGCTGCTTTCCCAGCTCTTGAAGCCACCCTCGTAGATACCCGTCTTGACATCGTGTTCCCCCAGGCCGGGTTCCGTCTCGGAGATATTTGAGCCATCGTCCTCAGCCATGAGCTGCACCCGAACATCCCACAACTCTCGACGCGGGATCTGAATGGCCTTGCCCTCTTCTAGCTCGACGTCTAGTAGGCTGTAGGCGATCTTGGAGGGCAACCTCGATAGCATGTGATCGATATCATGGTGGGTTGGTGGCAGCAGTGGCTTTCCCTGAACGGGGAAAGCACTGGCACTTGTCGCCGCTGGCGGTGTCGGAGGGGCTATGCTGTTGACCTGAGAGGTTGGATGCCCGTCGTCCTCGATGTCGTCTCCCGCGAAACCGAAAGAAAATCCAGATGCCATGTTTGCGTGGACTTGGTCGTATACCGTACCAACAAAACCCCCGGTATTTTGCACTTGCTTCTTCTCTCGTCAGAGTGAAGTACACTACCGAAACCGAGGCTTTCTGTAAGTCTAGAGCGTCAATTTCGATATGAAGGAGCCTGTTGAAGTCACCACTGCCAAACAATCCATGTTTATCTTGTCGTCGTCTTTTAGGGTTGCGATCAAGGGTTGAGTATGAGAGCCCTCTTATCGCCCGGAGACACTGTATCGGGCCGTGGACAGCTGGGATCGGCTGCCCCACCATTATCCAGGGGCCCGAGGGGAGGGTCCCTCACTCACACTGGACTGGACAGCCCAAGCACTTTCCGGGGGAAGTGGACCTGTCCGGACATGATAGGTTCGCCGTTTTAAACCAAGGACTTGATCATTGACCATTCATCTCGGATTGCCCTCCTGACATCGTTGGCCTGCACGGCAAAACATCGCTTGCAACAATTGAGATGATAAGATACTGCTGTCAACCAAGGCGGCTCAACCCCTCGCACTCCCACGTTCGACGTTCGGGGACTCTAGGTACCATTCAGGCGACGATCCCCATTCGCCGCGCCCCGACGACATTGTTGAAATGACGAGAACCCGCCGCTGTGGTTGGACCATATACGACATATATAACCGCGCATGATCCGTACACCAAACCATACTTACTGCACCTTCCTACTCCAGTCCTCGCTCTCCTCCACCTCCGCCGCCATCAGCACTTGGCCAGAAGGATCCTACATGATACATTGCTTTTCACACTTTACAAACTGCTCTTCCATTGGGCTGCCTTGGCCTTGGTCAACCCCCAAACTATATTTGCCGTTCTCTGCCCATCCCTCCAACCTTCACTGTGTGGCCCTTCTGTGTGCAATGGTTCCGATGGCATATGTGCGTTGCTTAATCTATGGCCCCCGGCTTGAGATGTTGGCTCAATGAGGAGGCATGTTCCGGACGGGATGGCTTTTGCGGCTTGACGGCCGAACCATGTTTGGTCAGATGGGTTCTGGTTGAAGCATGTTGCCCACTCGTGGAGCTTCGTAAACCAGCCAACTGCCCGCGTAGCAGGCAGGACAAACAAGATGGAGAGTTGATTCTTACCTCCTGATCCAATATCGGAAAGACAAGGGATCGCATATGAATGAAAGCCAGGACGGGCTTCGTCAGCTTTCCAGCAGGCGCCTCCATTGTTACCATCCTAACTTCCTGCGGGTTGTCAGTGGTCATTAAAAGCATTCAAACCGGGTCGCAGTCTCCTTCAACAACCGATCTTGAGGTTTTGCATTGGCACTCGTGGATCCCATCCAAGTCGCCATTATTGGCCGCTACAGTTTGCCATCCGATCCATGTTAGATAAAGCATATTTATCGACGCCTTGAATCTCCAACTTCTCCAAGGGTGGACGTCTTCACTCCCTCCTACAAATACCCGGCTTGTTCTCAACCTCATTTGTGTACTTCACATCTTCTTGTCTCTAATTATTCAGGACGCCCTGATATTGCTGGACCACATCAGGCACATCCACTTCCTCACTCTTCAAAATGGTCATCAACACATCTGGGCCTGAATTGCCCATCCGTACCCACGATCTGCCAACCTCAACCTTCTCGCACAATGGCTCCCTCGAAAAGAGTTACACAATTCGAGAAGAGCCTCTTGGCACGACTAAGCATCTCCGGATCGTCGGCATCGGTGCCGGTGCAAGCGGGTTGAACATGATCCGTACCCTTCGCTTAAATCTTACGGACTACGACTTCGTCATCTACGAAAAGAACCAGGATGTGGGTGGGACCTGGTTCGAAAACCGATATCCTGGCTGCCGATGTGATATCCCAAGTCACAACTACCAGTTCGCGTGGAAGCCAAAGCATGACTGGTCCAACTTCCATGCCTCAGCCGACGAGATTGGTGGTTACCTTCGCCAAGTATGCGACGAGGAGCATATGCGGGACTCGATCAAGACCTCCCACCGTGTGGAATTCGCGCAGTGGGACGAAGAGAAAGCACGCTGGGACCTGATGGTACAAGATTTGACGACGGGCGAGCACATCAATGACTATGCCGATTTTCTGTTGGATGGAACAGGTATCCTGAAGTGAGTGACACTCCCAAATGCCCATGGCATGTATTGCAATGTCAGATAACTGACGGTTCTCTCTATAGCAACTGGAAATGGCCCGATGTTGAGGGCCTTACGGCCTTCGACGGAGACTTGATACATACCGCCAACTGGCCAAAGGACTTTGACGCCGCTGGAAAAGTAGTTGCTGTCATCGGCAATGGTTCGACGGGAATCCAAGTTGTGCCGGAACTGCAGAAGAGTGAGCATTTCCTCTGCTACTTTACTAAGAATGCTCAGCTAACGGTATGACAGAGGCAGAGAAGCTGTACCATCTCTTTAGAACGCCCACTTGGGTCCTCCCGCCACGGATAATGGCATGGAAGATGATGGGCCAGAATAAGGAACTCCTGGAGATACTCGGCGAGATTGGGATCGATGCCCAAGAAAATTTCTCGCAGGAGACGATAGAGAGGTTCAAGTCCGACCCCGAGTTCTATGGCCGTTTCGTAAAGACTGTGGAAAAGGAAGTCAATAATGCTTTCCCGATGGTGATTTTTTTCTCCTGCGCTCGCTGTCCATCAGATTCAGGATCGTCGCTAACATAACCGTTGAAATAGGTTCTAGCAGGAAGCCCACTACAAACCTTTGCTCAACAAAAGGCGGAGCAATACATGAAGTTGATGCTTAGAGGGAACAAGGAGCTTTGTGAAGCATTGATTCCCGACTTTCCGCTAGGAACGAGGCGATTAACCCCTGGTCAAGACTATCTCCAGGCGCTCACCAAGGAGAATGTCGAGGTTAGAAGAGGAGGGATCAGACGCTTTGTTCCAGAGGGTATTCAACTGGAATCTGGCGAAGTGATCAAGGTCGACGCAATCGTTTGCGCCACCGGCTTCAATACATCTTTTTGCCCGCGGTTTCCCATCGTCGGGCGCAAGGGAAATCTGCAAAAAGATTTCAGAGATGAGGTTCCCAAGTCTTATATGTCTTGCGCCATTGCCAACATGCCCAATTACTTTGGTAGGCCCGACTCGTCCACCTCTTTAGCATCAAATTGATTATGCTGACCTGTAACGTGCCAGTCTTTCTAGGACCTAACGCCCCCATTGGTCACGGTAGTGTCTTCACGCTAACCGAGCACATCGCCAAGTACATCACCCGAATCATTAAGAAATGTCAGACGGAGTGCATCAAGACCATCTGCCCTTCTCAGGATGCGATCGATGACTATTTCGAGCATATCTCGGCTTTCATGCCCCGCACAACGTGGAGCGCCCAGGGACGGTCGTGGTTCAAGAATGGTCAGGAGGACGGACCGGTCACGGCGTTGCATCCGGGAAGCCGTATGCATTTCTTCCACATGTTGGAGAACTTCCGGGGAGAAGACTGGGATTATATCTACGACGCGCCGAAGAAAAACCGGTTCTACTACCTCGGGAATGGGTTCTCGACCAAGGAGAAGGGGGATACGACGTGGTATCTGGATAACCCGGATTCGAAGCTGTGAATGAGTGAAGGATGCATCGGAGCAAGATATGAAAATGGGTTGGGCATGGGAAAGACCAAAAGGCACTGCACAGTTCAGCAACGAAGGAGCGGCGGCGGCACACCGTGCAAACAACATAGGTTGTTCAGCCTCTTTACTTCTGTCTGATGGCGGCTGTTAAAGCATAACGAAACCGTTGTTGTCAACGTGTAAAAACGGTGAAATAGACAAAGTAACGATTGTTCGTGCAGAAACCAACAGATTTGTAACCATCCGGAGCGGACGCTTAGTAACCGTGAGGACAGCTCCCAAACCTCTTCGCTCAAAACAACTTTCCATTGGCGCATAGAAACGGGTTGGAGGTCTCTTTTTCTCCAGATTCTGTCCCATCATATGTCCCAATGAATATGATTACAGTTTGCTTGTCCTATGCAGTGCCTACCTATTCATGTTCAAGTGTAGAGGTAGTGTGGTGAGTGATGGGTGTGCTGCGAGCACTGTTTGCACGGTCTCTGCAATACTGTGTATCTGCATTTAGTAGTAGTGTACCTTCCTATACTTGGTAGTGTAGGACTTCTTTGCTGTATCGCAGTGTCCCGCAAGTATCAGACAGTGCAAACAGGGGCATGGTCTGGACAGCCACTAATGACCTCACCCTCCATCGGGGCTCCACGCTCCAGCAACATCACCGAACCCAAAACCTCAACCTCAAAAGGCCACCTTCAACCTGTGTTCAATGATAATTCGCCGAAATATATTTTGTTCTTCTACTGGCCCGGATGTTCGACACCCTTCCTTATTCTTTCACACTCATCAACGGGTGACTTGTCCGTTTGGGTGACTTCTACGGCGAACATTTGACTGCCCCCATCCTGGTTGCTTACGGGTTTCGATATCGACTGGCGACAATTGAACAGAAGCTTACTCGAACAACACGTCTCAGCGATCTAGCAGAGGAGAGGACAGATTAAGGACATACATTATACGTCACAGATATTAGCAGCTTACTGCTGTATTACCAAGGGGGAAAGCAGGGTGCGAATGAGGGGAATCCATCCAAACATCCTATGACGGAAGCCTCTACAGCTCACACCATGAGTGAGCTTCAAAAGCAGTGGGCAAAGGCGAGGCTCGGCAGCCAGGCGCTGGGGCAGCCGCCAGCAGAGATACCGACCCCAACTACGATGCCCGAGTTCAACGAGGCGGACGAAGACAAAGAAATGGCGGGGCCCAGTCCAGGCGGATTTCCCTTTGACGACGACTCCTCATCAGCGTCTTCTGTTTCATCTACAGGAACTGTGATTCCGTCTCCAGGGAGAGCTCTGTTTGCGCGACCACAGGGGTATGTCGGGCTTCATTTTTGCCAGTTAACACTTATGATTATCCATTCCAGGGCTAAAATCACCTCTGTTGTAGATTTGCCAGTCGATCCATGGATCCTATACCCTGGACAACTTACTTTGAACGAGAACTCTTTCTCAAGGAGGAAGCTGGACCCGGCAGTGGAAGCCGCACCAGCAACAAGAACAAGCACGCATCAATAACCTACCACGCCTACCTCACCTCGCCAGTCGGCAAAGGTCCGCTCTTCGTCACGCACCACGGCGCCGGTTCCTCCGGCCTCTCCTTCGCCGTTCTCAGCTCCGAGATCCGCAAACGTCTACCCAACGCCGGCATCCTCTCCCTTGACGCCCGCGGCCATGGCTCAACCACGGTTACTGCCGCTGCTTCAGTTCCAGGTGAAGGAGACGAGACCACAGGACAAGCACCACCGCCGCTAGACCTCAGCCTCTCCACCCTTGCCACCGACCTCTTCACCGTCATCCAACTCACCCGTACCGCCATGCACTGGCCCGAACTCCCACCCATCATCCTTGTAGGTCACTCCCTCGGCGGCGCCGTCGTCACCGAGCTCGCCAAATCCTACCGTCTCGGCCCTTCCCTCCTCGGCTACGCCGTGCTAGACGTAGTCGAAGGTTGCGCCATGGACGCCTTACAAAGCATGCAAACCTATCTCTCCACACGGCCGCAGGGGTTTGCCACTCTGAAGGACGGCATCGACTGGCACGTGCGATCGCGGACGATCCGGAACTCGACGTCAGCCAGAACAAGCGTGCCCGGGCTTTTGGCGCCCGTGGAGGAGCTGCAGAGGCCGGAGCTGCAACAATTGCCAAGGGGGGCGGCGGGGACGGAGGGGACGGCAAAGCCGTGGCGGTGGAAGACGGATTTGGCGGCGACGCAGCCGTTTTGGGAAGATTGGTTTGTGGGGCTGAGCAAGAAGTTTTTGGAGGCCAGGGGGGGCAAGATGTTGTTGCTTGCGGGAACGGATCGGTTGGATACGGAGTTGACTATTGGGCAGATGCAAGGTATGTTTCTCGTTTTCGTTCTGGCTTTGGTGGTGATCTATCACGGGGCTACTTTCTCAAGAGTTCTTTGTGATTAGACTAACTCTGAATTGTGTCCTACAGGTAAATACGCCTTGCAAGTGTTTCCCGAAGCGGGACATTTCATTCATGAGGACTTGCCGGAGAAAACGGCGATTGCACTTGTGGACTTTCATCGGCGCAACGACAGGAGTCAACTAGTACTCCCACCCAAGGTCTCGGATCTGTTGGCTCAGGGGAAGAAAGTGTAAATCACACTGCCAACAGTTGAAGAACGGGGGACTGGCGTTAAGCGTTCCCCGAGTAGGTGATGATAATTACGCATAAAGAAAGAGGGTGGAAAAACTATGCGTAGCGCACACGTACACACCCCTTACTCAGAGTGAACACAGCGAGGGCCGGTGCATCGATTGTTGTTACCGCTCAGTTGAGGAAAATTCGGGATTTTAGAACAGAAACAGTCTGTTACAGGCAAGCGTAGCAGTAAACCAGAAATGGTCTCTGCTCTTTCCAAGGTAAACCATCCAGGATTTGTCAAGTATGACATTGCCTGATAGACAACTAGGTACAAATGAATGTGCTTCTTTTGGATTTCAAGCGCCCTCAGGAACGATAAGGTTATATCATGGCAAACATCTAGCCAATGTATGATCTCAACTCTACACGGATGACAGATACAAGGACATCAGTTTCACCATCGAGCTCTTTTTAGTAATGATTAGCTCCCGACCAAAACTTCTATCTGTCAAGTTGCTGCAGACCATAGAGCCTCAAAGTTCCTCCCTAAGTGGGCTGTTCACCACGGGTTCTTCCCACATCCGTTTTTTAGGATTTCTTTGTACCACTTCCTCCTCCTCCTCCTTCTCCTCTTCCCCCTTCTCTCCTTGCTCCCCAGTAAAAATTCTCTCCTGACCGATCCAGCCTTGTTCCAGCTCTGGATCTTCGACCACGATCGGGTGAGTTTCACCCTTCTCTTCCTCCAGAGGCGGCAAATTCTCTTCAATAATCCTCCCAACCTTTTCAGCCATCGATTCCGAGTCCACATTATTATCATTGTCCCTTTTCTTCACCTTCTCACCGCCACCACCACCACCACCACCATCAACTTGAACCTGAAGTGTAGGAACAGCCCCCTCCTCCGCCATCCCCACCACCACCCTCCTCCCTCCCATCCCCTCATTCCCAACCGAAACCTCCATCCTCGCGCCCTCTCCCGTTCTAGTCTCCCCCGCGCCATGCCCACCATGGTGAGTGGAAACACCATAAGCAACCCTCCCGCCCTTCCAAACCATCCTCAACGGTAACCACAAAACCCACCAAAGCGGTCCATACAGCCACCGTCTAAACACCAACCACCCCAGCGTGCACAGCAGCATGTACAAGCTGGTCCTCAAGTACCACGTATCGCTCTTCTGGCTCTGCAGCAGCGTGCTCACCAAATCGCGCGAGCGCGAAAGAAGGGAATCGATCCCCTCGTAGCTACGTTGTAGTTCCTTCAAAGCAGCGGTGCTTTCCGCAAGGGTTTGGGAGGCGAAGGCGGACTTGGCTACCTCGGACGCGATCAGGGCGTGCGTGCGCCGCAAGGCGTCCGTGACGGTGGAGGAGGCGGAGACGACTTCGGAGTCGTGGGAAGGGGGTAAATTTGTTTGGTGCTGTTTGCGACGGCGGTTGCCGAAGAGGGCTTGGCGGGGGTCGAGAAGAGGAGCATCTGAAGAAGCGGCGGGGGTTGGGAGAGGGGGTGGAGTCGTCGTCGTCGAGGTTGGTTGAGCACCGCTGGGGGCAGCAGTAGATACGGGTGTTGAGGCGCCGGATCCGCGATCTGATGCGGCGAGGTTGGCGGCGACGGCAACGTAGGAGGCTAAGAGGAGCTGGCGCTCGAGGCGCTGGGCGGTTTCAAGGTTGCGGCGCGCCGCGAGTTGGGCTTTGCGGAAGGAGGTTCGACAGCTTTTTTTTTGAGACGCAATTTGGTTAGGGACTTTGTTCATCTTCATCTTCATCGTCATCGTCATCACCACCCAGGTTGATCAGAAACAAAACTCACCCCTTGAGCTCGGCAGCCAAGCGTTGCGCGCCCTCCTTTAACCTCGTCTTTTGATGTTCCGCCTCACTCCCTGGGCGGCCGGAGCGCAAGTCGATAATCTCCTCCTGCAGCAACTCCAAATCCTCCTCCTCCTCGCGCAAGACCTGACTGATTTCGGCGCTCAAATCAGCGGCCTCACTGTTGGTGGTTCCATCGGCGCCAGTGTTCGCGAGACTGCTGATGCTGTTGCTCAAAGGAACGGAACCGGGCTCGAATTTGAGCGTGGCGAGACGCTCGATGAGGTCCTTAAGCTGGCCGGTCGTCTCTTGGAGGGCCGTGAGCCGCTCTTGAAGCGTTTCGAATGTTGACATTAGTGACTTGTTGTATTGTGTCGGTATTGTATTCGTAGGGAGTTGACTCGGTAAGATAGATATGTGTTGAAACAGGTGGATGTGTAACAAATGGCTTCCATGGATCGTAGTCGGATCCCACTTAGGTGGTGTAGATCAGCAGCTGTTGTTGATGATTAGTGGAAACCTGGCCTGAAAGGAGAGCACTGTAGCGATGTTCAATGGAAGTTCTCGGTGGGCGTGGCTCTTGCAACGTCATCCTCAAGGTCAATGAAAACGGATCACATGCGGGATTCGGTAACGGAGTTCAAGTTACAACTCGCTGGGGCAAACGGGAGTACGTACTGCTGCGCTGAAGGAACAAAGCACAAACCTCAACAGTCATGTGAGGGCTACAGAGCAACACAATGTGATAGAAGGCCAGAAGTGATTCCCTTTCCGTTCAGAAGATTAAAAAGATGTATCATGTCAATTGATCTGATGTAGTGTAAAGATGAATGCAAAATCGAGCCTGACACCGTTTGATCCCAGCTGGCTCCCGACCAATCACAGTCCATCTCTCACACGTTGCACGCACCGTCCCGCATTCTCCGTTTTACAAAACACCCCTCCCGGTCACCGGCGCGATCGGTACGTACCTCCAGTAATTTTTGATCGCATCCTCCACGCTGCCGGCCGGCGCCAGGCACGAAGACCGAATCGAAGTCCAAATCGCGACACAAGCTACGTACCCCGTCCGATCCTCCACAGAGACCCGTCTCCCGTCTCCCGCGTCTCCGTCTCCGTCCCCGTCCGGTGTGCAGTGCAGTCCCGTCGCAAATTCGCAAAGTCGTAGTCAGGCCTCGTTCCTCCTCCTGCTTCTTCTTCTTCTTCCTCCCCGAACCCAACCCCAACACGACCTCAGGTCACCACCACCACCACCCGAGAGACCTCGCCCAACATGCTCACCCGCTTCATCACCGACGTATCAACGCGCTTCAACCCTTTCTCGGCCAAGGCCAAGGCCGCCCGGCTCTTCCTCTCCTTCCTCCCTCCCAACGCCCGCTCCAATGGCATGAACATCACCACCCAGCTTCTGCCGCGGAATTCCACCGAGACTCCTTTGCTCTATGTCAAGTTCAGTACGTTTCCCAATGTCTCTTCTTGTCACTTGCAACTCTGTCACACTTCGGACCGTCGTTGCAGTTGGTTGTTGCAATCTTGATCATTCCGGCTGGAAGGCATTCAAGAGTCGTTAGCTGTGAATCAAGCCGTAGTCTAACGTATTTCAACAAAACAGAGGACGGCAAGGAAATGAACCTCGACGTTGAGAACATGGGCATCAAAAGCATTGTCGAGGAGGTGGATCGCCACTCTCGTATCCTTCAGAAGCAGGCCGACTTGAACGACGGTTAAACGAATCTCTGTCTTGTTTTTTTTTTTCCAAAACCCAACAATTTCGAGGCGCCCTTGTTGTGTTGATCCACCAATCGAGCTTTGCGGGTAAAACGAAGGAGACTGAGACTAGGAAGAAGGAGGAAGAAGCCACAGGGAGAGCGAGGAAAGCTCATCTTGTCTTGATACCCAGACTACTTGGCTTTGGTCCGTGGTACCAAAACGACGATTGACCGGGAAAGAGAAGAGGAAAAGTCTGGATATCTAAAGGCACATTCAAATTGTCTGGGTAAAAGCCAGCGAGCTTGGAGCCGGATACCTGACGACCTCTCTGAGAGATCTGTAAGATCGCCTTACCAGCCAAAAGACAACAACAACAAGAGATATAAACCTGTATTTGTATTAGGCAAGAGGTTGTAATTGTACACCAACAGCATTGGGAGGCGTTAAGGGGCCGGCGATTTTCAGTTGGCAAGGCGGTTTGGGTACCTGTTGTTATAGACATGTGTATATAGCACCTCTGCCATGGATTGATTCACACACATCACGGTACGCCCATTTTGACAAAGTCAAAGTTGAAATCGGCCTTGTTTTTTTTTTTTTTTTTTTTTTTTTTTTTTTTTTTTTTTTTTTTTTTTTTTTTTTTTTTGCCGAGCGTGTTTGCTTCTTCGATGGGGAATTCATCAACGGTCTCGGTATATCTCAGCGGCGAAATTCATGGAGCAAGAATGTCGAGCATCTCCTCGACAAGTCCCTGTCCCACGGCATGGATCACAGCCTCAGAAATGGCCAATCTCTGACCGCGCGCATACCTTGTTGCAAAAACCAAGTGCAAGGCACATCTCAGAAACGAAGTTCGACTCTACGCAAAACAACGCATGAAGGTAACAGTCGACCCATTAAGGATAGTTCACGACAAATTGACCAACACAGCCAGGTGCCAAAAAATATATATCTTTATTCTGCCTCAACTAACGGACTCTCTAAGCGGAAGCACCGCTGATGAAGAACCACTTGTCGATGGAGCTATCGATGGGGGCAGGGGGAAGATCCTCGTTGGGGGGGAGGGGAGGAAGCTGGTCAGGGGCAACACGGCTGCTGGAGTGCTGGACGGTGACGTTGGTGGTGGAGACACCGCCAGGGGCAGTCTTGCCGGTGATGAGACGCTCCCAGGCTTCGTTGCACTCACGGACGACGTCCATGGCGTACCTGTTGTTATTTGTTAGCCAATGTAGCAGTTGCGGTGACAAAGCGGCACAAAAAACTCACGTCTTGTTCTTGCACTCGCCAGTGAAGGCGAACTGGTTCTCGGGCTTGCCGTCAGGGATCTTGTAGATACGGAACCACTCGTTGGTGGCACGGATAAGGCCGGGGAGATGACGCTCAACATCCTCAACGTCGTTGAGCTTGGGGGCAAGAGGGTCGTTGACGTCAATGACGATGACCTTCCAGTCAGTCTCCTCCTCGTCGAGAAGGGCCATGACACCGAGGACCTTGACCTGCTTGACCTGGCCGGTGTAGCCGACGAGCTCACCGATCTCGCAGACGTCGAGCGGGTCGTTGTCACCCTTGGCCTTGGTCTCGGGGTGGATGGAGTTGGGGTCCTCCCAGGTCTGGGGGAAGGCACCGTAGTTCCAGAGGTAGCCCTTGTGGGGGAAGCAGTTGCGGACGAAGCGGAGCTTGCCCTTCTTGGTGTCCTGCTTGATGGGGTTCAGGAGCTCCTCCTTGGAGATCTATGGGGCGACTTGTTAGCAGGTTGAGGTAAATACGCCGCGAAGCAGCCTCGTGTAGACAAAGCTGCGTGCGCGGGAGACTCTCGAGGGAAGCTGGAGTCGAGGCTTACCTCCTGCTTGGCGTTGGTCCAGCGGGGAATCTCAACCACCATGTTGAGGATGGTCTGCTCGGCATTGGCATAGAGCGGGATATCGTGGAAGGGCGAGACGGGGACGCCATCCTTCTCGATGTAGACGCGGTGCTCCAAGGTGTAGGGAGCGCCAACCTTGCGGACGCTGTACTGGGAAGTCATGGTTGCGACTGAGCTCGACGAGAGATGTCGGGCAATCTGTTGTGTTCTGGCGGAGGAAATGGCGGTGGTGATGTTTGGTCTCGTCAGGGTGGATGAGCCCAGCAGCGGTTTTGTATTCGGAGATTGGGCGGCAGCTCCCCCCGATCCATTGCCAGCCGATGGAGGGGGAGGGGTCCCAGCTCCGACCGGGCACTGGGTGTGGGTGGAATTGGACTGGGGCCCGCCAAGTGACGCCAGCGTGCGGGCCTGCGATTGGCCGGGACGGCCGAATTGTGGCGGCATGTTTTGGTCGGACGGGAGGTGGCCGTAGCCGTGGAAGATGTGTGGCTGCGACGACGGGCGCGGGTGCGGGAGCGGGAGGAGCGTGCTGTGCTGTCTGCTCTGGGACTGGAAGTGCAATGGCCGGCACCGCGTCTTTGCCAGCAACTGCAACCTGACTAGGCTCTGAGACCGCATTAGAGTCACAGCAGGTGAGACGTGGATGGTTTGAAGAAAGCGTCGGGAGGGGGTGCTGTAAGTATTCGGGTGCCCTGTTCCTGATGATCAAAGTCGGCTTGTTGCTCAATCGGCTCACTTTGGCCGCGGCTTCTTCTTCCTCTTCTCAATCAATGCTGCCTCCAGGGTCCTGGCTGAGCAAGGCTCGTAAGCTGGGGCCACTTCCATCGATCCTAACGTTGCCGAAGAGTGGGGCTTGGCTCCAGCGGCGTGTGCTGTCTGTCCACTGTACCTTTGTACCCTCACCGCTGTCACCACACCCCCGGACGCTGAACTCTTGATGACAACTCGATAATCCCACGCAATCTGACGATCGAGTCTCGTTGGCTGAGTATGTACAGATAGGTATGTAGTATGGTGTTGGTTCTTCAAGCAGTCATCAACTCCACTCAACCTCTGAACAACAACAAAATGCCCAGCTTTTCAACCAAAGAGCAGCTCTAGGGCCATGTTTGCTGTCGACCGCTGGTGATACTACAAGTAAAATGCTCCGCTGCGTTAAGTTGCTGGCTAAACACAAGAACATAATGTTCTTGGAGAGATAAGTAGTCTAAACCCACCCTCCACAGAGTATCAACATGCATTCCCGGTATATGACAGGGTTCCCCGCGAAACCAGACATGTTCATCAAGAGCAAGCAACATCGATCTGATCCTTTCCCTTGTGGCCCGTCCTTTCATCTGATCACGGCTCTCGCAAAGCTCAAAGACTGTTCACAAGCTGTTATGGAGGGTTAGGGTGAAAACCGAGTTCCCGGCCCGCCTCGGCGCCCGCCGATCGCAGATCGAATTTCTGGATAGCGCCGCGGGCTATTTTCCATCTTTAACAAATTCCAGTTCCAACACTTCACGTCGCCCCCGCTCCGCACCGCACCCCTTTCTCCCGTCCTTTTTGCTCCTCTGTCCGGGCAGAGACGCCAACAGATGATATGCCTGTTTCTCCATTGCGCCTTGTCCGAACCATCATGACATCCGTTACCGAAGAGACGACGGCCCCGGTCCTGGCTGCTGCTGCTGCTGCTGCTGCTGCCGCGGGCCTGACACAGAAGAGGGTGCCTATCCCGCCGCGGGGCGTCGACTATCGTGGTAAAATCGTTTTGGCTCCCATGGTCCGCTCTGGAGAGCTTCCCTCGCGCTTGTTGGCTCTTCATTATGGCGCCGATCTCGTATGGGGTGCGTCCAATGTCAATCTGAATTATCTGCAGTATTTGACTTTGACTGACACTTCTTGCTCTCAACAGGCCCGGAGACCATTGACCGTGCCATGATCGGAACCACCCGCCGTGTCAACCCCCGTAACCACTGCATCGAATGGACTCGGGTCCCTACCAACAACGTCAAAAAGGAACTGTTCGACGAGTCCGTCATCTACCGCATTGACCCCGTCCGCGAAGCCGGCCGACACATTTTCCAAATCGGCACCTCCGACCCAGCCAGAGCTGTCGAGTGCGCCAAGCTTGTCGCCGCTGATGTCTCTGGAATCGACGTCAACGCCGGCTGCCCCAAACCCTTCAGCACACACGCCGGTATGGGGGCTGCGCTGCTTCGAACGCCCGAGAAGCTGGTTTCCATCCTCGAAGCACTCGTCGCCGAGATCAAGCCGGCCTTCGACATCGGCATCAGCGTCAAAATCCGCCTGCTCGAGACCCCCGCCGAAACAGAAGCGCTCGTCCGCCGACTTTGCGCCACGGGCATCACCGGTCTGACGATTCACTGTCGCACCACGCCCATGCGCCCACGCGAGCGCGCCATCCGCGGCCAGCTGCGTATGATTGCGGATGTATGCCACGAGTTTGGAGTGGCTTGTTTGGTGAACGGCGACGTCGAAGGGAGGGACCACGCGCTCGAGCTGATGGCCGAGTACGGCACCGACGGGGCCATGATCGCGACTTGCGCCGAGAAGAACGGCTCGTGTTTCCGCGCCAAGGCGGACGGCGGACTGGCGACGTGGGAGGAGGCTGTGGCCAAGTACGTCCGGTTTGCGATGGAGGTCGAAAACAAGTTTCACAACACCAAGTTCATGTTGACGCAGATGGTGCCCGGCAAGAGCCCCAAGTACAGGGAGCTGACGCCTTGCAAGAGTTATGGCAAGATTATCGAGGTATTGGGGTTGACGGGCGATGAGGAGCTCGTGGAGATGGCGAGGAGGACGGATGAGCTCATGAAGCTTGTTACTCTCGATGGAAGCAGCAGCAGCAGCAGCAGTGGTAATGATAAATCCAAGGTGGAGGCGGCAGGTGATGATAAAAAGAAGCATGACCTGACGAACAATGTTGCTCAGCAGGAGAACCTGAAGAGGAAGAGGGAGGATGGTGACGAGGACACCGAGAAGCAGCAGCCCCCTCCCTCGATGAGAATCAACGTTTCCGAGGCCGGCGAAGCCGCCACAACTGCCGCTACCTCCGTCGCCGAGCAGCAGTCCTCGCAGCCCGTTGCCGCTGCCGTCGCCGCTTCATAGGCTGGCTGTTCTCTCTTTCCCAAAAGTCTCTACACTTTTTTACTCGGGCCTTTTCTTTAATCTACGGTTAAGGCACAGCACATACATAGCGCGGTTACACAAAATTCGGTTTAGAGTTGGGCGTTTTATAGGGGAGCGAATCTTACAGTTGGTTTTTTTTTTTTTTTTTTTTTTTTTTTTTTTTTTTTTTTTTTTTTTTTGAATTATTTTCCCCTTTTCACGGTATGATATCCGAGAGAAGCGCCATGATTGGGCAATGCAATCATAAAGTCTCGATAGTTCATTCCAGACAAGACCAGAGGCAACTTTATGGTTACTGTTACGTCTACCTACTGCCATGCTTTCCCTGGTGACCCACTGCATCTTTTGTTCTTGTTAATAATTCTTGAAGTAATTAGTTGTTCAGTTACCAAGGCTGTATTCACTATAGACATGCCAGCCTTCAAGATACTTAGGTTCCTCCAAGTCGGAGGTGTGTATGCGCTACTGTTGTTTCCTTAAGGCGCCATTACACGGGAACCATGTGCATTGTAATGAGCACTGCCCTGTTTCAAAGTACCGACACACACACACACAAGCTACTTCTCTCACTAGACAAAACTGATGCTGGTACAAATGTCTTGCGTTGTTTCATCCATCTATACCCGTTGCCATTCCCAGAACCCCCATCCTCATAAACCACTCTGTTCTGTCCTGTCAGGTTCAATTCTTCTTAGTCGTGCAAGTTCAATTCTTCTTAGTCATGCAACGTAGAAACATAAATCGTCGAAAAAGGATGATGCTATTGCTCGAATGCTTCGTTTGTTTTATCTGTCATCCTATCCCATCCCATTTCATCTCCGTGTATCTTCATTTTCTCTCATCCGTTCCCATTTTCCCATCCGTTTCGTGTATACCCCATAGGAAAGTGGTATATGATAACAATCATGTATAAGCGTTCCCCTTATTACCATGTCCCGTCACCCCCAACCATTCGTTTAGTTTCGTGGTATATCATAATTCCAAAACGCCGATGCCTAAAACCCAACCCCCCAACCAAAGAAAATTTGGTGAAGATACAAATTCCATGAAAAAAATAAAAAAAAAAACAGGGCAGAAGATCGCCAAATGCAAAACCACAAACATGCAGTGTATAGAGCGGAGGGGGTATATGTGTATGCAAAACAGATAATCGTGATTGTTGTTTCCTCCCTCCCAGTTGAAAGCATGTGTCAACTGTGAACCATTTCAAACGCCTCTTTTCTTTCGTGCATCCACTCTTGCCGGTTGATCGTCCTTTTTTTCCTTCGTTGTTATTTACTTTGTTGAGTTTTTTTGTTGCCAATCAATGTCGCTTACGGACAAGCGTCGGATCTATGCTTACGGTGCAACAAGGACTGAAGAGGAAGACTGAACCGACGAGAGGTCGAGTTAATCAAGACTTCGAACAAGCCGACCTTAGCCCACTTGTTCTCGTGATAGTGATGGAATCCAAAGAAACCAGCCGTCGGAGGAGGAGCATACAGCTCAGGAGCTTCTTCCTCGTCAACATCCGAACCGCGGATGGTGTCGACAGAGCCGCGAGGACTGACTCTGAATACTTGACGGGGATTGGAGATGTCAGACGGTTGCTGGGTTGGCTCTGATATCTCTTGGGTGATGAAGGGGATTGCCGGGGCAGAGATTGGCTGGTCAGTGACAATCTCTTCAAGGAGACACAGGTCAGAAAGGGCAGCTGCTGGGATGTCCTGAAGCATTTCCTGTTCCACGATCACATCCTCGTCTTTGGCCGATGGAATGGCAAGTGGAGTCTTGTCAAAGTCTCCAGTCTCCTCGATATTTGCCTCGAGTTCCAGAGACAACGGTTCCTCGACTGGATCCATAGCTGGTATCACTTCCTCACCCTCAGCCTTCTCATCCTCGCCAGTGGCAGACTCAACTTCGGGGGGTTCCCCCAGCTTGTTCTCGATAGCCTCCGCGGATCGAATGAGGTTATCAAGCGACTCGACTCTGAGAGACCCATCGGCATTAGTTGTATCCACATCTCCAGTCGAGTCATCAGTGTCTTCAGTGCCAGGAGCATCAACCAAGCTTCGATCAACCACTTCGGAAAGAACATCTTGCTCTTCAAAATCCGCATTTTGCTCATGCGAAACCTGACAAGCCAAAGGCTCATCCTTGTTAATATCGCTATCGGTCATTGGCTCATTGGTGCTGGTCTCTTGCTCGGATGGAGATTCAGTGGTAGCCAGATCCTCAAAATAAGGTTTAGCGATACACTCAGATATGGGCGTAGGTTCAGCAAGAGGAGTGTAAGACTTCTCAGCAAGAATTTCTCCGTGTGATGATTGAACAGGGATCACGGTTGATCCCATGGTCGTCTCCTCACCGGAAGAGACAACACGAGGCACCTGGACCTGAACTCCAGCATCCTCAACGTCAGCATGCTCGATCCAGGTGTCGCAGTTGATCACGACTGGTTCAGCCGCGGGTTCAGCGGAAGGGATGTCTGCTTGCAACTCGCTATCTTCAAGGCCTTCGTCTTCAAGGTTGGCGTGCTCAATGTTGGGGAACTCTGGATGGGCTTCCTGGACGATTGGCTCATGGCTCGAAGTCTCCTCTGCCGCTCGCTGAACAACAGAAGCAGGGGTCTCCAGGGCGATATTCCCAAGATCAGTATGCTCGATCCACGTCTCACAGTTGACAATGACAGGGCCAATAGTAGGCTCAACTGAAGGGACATCAGACGCCACATCGGCATCCTCAAGTCCTTCATCTTCGAGATTGGCGAGCTCAATCCCGGGATGCTCAAGCTGAACATTCGGAATGATACTCGATTCACCGATAGGAGCCTTATCAACCACGGCGACAGTAGGCTGTTGAGGAGTATCTTGCATCTCAGTGGTACCAATTTCAGCGTACCCAAGAGTGGATGGCCTTGACACAAATTTGTGGAACGCAAGTGGCACGCCAGCAGCAGCCTCCGCAACCGCAGCTTCGGCAGGAAGGACAGCTGAAGGGGGGGTTTGCTCCTTGTCTTCGGGGAACTCATCCAGGAAGGATTCAGGAACATCAACTGCTTGTCCAGCCACTGGTGGGTTGATGGGTTTTTCTGATGGTTTGTCCGCAGCAGTGAGGGTGACATCCTGCTGAGATCCTTGTTGCTGGGGGATCTCCTCTGCGCGTTCATGTTGCTTGAGATCAAGTCCCTCAAGCAACGTCTCAGTTTTTTGGATCTCAGCATTGATCGCTTTAAGGCTTGTCTGATTTTGCTCATTCTCCTTCTCTGTTTCAAGCTGGTCGACGAGCTCTTCGACCCTCTCCGTTTGCTCAGCATCGACCTGTCCAAGGAGCTCTTCAGTGCATTCGACTTCAATGTCAGGTTGCTCAAGCGTCTTTTCATTTTCATCGAGTGAATGCTGGATCTCAAGGTCTTGGGCAATCTCAAGGACCCGCTCAGTTTGCGCAGTATCAAGCTCCTTGAGAAGCTCCTCAGTTTGTACAGCCTCGGCCGCAATTTCATCAAGGGCATTGTCAGTTTCTTTTAGAGCCTGTCCAGTAATGGCTTCCTCGAACAGCTCCATGGTGCGCTCAAGTTGCTCATTGTTGAGTTCCTTGAGAAGCCTCTCGGTTTGTTCAGTCTCAGCTTCGATCTGTTCGAGAGCGTTGTTGGCCTCAAACTGCTCAAGAGGATCTTCGGTCTGTTCAGCCTCGGCACTAGATTGCTCAAGAACTTGCTCGCACAGATTAATCACTTGATCGACGACTTCCTCATTGAGACCCGCTCTCTCTTCGCTTTCAAGCTGATCAAGGACATCCATGGCACGATCAATGATGTAGTCGGAATCGAGCTCCTCAGCTGATTCTTGCACTCTCTCAGGGACAGTAATCGGAGAGATTATCATAACCGCGTTAGGCCGGAACTGAGGCATGGTAGGATCGCGGTACGGAAGGAAGACATTAGGCCGGAACTGAGGCATCGTCGGGTCGCGATACTCGACCTGGTCGAGCTTAGAGACTCCTGAAATCTTGAGGGCTGCATCATGCGCAGCCACCTGGTGAATGCACCCTTCCATAGGCTCAAAGAGTACATCATGCTGGTCATGGTAAAGCTCCTCCCCCCAAGGGGTTGGGGTGCGCTCAGAACCTGACTCAGAAGATGACTGAGAGGAAGATTCGGAATCACTCTCGGCAAGTTCATTGGCACCAGTTTCGATGGTGCCAAGCTCCGTAGCGGGTCTGGGATCAACCGGCACAAAAAGAGTGTCAAACTGGTCTTGGGGAAGCTCCTCTGCCTGGGTTCCTTGAGATTGCTCAGTAGCTGGCTGAGACAGGGGTTCACTGGGGTCAAACTCGACCGCCTCATCTTCATTCTCGGAATGAGTCTCGCCCACAGGTTCAATAACAGGGGCATTATCAGGCTGGATGTGTTCAGGAGACTCCACTTCCACAAACTTTGCTTCCGGCATTCTGTCGCGGGCATTGTCAGACTCGAGCGATTCAGCCTGCATGTCTCTCACTTCTTCAGTATCAGGAGCTTCGGTTCCGACATGCTCAGGCTGAGTGGAATCATTGAGCTGCCTGAGAGACTCTGTATTTTCTGCGTTGACTTCTGTAGCTGTATCATCATCCTTCTCAGTCGTCATAGGCTCGATGTTGATCAGCTCAGCGTCCTGTTGTGTCGGTAGCGCAGAGCCAGCTTGGCCGAGGTGAGGTAACTCCGGACCGTCCCAGTTCGGCTTGAATTGAGGCATTGTTGGATCATGGTACTCGGCGCTTAGATCATCTCGTGAGGAGATTTCCGTGCTATCATCTTCACTGGGTATATCAGGTTGCTCTCCTTGCTCATGGACTGGCTCATCGGAGACAGAGGAAATGGGGGTACTGTCAAGGATGGAGTTTGGCCGGAATTGAGGCATCGTAGGATCACAACAATCAAGATCTCCCTCGCTAAGTTTGGTGGTTTCGATCAGAGACTCGTCGATGAGTATTGGTACCGGTTGCTCTCCACACCCAGCCGTCTCAACCATCATGATAGAGACTGAGGGGCTGCGGACACTTCTGAATGAGTTGGGTCGGTATTGAGGCATTGTAGGATCACGGTACTCAGTCTCGTCCTTGCCACGATGAGAGATTTCCTCCTGAGACGCTTCCATAGTTTGTTGAGAGGCAATGCTATCCTCAGTCATTTGAACATGTGAGACCAGAGGGGCGGGCGTCAGTTGCAGAAGTACATGAGGCCGGAACTGGGGCATGGTGGGATCACGGTAATTGGCCTTTTCTTCCACACGACCGCTAACTGCTTCGGTAGGTTCGAATGCCTCAAACCCCTCCTCTGTATCCCCACTAACGGCGTAAGAACGAGCGGCAATCTCAAGGACGTCACTGGAACGGAACTGCGGTAGAGTTGGGTCGCAATGCTCAACCGTCTCCACGCCGAGAATTGGTATATCCTTGGTGGACATAGAGTCAGGTTGAAGAAGCTCAGTGTCATTTTCCAGGGCCTCCTTAGGGGCGAACGGAGTGAATACCGAGGAAGGATTAGGCCAGAATTGAGGAAACGTGGGCTCACGATGCTCGGTATCCGAATCATCAAAGTGAGGCTTCTCCCCTACGCCAACATCCCGATGATCGTAGACCTCATCAGAAACATGGCCACGCTCAACAACGTCTGAGGTGCTGATGAACGGCCGGCCCCGCTCCTCGAAACTGCGAACATATTGGGCAGTCATGTCGGGCTTAGTAGCGTTGACCTCAATCTTCTCGTCTTCTTGGAAATCCGGACCTTCAACGGCAGTCCCAACATCCTCAACGTGCTCAACGTGCTGGACATCATCGACAGCTTCCACAGCATCGATATCTGCTGCTGTTTCAACCGTACCAAATGACAGCTCGTAATCCTCCTCGATATCAGGAGTCCGCTCTACAGTAGCAACAGCCACAGCCTCTGACTCGTCAGCCTTGCCGACCTTTGGAAAGGTCGCCTCCGACTTTTGAGCATCGGGAGCCTCCTCAAGCGGAAGGGGGGCTTCGGGGGGTATGTGGGTATGATCATTATCTTGAATATCGGGAGACTCTGCCGCTAATTCAGGGCCCTCGGAGACATTAATAGCATCAGACCTAGAGTCCAGAGCTTCAGAAGGTTGGAGGAGATGGGTGTCTACCAAGGAGTGAGGCCGGTCCGTCTCTTCAAACATCCAATCCGGTTGCCTGAGGCTATTCGGTGTTTCATCAGTAATTTCGATTGTGTCATTATCGGAAAGAACATCTTCCTTGGACTCGACGGGCACTGGTACGGGACCGAAGGTATTCTCTTCGTCCTTTGATTCAAGGTCCGATGGCTCCCGAGTTTCAGATTCATGAATCTCTACGTGCGCCACCAGTGCACTCCCGTCAACGTCCTGATTGTTGGACCCAGGATGCTCTGATGCGGAACCGACGGCACTTGTCGTCCATGGAAAGAAAACATGATGATCTTTGGTACTCGCGCCGGTAGCTTTGTCGGTATAAGAGATGTGAAGTGATGCGAGGGTATTGATCATGTCTGTTTCCTCTTGATCTTCGACGAGCGTTTTTGAGCCCGCGGGCGAGATACTGTCACCCTCTGCTAGTTCGGACCACTCCTTGTCATGTTCGGAGACAGACCCTTCGCTTGATGTGTCCGTCTGAACCATAGTTTCCCTAGCTTCCATGGGCTCCCCTGATACTTCGAAGGTAATGTGATTCGCAACCGAAGGCTCGGAGACGTCACCGAAGAAATCCGCGGACCCATTCTGGTCCAGTTCCTCAATGGGGCGTTTGGCGCCATCCTCGCCTGTTTCAGATGCCTCTGCTTCAGGGCTGGACTGCGCTGGCTTGGGCTCCTGAGCAGAAAGCTCAGCGAGAGGACTTGTTTCATCTCTTGAAGGTGCGTCGACACTCTCAACTTCTGGAACTTTACCATTGCAATCTTGGGTGACTTCATCCATTGAGGAGGGCTCGTCATGGATTTCGCTTGCGACAAGGTCAGCCCCGTAATTATCCGGCTCAGCAGTCTGATCTTCGGGGCCGGATTGAAACGCCTTCACAGTCGGCTGGATATCATGAGCAACCTCCTCGGTGGAGGTAGGGGGCACATCATCCACATCGGATCCTCGTGTGTCGCAGTCCTGGTCATGTTGATGCTCGTCTTTGTCTCCCTCGGGCCCGGACTGGGTAATTGCCGGTTCCGCAACCAGCCCATTCAGGTCGTCGGCAGGGTTATCAACTAGAGAGACGGTCGCGTCGTTTGCTTCACTCGCGTGGATAGCAGAGCCAATGATATTTGCGACTGGTTTGCTTTGGGCAAGAGACTCGAAATCCTTGAAATAGTCGGTTTCAGTCGCATTCACCCGATCTTCATTCTGGACGACGGGAGCATCTTGCACTTCGGTCCCTTTATCTGAAGCCAACCTTGTTTCCGAATTCGCATTGCGGGCATCCACAGAAACCGTTGTCTCATGACTGGGCTGCGGCGGGTGGATAGCAGTTTTGGGGAAGTCCGACTCTTCAGACAGAGTCTCATTGGACAGTGGTGCAGGCTCGGTTCCGAGTTCTCGATTCTCGAAAGCCAATGTCTCGTCCAATATTATAGGCTCCGATTCTGTTTCTAGGTATAATAGTTAGATTATTGTGTAATACAGAGAATAATCGTCGTGGTGGTGGTGGCTCACTGTGCAAATCTGACGGTGCAGTCGTGGTGTCTTTTACCGAGATGGCCGTTGCGGTAGCATCATAAGACACTGACTTTACAGCTTCTTCATCGGACCCCTCGGCTACTTGCTCGGGCTGTATAGTGTGGTCCTTAGGCGTTAACACAACAGATCGCACGTCATCTTCCGAAGGCTTCAAAACTTCCATCCCCGCCGCGACCGAAGCGCCCACCGTAGTCACCCCCGTCCCAACCTCGGGCTCTTCGGGCTCGGATTCAGGTTCAAAGTCGCTCGAGGTATTATCCTTCAACTCCAGATGTCTCACATGTATCGGGCTTATTAGCAAGCTGTGCCTTGGCGAAGACTCTCCACCTAAACTCAATGCAGGTGTAGACGGTGCCGTCGAGTATGCATCGGCTCCGGGGCTTGCCAACCAGTGGAAAGGGTTAGGGGTGTCGGTGCTTCGTGTCGTAAGCCCCGGAGTGAGCAATTGGTGCGGGAACTCTTTGGCATCCTCATAAAGCTGCGGAGTATCCATCACAGGTCGTTCCAAACGATCAATAGACCATCGCGGTTCTGTCGGTTGTGGATATGTTTCGAAAATTTTGGATGCAATGCCGTGCCTGTTCGCCAGGTTGGGAGTTGCTGCTTGGAATGGTCGAGGGTGTTCACCAGATCCTCTTGCGGAATGAGTGGCGTCATAGCTACCTAATGGATTCGACGTCATCGAACGCGTAGGGCGATGCAGCGTCCGACCGCCGCTTGCTTCCGTGGCGGTGTGAGCTCGCATCAACTTTGGCTCTACAGGTGCCACGGGCGCTGCATTAGTACTTTTGGACGAGGAAGACCTGAAAAACCGTCGCCTGGAGCTCGACTCGCTTTTGATATCGGTCTTCACATCGCTTTTCAAGTCGCTTTTGGAGTCCTTCGATTTGAACATGTTGGAAATTTTCTTGCCGAGGCTGAACCTCTTCTTCGAGGACTTTGTTGATGTTGCTGGAGTGGGAGATACCGGTCTCGCGGGGGCTTCGGGGAAATGTGGGATATTAACGGAGTAGCTGTCGTCTTGGCTGTTCAGACTGGATCTGCTGCTAGCAATAGACCGTAGACTTTGCCTTAATGATGATGTGGAGCGCCGTTTGAGTGAGAATGCTCGTTTGACGAAGGATATTGGGTTGTCGTTTACTCGCTCGGTCGAAGTCTTTGCCGATAAAGGGGGAAATTCTAGTGATGGTCCGTTTTGTCTCTCGGGCCACTCGACTGAGAGGCCCGGCGAGAGCGGAACCTCGATTGGATGAGGGTGTCTCTCTTCCTCTTCCAGCGCAATGTCGTCGATCGAGCAGGTGTCCTTAAAGATCATGTCGATATCCTTCTGGATTCGTTCCTTGAGTCTGGACGTCAGGACAGACCCTTCTTCCTCGTGTGATTGGAAAGTCTCTTTTAACCTTCCGGGTATCTCATGTGTTTGTATCACCTCTTTGAACACCAGATGTCCCCGCTTCCGTGCGTTGACACGTACAGCGGTATTATGCCCCTGTAGGACATCGCCGATGCTAGTCTGGATACGGTCTAAAACCGCCTGGATGTCTCGTCGCCCGTGCGATGCAGAAGCGCCGACTGTGAATGCCGCAGGTACCTGAACTGACCAGTTCGCCCCCTTCAACTCACATATCGTGAATTCGAAATCGTTCGTTTGGTTGATCTGTGCATCGATGACCTGTGTAACATCTGCAAGGGACTCCTCAACATCTCGCACAAAATCTTCGCCATGAGAATCGTGAAATAACGAGAGACTGCTTCTTATGCTGCGCTGTAGGCTGTTGTGAGCAGGCCCCATTCCGTTTGCGATCCTCACGTCGATATTGAGGGCCGTACTGTCGCGATGCTGGCATGTCATTGTTGTACATTGCTGCGCATGAATTTCAAGCCTCTGCCTCCTGGGACCCAAGCTGCGATTAATAGCCTCTGCTGCGTTCGCCAGTAGATCTCTGCCCATCCCAGCCGTAAGAGGAGTCGCCTGTCTGCTGTAAACCTTGACTACCCTCTTGAATGCCGGAATAAGTCGCCGTGGGTTCCTGTGTCGAAGGGAGACCTCGAGACTGTAACCGGGGACGAATTCGAATGTCTGGGATTCCTCGAAAAATCGGGGTGAGGGAATAGCACCGAGCGACATCTGCCCAACTTCTGAGTCTAGAGACGAATCGGCGGTTTCGGGTGTCGCATCGAGAACAGAGCCCCCCAGCCATCGAAAGTCACTGTCATGTCGTCGGAAAAACATGCCTACCGTCTGGTGACTTGCGATGATAACCTCCTTGGCCGACCCGGCTGTCAAAGGCCGTTGCTGATACGACCTGTACGTCCTGACGGCCCATTCCCCCATCCATCCAGCTCTTGTGACGCGATAGGTGAGTTCGAAGCGCAATGGCTTACGGTCATGGGTTCCTTCCTTGATCATGTCAAGGGCCGTGGGGTCGGTCCGGGTGATGAGCTCCTCGGAGCAGTGCTCGATGCGGCGAAGCAAGCCATTGCATATCCTCCCCGTAGGTTCGAAGTATGGCGAGCTAACATATGTCTGGTTGTGAGTGACGGAGTGAAGGTCCTGATCGTGGAACTGGATATGGACGTGGACGACGAGAGGGCCGGTGTTTGTTGTCTCTGCTAGCGTCGCTACAGCGGGTTGTTCCTCTGTAATGGGCGATAGCAGGGCCCTCTCCAGTTCCATGGTCAAGTGAGGCGTGGCAGTGTGTGTGTCGATATGGCGAGGCTTTGGGTGAGGACCGGCAGGAGCAGGGGCTGGAGGTTCGACGACAGGAGGATGTTGTTTTTTGGATCTCAGTGAAGCCCCGAGGCTCCGGCGAGACGAGTCCCACCATGCCATTCCCTCGGCAGCGTGGAAGTGGTGATGCAGGATCTATCCTTGGTAGGCTCGGACGGGGTCGTGAAGAAATGTTCGCATGAAGCTAGCCGACTAGGGCGTCCTAGGCGTCCACCGGCGTCTAGGGCTGCCAAGCCGGGAATGGAGACGGTGGCCGACGAGCCCCGGACGGGCCTGATGCCCTCGAATGGAGCTTCCCTCTTGCTCAAACGTTGTTGACCTTGGACACACCTTGGCCATGGGCCAATGAGGGCGGCGGTAACGGTGCAATTAGACTAGGCGGGTGGGGTTGGAAGGGTTTGGATTGCGGGAGAAGTGGAAAGTGGACAGGAAAATCGGTAAAATCCAGGGCCTGTCTTGCCTGTCTGGATCCATAGGCCCATGGAGATGATGGGGGATCGATGGAGGGATGATGCGGGTGCTTGTCAAGTCCTCGTGAGGTTGTGGATTTGTCCGCTGCTGTAGTGTATGTACTGCGTAGTCTGGTTGAAAAGGGCTTCGTAAGAGGCGGTTTGAGTTGGCTTGAGTGGTTGGAGATGTACTAGTAAGGACGGGAGTTCAGGAGCAAGTAAACAATGGGATGAGATGGCATCAGAAGGCAGAAGCAAAAGAAGAGAAAATGCAAGAGACATTGAACCAAGACAACGAAGATGGAAGACAGTTCCGGATCAAACTGAACTAAGCCAGTGTGTTCCTAGCCCGTTGGATCACACGCCTATTGGCGAGACGAAGAGTGAGATGTGAATGGAACTGAACGAAGTGTGCGTAGGAGGCTTCGGGACGGCTCCCACCACATTAGGCAGTCTACCTAACGTTTCGCGTTGGTTGAGGTTGGATCTCCATATCATTTTTGTTCTTCGACCTACTACCAAGTACGTATGCAAAGGGGGGAGGGCATTCTTGCAGATAGGTTGCCGCACAATGTGGTCACTCGTTGAAGCGTCTGTCGGCCGTGCATTGGCACCAGACACTCTTGACAGCTGAGAGAAGAATCCGTCCAGAGAAGCTGACGCGAGGCAGAAATTGTCGCAAATCCTTCCTTCCATTCCGATTGCCCGGAAAAGTGGCAGCACCATGCTCACACTCGCAACTGCCATCTTTAGCAGACAACGGAGGGGACTGGCGGGTTGGATCGGAATAACAAAGTTTAGGTTTTCTCGCTTCTTGCTTCTTTGGGCAGTAGCCTGACACGTTGTCGACTTTGGAGCCGCGTCTGTGTGGAAGGTACCCCTGTGTGTCCATTCCCTATCGAGAACGTGATACATATGTGTACCTAGGTTACCATGCAAGTTCGCCTTATCTTGCAATTTTTTTGTGATTCAAACTTTTTTCCCCCTCGCAGCTAACGCAGGCTCGCAGGTCGTTCCTGCGCTTTTGTCGGCTGTGATTTACTTGAATCCTGGAAGGTGCATTCAGCCAAAGAACAGGCGGTTTTCTGTCAGACAGAATGGAAGTCCTCAACATGTACAGGCCTTCTGGAGCTTGTATCGAGAGATGGGATACAACAGAGATCTCGAGGAAGTTGGGCGTCACTGAGGTTTCACAGGCACCAAGAGCTGTCAGAAATATCAGATGGAGATTTGGGACTCTACGATCACATCCCACGTTTCACAGGTCCGTGCTGATGAGGATGATGCTGGTTCCTTCAGAGGCCGTCGTCAGTGTCGCACAGGCGGAATCGTGGTTTATTTTCCGCTCTCACGGGTTTCACTCCTTCTCCGAGTTTCCGTCGGCACAAGTCGCTCTTTTTTGGAGGAGCCTCAACCTGCAGAGACTGCCACGTCGGGTCCCAGGTGGGCAAGGTGGGGTTTCATCGCGTCGTCGCCCCTGGTGCTAGCCGGTGGGGTAGATAAACGCTGGAATACCTGGAGTCTTTGGAGCACTGCATGGCACGGAGAAAGCGTCGGAATCGTCAAGTCAATTCACACACAACGGCCGGCGTCCCTTCGTCGATGTTGTTGCAAACCAAAAGGATTCTTCTTGAGGGGAGCTCCTTCCTTCCAAGTCCAGGTATTGGAAAAAGGGGTTCCCAAAGTGTCTGCATATCTGGGACCACCACCACCAGCAAGCGCAGGTACAGCTCGCGGGTCGCTGTTCCCAATGACGTTCTGGAACGTCTTGTTCGCTCGTTGACAGCCAATGGCGGGCACAGCCGGCCGCGTCCGGGACAAAATTCCACTGGCTGAGTCTCCTCAACCCGTGATGCGGTGCCAGGGAGAGCAAGTGAAAAAGACGCAAGTGGGCCCGGCCAACTGTTAATGGCCAAGTGCTGCCGGTCGTGGCCGACTCCGGATTTCGTCCTTTCAGCTTCTCCGCACCGCGCAGGAAGCTCGGGCCTGCTCGGGCTGCACAGCAGCAGTCGCGCCAGCGAGTCCAACTGTCCAACAAGCCTCAGCTGTCCAGTGACATCAACAGACACTTCTCTTCCTACACTACTCATTTCGACACCGACATTTCGGGACCTTGATCGTGGCATCCTGCCCACGAAAGCACAAATGGCACAATTTACCCCAGAAGGCGTGCATGGCAACATGCTTCACCGGCATGCGAAGTACCGATACATACAGCGGCCATGGATGGATGCGGGACATGCTGCCGAAAGTCACATTTGACTGCCCATGTCTCTACCCCGGATTCCCGCTGTCGTGATTACCTATTGCCAAGTGAAAAGGCTCCCATTCGTGAAACAAGGGCACGGTTGGGGTAAAATCTAGAGGGTTAGGTGAGAAGGTGTGAGAGACGTCGTCGTCTATCGGTAGGGACACCTTGATTACATGGTAACTTGACCATCAACTTGATCTCCCTTCAAGTATTCAGTTGTCATCAAGCCAACTAGCAAAAATGGGGATGACTTGTGTCGATGATTTCCACTGTTGCCGCTCGTCTGTGCGCTACTACATACGGTACCGGTAGTGTGCCTCTTGTATACCTCTAAAGCCTTGCCTACTTCGTTGAGGCCTCTCCCTTACCCTCCCTCTGGCTTGAAACGGCCTCCAGCATCCTATTAAAGGCTGGATCGCATATCCAATAAAGGACATATCGTCAGATCCAAGTTTCATGCGGCCCATCTTCCATCCTTTTGTGGTCCATCTACCACCATGCCGCTTCCTCAGACAACCAAGAGTCAGAAACTCTACACCTAAACAACAACAGGGCATTTGTGTTACCCACCAGAGGGCCGACATCTCGCTCGGAATTGTACTACAGTTTCTCTGTCCCAACGAGCGAATCGCCCTCTCACACATACAAACAAGGCAAGCGGTCGGCCCGTCAGCCAGTCGCCGTTGCCCGAGTCATCATGCATCCGTTGCCTGACGTTGGGCATATCGGGCATCCTCTGCCTACCTACTTCTGCCCTCCTCCTTCTCTCCATCTGGCCGGTAGGTCAAGATATCGCCGACTTGACGCTACAGTACCTTCTTTCCCCAGCTCAGCGCAAATATGCGTCAAATCATCCTTCTGTCCGGTTGGAGTTACATTTGCTGGCATGATGACAAGCTTTCAATTCGTTTTTGCACGTTTGACATGGGAGTTTAGGACTTGATGGAAACTCGCAGCTCCCATTAACTGGAAGTCACACTATCATTCGTTCGTTTCCTATCTACATAATTCATCCGTTTGGCCCCCATTCTCGAGGACCCTTCAGAACATTTCATTTTTTTTCTCATTTGCCGTACCTATCGCCCGCAGTGCCGAATATAGACACCGGTTTCAAGACTCGCTTCAAGGAATGAGCCTACAATGCTGCCAGTATCCCAAAATGTCCTCACCAACAACAAATCAGCTCAACTGTCCGCTTTGTCCGCCTCGTCCTGGGCATTCTTGCAGTCCAAAACCGAACGGAAGAAACTTTTTCAGTGGCTGCTATCTGTCTTCTCGTACGTTGAGTTGACGGAACGGTAGACTTGGCGTTTATGGACTGTAGGCCTCGTACATCGAAATCATGCAAAGTGCAAAATCAGGAAGGAAGGGCAGATCTTCAACGGTAAGGCGTTTTGGCGAATTATTGAGAGAACGGCCTCTCGCATTTCATTTCAGTGGATGTAGATATTTGAAAATCGAAAGTTCGCCGTTGAAACTGAAGTCTGAAAACATCTTGTCTGCTTCACAGATTTTCTGTGGTTTCCGAAAAACTTCGACGGGATCGTAAAATCCCGTCCAAAGAGGTATCCCGATACCTCCAAAGTATTCATTCGCTCAGTCAAAACCCAATAAACTTCTCGTTTCGATTTACATTTCTTCAAACCTGCCGGGCCACTTTCCAGTCAAGAGACGCCAACAAGACAAACATGGGCAAGAAAAAGAACAAGAACAACCCAATCGTCGGTGAATTTGCCCGCTACTTTGGCGAGAACACTCTCGAAAACTGGCAGCGTTTGTGCCGGGACATTGGCATCCACAAGGAGCTTCCAAGCATTACTAAATGTCGCGAGGTACGTTTCGTTTGCCGGTTTCCATTCTCTTCACTCAGCTCTTTTCATCTTTGTCCCAACCAATCTCCCCCACCCCTTCCCAAGCTCCAATTAGCATCTCCTCCTTCTCCCCTCCTCGCCATAAATCATGCCCGACTCCGACTCTGACCTCTATTTCTCACTCATTCACTTAAAGGTCCTGAGATCGGTCCATGTCAACATCTACGACCTCCTAGATGCCGTCCGGCAGGGAACCACCCCGCAACGCTTTGGAAACCCCCGCCAGCTGGCGCAGTACTCGGTTGCTAATAGAAAGATCTATCCGAGGCACATGGCGGAGAAGGATAAAGTGGGACCAGTTAGGGTGTTGTTGAGAGGCTTCTTTGGGGGGGATTGATAGGGTAGCGCGTATTAAAATGATTGCTGAATAGAGATGGAAGGGAGGACGTCTGTGAAAGGGAGAACATAAGAGGGGTGTGGAAGGGATGTGATAGGCTGGATGATGGGATGGAATCTGATGGATATGTTCCATGAGTTGGTTGAGGAAGGGCATGTGAGTGATGAGTAACTTGTAACTTGAAAGAAGAAGAATACGGTAGGAGTCTTTGGCGATGTGCCCAGGCTTCTTTTAGAGAGTCCTTGTGTGAACTGAGCGATTGGCTTGTCAATCCTCGATGCTTTCCGTATTCAACGACGCAATTCATTGGATAGGTAGACAGTTGGATGAAGTGTCTTTGATTTCTCCATTTAAGGTCATCCACCGTTTGCTTTTACTGCGAGAAAGGTGTTCGTTGTTGCTTTTTTTTGCTGTTGAAAGTTGGGGCCAGCGGAAACCAGCATTTTCTCTGCCCGTCCACCCGGTTGTCACTCCTCCCGTCAGTCTCATTCCCGTTTTTCTTCCTTTTACAACGGATATCGTTGCTGACCTTCCGGCGCCAACAGAAGTCCCATGTTTAAAAGGCGGAATGCCCGTTCTGCATATCCTGTGAAAACAGGATGCCAACAACACTTGACAGCAGTTTCTGGACACGCAACTTCTTTATCCACGCCGCTTCTATCTTCCCAAGAACCCCCCTTTTACATTCTCTTCTTAACAACCATGCAATGCAACCCCGTCCCTGACTGCATCACGATGAGAACATCCCGCACACCTGAGAAGACTTATCATCATCCAACTTTGACGCGCCGGAGATGAACCGACCCAGCCAGCCCAGCCAGCCCAGCCAGTCTACCACATCAGCCCTAGTCAACGAACCATACGAGCAAGGACCGACCGGCCTCTGTCTCTCTTGTCATCAAATCAAAAGTCTAGTGTCCACCCATCATAATTCCTCCTTCGACTCATCATCAATCATTATGAGTAAAAAGAAGAGACCCGCTCCTCCCCAAAGACAGGATGTCATTGTCCGATGGAAGAACTACTTTGGCGCCGGTGATCTTGAAGATTGGCAGCGTCTGTGTCAGGACCTGGGGTTGGATGGTGAATTTGGCAGCAAGACGAAATGTCGAACGGTATGTATATGCCCTACAATTTCTGGACCCATCTGCCGCTGGTCTCATACCTACTTTTTTATCCTTTTTTTTTTTTTTATGGTGTTGTGGGTTTGGACATTTTTTATCGTGCATAGAAGGCAACAACACTTTTCGTTGGTTGGACAAGAATTCAGGTTTTAAGGGACTTAAAAGACTTGAAGCAACCAAGGAAAGAGACAGAAAGAACTGGGAGAGCAAATTGTAGGTACTAATGCTTCGCAATTCAATTAGGCTCTTAAAAGCATCAACGTCAACATCTGGGACTTCCTCGATGCCGTCGAGGTGGGGAACATCCCGCAAATGTTTCTCACCAAGAAGGAACTTGTCAAGTACACTACGAAGACTGGACGGATATTTCCCAGAGATGAAGCGAAGGACATGGGGCCGGTGGCAGCTCTGCTGAAGATCTTGCGTTAGGTTATGGATTGTGGTGCTTGAGTGGCCGAGATATGTGGACGAAGGGAAGCTGAAAAGGGTGAAATGTCTTGTGGTATGGTTGTCGAAATACACGACTTTTATGTGCTTGGACAATACCTACCGAAACGTATGTGCCTCCAGAGTGGTTCTGTGTGAAACGGCTCAGGGACCTCTTTGTGAAGATGTAACGGTTGTTGGTGCATTAGAACCTAGCTCCTTGTTCAAGAAGACCTTGGTGGTAACCGATGAGCGTCTGGATGCTCACGGAATGATTCCGCATTGTCTTCCGCATGCAATCTAGCAACGCTTCATCTGTTTTGGGAGGTTTCAGCTTCAAGCCATCCCTTTACGGCTAGAGGTATTGCTGCAACCGAGGTGACCATTTACGATGATCAACACAAGTCCGATGGAGTGATGTTGGTGGCGTGCTCTATGACAGAAAGTCAGTTTGTCATTGCTTGAGCAACTGGGTAAAGAGAAGTAGAGGAGAGAGTGACTTGACCTAGGTACACCTCATCTTCCTCAAGAACCCCTATCAAGCCTAAACCTGCCTCAAAACACCCTCCCTTCCTTCCCCTGTAGCCACTCGTCTATAATCTATGTGACATGTGATCACCAGCTTGATCTAAGACGATCAGTACCACCAAGCAAAGCAAAACAGTGTGAAAGTCAAAATGAAACCGACCCTCTCCTCCGTCATGGCATCGCTTCCCATCCCACCACCATCCCGAAAACCGACATCCATTTTCGCAGTCTGGACTTCGAAGAATCCCATCCAGGCAGTAACGAGAAATCTCTAAACAGCAGCCTAATGATCATCGGAAATCGCCTAGGCTATGTCTCAGACCCCATCTACCGTTGCCCAACACCCACTGACTATCTCAACGTCCGTCGATCGCACAAGGACCTCGCTGGGCAGACCTCTCTAGCGCCAACAACACCGAACTCTTCCGAACCCGAACAAGAGACCTCGCTTTTCCCTTCCTGATTCAGGTGAAATTAGACGAACGGACTGTGGCCTCGCTCAAAGCCAACCCATTTGCCGAACGAAACAATAGCGTCGCCGAGATTTATCCATGTTCGTCTGTCCGTCCATCCAAGACATTTCTTCCCCCGTCCCTTGACTTACCATCCTTGCTTAGTCTGAGGCCTAACGTACTATGGTTGGGTACTATGTACTGCGTACTATGTAAAGAGGCCGTGGGTCACGTCGCTGACGATCTCTGGCACTCGAGTGGCCATACAGAGTCACGAAGCTGTGCTCTAACTGGTCCGTGCCCGATTACCTGACAGGGAGGCAAAAGTTTTGCAACCACAGTATGTAGTGTAGTAGGCGGCTCCATCATGAGGTGGTGATGCGGCGGTGCGATTGTTTGGTGCGCAACACATACGCATGTACAATCATACCCTTGACCCGCGTATACTTTGCAGCACTCATCTCTGACCTGTACCTTGCGGGCTGGAATTGAGATATGGTAGCGTACATAGTAGTATCCTGCTGCGTGTTGAATTTTGCTTCTTCATATGAATATCACTTGAGCGAGCAGGCTTGTGTCCACGCATACCTTACCATGGAGCCAGAGCTCAAAAACTGGAATTGCATTATCCCGTATCGTGGAAGAACTGCCATTAGTAATCGGCGCTGTATCCCGGACCGAAAGGCAGAGACAAACTCTCGGCAGTTCAAGACCACGGCCCATTAATGCAGATATCTTCTCCTTTCTCACAGTGTTTGCCAGATGAAAAGAGTGAGCGTGTACATCTCTGCATGGATATACTATGCAGTAAAAGGGTAGCGCAGTACAGCCAAGGCGCTGGTGGCGCTACAGAAAACCAGGGTTGTAGCGTGAAGTGATGGAATTGCCCCTTCCCGTACGGACCGCCATCTTGGGAGACTTTGCTACCCCAAGCGATCGCCCGATTCACCGCGCTGTGTACCCTTTTATATCCACGCAGAGGTGTAGCAATCTCTTTCAGTTTCTTGTGGCACGCGGTCGGGGCCGAATCGGCAGCGCACCGCATCCGGTTTTCTGATATTCAGAATCAGAACCAAGAGACCCTCAGCTCCATGATTGCTGTGTACTGCAGTAGATCCGGGGGCTTTGTGATGTTTTGGTGTGATGTTTTGCGGCATGACCCGGCGCTTCATGGTCAACGCTATAACCACGATGACGATCTTAACGAAAATGTCCCTGTTCATGCATTCGTAGTGTACTAACGGATGCAATAGCAGTTGGAATGCGTCCATGATCCTGGAAACCTAAACGGGAAACATAGCTCTGCGGCCCGGAGCGTGAAGAAGACATGCCACCGTTGTTCTGGCTCATCGTACCATAGAACTAGGTTCGCCTGTGCGTGCGATCGGGGGGCTGTGCGGTTTGTCAAGGTCGGGAGATTGGCTCTGATTAAAACGGCTGACTTATCCGTCGATTGGTAGACGAAGATGGGCGTAGAGGATGAGTAAATCGGATATCTCGATTGGGCTGAAAAGTCGACATGGTTAGGAGGTTGAGAGGGCAGTTGTCTAGGTACCTTACTCCGACCATTGGATACACCGTAAAAGAAGAAAGAATCTAATTTAGATGGATCTCGGCAAGCATCATCGATTGCTTTTCTCATCAGGATTTCTCCATCCGCCCATGCTGCTTCAGAATGTCGGTAACATGGTTTATAGTTCCTTACCGGAGTCGCCGAGTCTCTCGGTTTCTCTGATTTTGAACAATGTTGTTTTCGAAAAACACCGGTCTGGATCTCGAGTTGTATCTGACAATAACACTGTATCATTAGCATCTGTATAAAGGCAAGAAGAAAGCTGCCAAGTCGAACACAGATGACTTTGAGGCCTTGATGCAACAACGTTGTTGACGCTGTCTAACTTCGATCAATGTTGAAAGTTCGGTCAAAAAGACCCTCCACACCTGACCCCTTTAGCTTCAGAGGCCGGATGTCGACTTGGAACCAGCCTAATGTGGCAGCCCCTAGGGGCTAATGCAAAGCTAACAACCTGCAATTGCGTAACGTCGAGAAGAGATCGGCGGACTAAACAAATACCGAAGTTTGATAAGATAGGGTTCGAGTCAGTCAGCCTCTAGGTTAGCCTGTGGCCGGTGTGGCGGATATACACTAGAGTAATCGCGTTACCATCCTCCAGAGCAACTTTGGAAGCTTGGGTGCGCAGATGAGGATGGCATTCAGCATGTAACTTGTTTTGCTCAAATGGAATCAGAACACTATAACGGGATGGCTTCGAAAAGAAAAGTCAAATAAAACTTGGAGAAAGGGGATCTCGCCAAGACCGAGTTTAGCCCACCGTACAGTGTTGATGGTATAGTGTCCCGAATGTCACGCCCTGATCAGCTGCAACGGAAGACCGAAGAAGAAGTAGTTACTCCGAAGTTGTCGACGCCGGGCTCTTGGCTTCCCTTAATTTGGGCGGATAGAAGCGTCCGTTCAGGGTTTGTATTGAGGTCACCGAATTGTTGGGCTCCGTTTAGCAGCTATATCTATAATTTCTCAGTTTAGCATGTATGCAGCGTCATGATGTCGCTCTTACCATTACTACCCTCTCGAGACAGCTTGTCAGTGTGCAGACAGGCCGTTGAGTAGGGCAGTGGTTGTTTAAAAGATTTTGTTTGCCAGGAAACCGCGATCTTGGCGGTTGTACGAGCAAAGGCTTCGTCAGCGAACAGACGGCAACAATTGAAGACTGTGAGCGGGCACGCGGGATAGAGGGTTAGTAGTCTTGATGGGTCGACACCACCTGGGGCGCCAGGAAGCGCTAGGCTAGTACATAGTGTCCCGTCGGAAGTTGTCGAGGAAAGTGAGACCTCTTCATCCTGAATATCCTCACTGTACCGCTCGGTTCTATTTCCCTTTCCAGTCTGATATCACTTGGCTGAGGTCGGGATCAGAGACACCCGAACAGGCCTTCCCTGTCGATTGCCATGACCCAAGAACCGGGGTACTGGTTTCGTGAACACTCTTCGGATGCACACCAGGGACATGGGTTGCGATCAGAAGGCGCGGACCGATGTGCCCCCCTTCCCCCCCAAAACTCTCCGACAGCACTTGGCGGGAAATGATTGGGAGACAAGGCGGTGAAGGAGGGGATGGTATTTCGACGTCTGCACTATCGATTTTTGTCGAGAAGCTGATGTACACTAAACTGATGCCTGCTGATATTGTTAGCATCGTTAGGCAATTTCTGAAGCTGGCTTGTAACTTCTGTGGCACAGATACTGGCAAGGCTCTTGTCTTCGAAGCCAGACACCGCGTGCATCACGTCAAGCCCATTCAGCCCAACATTGCTAGAGGTCCCCCCTCTTACCTACACATATCAAACACCCAAGCCGCGCTCACCAAGGCGTGGTATCATCCCATCTTGAGTGTGACAAGATATCTCTGCTTTTGTTGACTCTGACATTAATTTTCCCAGCCGCTCGTGCACAGCAATTCGTCGCAACGGCCATCATGAGCTTGACAACCGAGGGCAACGCGCAGCCGATTTCGTGCTTGGAGTGTCGTCGTCGGAAGCAGAAGGTAAGTTTTAAGGCGCTTTTGATGTTGGACACCTCCAGTCTCTACGAGGTCTCCAAGACTTAACGGTTACGCCTGTCTAACTTTGAAGTTAGTGTAATCGTCAGTTTCCATGCAACCATTGCTCGAAGAGAGGAGTCGCCCATCTGTGCAGATTTGTTCCGAAGAAAGCCAACAAAAGCGATACAGCCTCTGACGAGGGCTCATCGAGGTAAGCCATATCATAAGCTAGACAACTTGGAGGCAATGGAAACATTTTTCTGACAGTGGCGTTCTCTTCAGTGTGTCCAAGAAACGGGCTCTAGAGTCCCCCGAAGAGTCTTATTTCGATGAGAACGGCTGCCAAGATAGTGAAAACGACGAGGCCGACGAGGTCGATGCTCTCAATGCCCTCGGCTATATGCCACACACACACCACGTGTTGCTTGGTAAGACAAACAAGGGTACGGTTGATGCGGACGATGAGCCTGTCCAGTCGAAGGAACTGCAAACTGCCATCATGTCAATGCCTGCCAAGCCATATATGGGTATGCCACTTACCCTTCGATTTTTTCCGTTGCGTGCGAGATTGTGCCTGACCTTTAGCAGATTGTTTGGTGGACAACTGGCTCAACGGTGCAAACCATCACTACTACGTTTTGTATCGACCTCAGTTTAGGACCCAGTATGATGGATGGTGGGCGACACCCGCGAACAAGCGTACAACAGAGTTGACCAGTTTAATCCTGCGGGTTTGTGCCTGCTCGGCCTTGTACATCTTGGACGCTGGCGTCATGGACAGACTAGAGCGTGAGCTTGGGACTGATGCATTGACACTTGCTACCACCTTGCACACAACAGCGGAGAAGCTCAGTAAAACGGTACCCTCTGGGAAAGGGGGGCTAGCCCATGTCCAGCAGCTCTTCTTGACCGCTTTCTGGTACAAGTCGGCCGAGAAATGGACCGAAGCGTGGCATGCCCTAGGAACTGCCATTCATGCAGCATATGAGATAGGACTTCACCAGGATTCTTTATCTGATGGCATGTCGGAGTTTGACCGCGAGATGAGAAGACGTGTTTGGGGTATCCTGTATATATGGGACTTGTAAGTCAAATAACCCGCCCCAGCCAACCGTGACCGTGCTAACACATCGGCAGCACCTTGAGTTCGATGCTTTCTCGGCCATTGCTCGTGAACCACGCCGACTGCACATTCGTAGAGCCAACGTTAGCTCTCGACAAAGACCCCGAAAACCCAGATAAACCGTCTCCTTTTCTGCACATAAATCTCCACAGCTCCCTGTGCTTGAAGATGGCAGCAGAACTCAAGACCGTGCTGTCCGGCAACTCCATCCCGACCGAAATGAGTAAGGCCTTGATGAGTGAGGCTTTGAAAGACATTGTACAGAAGTGGATGGACGAACTGCCCGCTGCATATGTTCTCCAAAACCCAGACACTCAATGGGACGCGGAGAATGACTGGATCGTATTCCAACGTCGCTATCTTCACCTCGTCGGCCACATGTGCTTGTTCGATCCTCTCAAACAATTCGTAACTCGAGATTCTGCAGAGCCATTGTCTGAGTTGGAGCTGGAACTTCGTGAGTCGGGTGTGTTAGCCGCATTGGGCCTCATGGAAGTATCTCGGACGTTCTTCGAACATCTCGCCTCTGCCGGCGCAAAATTCCACTATGCCGTCTTTTGCATCTTTGACACCACCACTGTCTTGTGTTCTGGACTGGTCCGTGACGAAGCCCGGAATTTGCCACATCGAGAGACTGTCCTTGAATCCATCAAGCGCGGGTTGAGTATGCTGCACGAGTGTACCGGCGACTCAAAGACGACATTGAGCCTGTGCCGGATTCTGGAAAAAATGGTTGCAAATTTGCCACTTAGCTATCGGGAGAAAGAACTAATGGGTTCCACCAAGCGAGTGAAGTCCAAGATCACGAGCGCGTCTCCGAGTGTTTCTTCGGCTGCTGGTGGGCTCGAAGTCGCGGACGCTGCTCGGCAGGGCAGGAGTATCGATTCGGCCATCCACTTGGTTGAGGAACCTTGTCAAAGCGACAATATCGGCAGCAATGTTTCCGGCGAAGTCTCAGCCGTCATCGACAACAACTCGGCTGCACCCGAGGCAGCAGTAAGAGATGATGCTGGGCCAAATCATGCAGAGCCCCTCCAGGTATGCGACCTGCCGCCGCCGCCGCCAGTAGAAGCAGCAACAGCACCATGGCAAACGACCGTGGATCACTTTGGCAAGTTCCAGCCAGCTATGTATGAGACGGCTCAACGCAACGATCCAGGCCAATACGGGCAACTTGACTGGCAGCTCCAACAATATCACTTGAACAACAATTTGGACCTGTTCAATGGGGTGCAACTGCTCCCACTCGACGGAGGAGTTCCAACCTTGCTAGAGCATTGGGACTGGGAGGGCCTCCACGTTGGAAATCCTAGGCTGTGGGACAGTCCTTCTCCGTTGGCTTCGCCTTGAGCTCTGGTGACAGATATACATGGCGATGCATGGGCGCTGGTTGTCCTGTGCCTGGGGTGTTAGGTCTTAGTCCAGCCAATGGACGTGGAGATAAAGCTGAGGGAATGGATTGTTGTTTACAGAATGTGGGCGAGTTCTGTTCTGGCTCAGAGGAGGAGGAACCTTGCATTGCAGAGCCGTTAAAGGAGCATCGATCGGGGTATTGTTTCGAACAGAAGCCGCATTAGTACAGGCAAGGAGAATGAATGGTTGGATCAGATTCGTGCTTGGCGATTGTGCCTGTTGATTTGTGGGATTTTAAGTTGGAGGAGTACGGTTGCAAATAGAACAATCAAAGATTTTGGTAAAGGTTGATGGCCCCGACAGTTGAAGGACTGAGTGAGCGAGATGGAGACGAGGCCGGGTGTCTAGGACTGAAGATCGGGGAAGCGGAGGGCAACGCTAGACTTCTGCTTTGGGCGCCAGTTTCTGCGGTCAGACGGGAAAAACGTTGGAGCTGAGCTTGTGCATTGTTCCTTCTTCTGTAATCGATGGTAAAAGTCTTGGTTCTTCGACGGGACCCCACGGATAGGCAGGCACCTCTTATGGTATTTGTTTTGTTCAGGAAGGAACATGTGTGTCCGAAGATTCTGCAAGTGCACCCCTTAAAGTCACCATTCGGAGCACAGCAAATCCATACTGGCTGAGGGGCCCGAAGTCGCTTGGGTCCGAAGATTTTCGGACAACATCCCATTCGTTTTCTCCGACTCAAGAAGTGGGCCGAAGGGATCGTTAAACACCGACTTTTGGAACGACCTGAACAGCGATAAGCGGCCGCCCATAGAATATTGGAACATGGAAGAGTTGGGGGCCGTCGGTATCCAGGTCCGCGACAATCAATTACCTCCTTCTTTTGGATGTGGGATCATCCAGGTCCTGACATGGAATGTCCGTGCACCTCTAAAGTCGCAGGTCCCTCCGGCACTCTGGTCAACAGCAAACGCCTGGCTGGGATGCTCTTGCCTTTTCGCATCTAAGCTGGCCACAAAAGCCTTTCTTTTCGGGTGTTATGCTGTGTTCAGACCCGTCGGTGTTTGCCATAGTCGTTGTATACTTTCACCGTGATGAGCATGGGAAACGCGAAAGATGACTTGAGAACACTGAGTTCGGGAGGTACTTTTGTGCACGAGGCGCTCTGACCAATTCTTCGCCCAAATAGGTAATTGTGAGGACCTGGATCCCGACCTCCGAAGCGGGAGTTTTGTGAAAATTCAACGGGCTTTGCATACGTATGATTTACTGTGTCGTCGAGCGGCATCACTCGTGGCAGTGTCCCATTGGAAGCGGCAGTACAGCGAGGGCTTTTCAAGGTATGATATGACATTCTAGTGGTGTCCTGTTGGTGGTGAGGGTTGCGTCCTTCTGCAATGGCCTCACGGGCCGATTGCATGTCCGGGCGAGACAAACAAAAAAAAAAAAAAGACGGAAAAATTCCCAAGAACATGTTAAATCAAAGAAACTCTCCAAATAGCCTCCAACGCTTTTATCAAAGCTTATTCATGCAAACGCAACAAAGAATGGCCCAATGCCCAGGATGTTCCATTCCCCGAGCAGCTTCCGCCGGGTCTGCCGGGCCGTGACGGGAATTTCTATCGAGAGCCTAAAATCGATCCGAAGGTGGGGCACCGTTACAGTGGATAGCATTTGTCCTTCAGGGCTCCGATCAGGGCATGCCGGAGACGGCGACATATGCCCGCAGAGTCACACGGTAAGAGGTCTAGAGCTCGCCGGGCTGACCACCTCTGTCCGATGTCCAACGGTGAATCTGACGTGATTTCTTCGCCACTTCAATCGACCATGCCGGCCCAGGCCTCAAGAGCAGTTGCCCGACAACTTTGCATCGCTGGTCGACATCAACAACCTTTACGCTTGTCGTTCAGAACCCCGGTGGTTCTTTCGTCCGTTCGACAGTCCTGTGGTTTCTCGTCAACAACACCCTTCAAGATGGGCCAGTCAGATGTGCAAAATGCCTGGATTGGCAGCGCCGGCCCGGGAGCCTTTGATCTCCGCAGTAGGGAATCCTAAAAGAACTGCAAGTCCGAGCTTTCGACTAAGGGTTTTCAGGTGATACCATGACAACTCCCACGGCGTCCATGCTTGCCGCTATCCAGTCCTGCTCTCTGCTCGACGATGTCACACAAGAAGATCCCACCACCAGCGACCTTGAGGCCCACTGCGCTGCTTTGTGCGGCAAGGAGGCCGGCCTCCTCGTTTTGTCAGGCACTATGGGCAATCAGCTAGCTATGAGGTCCTTGCTCACCCAACCGCCTCACGGTGTGCTCTGCGATGCCCGCTGCCACATTGTAAAATATGAGGCTGGAGGGTGAGGCTATTTATGTCTTTCCGTCTTCATCTCTACTCTTAGTACTTAGACCAGCCCTAACACGATCTCATAGTGTCTCATCTCTAACGGGCGCCATGCTCAAGCCTGTCATGCCTAGTAACGGCGTCTACCTTACCCTCGAAGACGTCAAGGCCAACATTCATCTCGATGACGACGTGCACACTTGCCCGACTCGTGTGATTGAGCTCGAGAACACACTCAACGGCATGATCATGCCGCTCTCCGAGGTACGCCGCATCTCCGCCTTTGCTCGCGAGCATGGGATCAAGATGCACTGCGACGGCGCGCGCTTGTGGGAGGCGGTGGCCTCTGGTGCTGGAAGCCTTGCCGAATTTGCCAAGTGCTTTGACACAATCAGCCTATGCTTCTCTAAGGGCCTTGGAGCACCCATTGGCAGCATGCTGGTAGGCCCCAAGGACGTGATCAAGCATGCCCGGTGGGTAAGAAAGTCGATTGGCGGTGGACTAAGACAGTCGGGCGTGGTGGCGGCTGCTGCGAGGGTTGCCGTTGACGAAACGTTTGGCAAGGGGCCCAGTGGCGAAGGCGGCAAGTTGAAGGGAGCGCATATTTTGGCCAAGGAGATCGAGAGGATATGGACGGGCTTGGGCGGCAAGGTTCTTCATCCTGTCGACACCAACATGGTGTGGCTCGATTTGAACGATGCGAAGTGCTCGGTGGAGAGGATCAATGAGCTCGGCAAAGAATCGGGACTCAAGTTATGGGCACCTCGCTTGGTCATCAGCTACCAGGTTTTTGAAAACCGTGATCGTGTAATACCCAAGCTGGAGAGCATCTTCGAGACGATCATGCAGGAGAAGACAACAAAGACGGGAGAAGGTTTTCAGAAGGCTGATGGAGAGATATCGCAATATCGGAGCAAATAGAGTACTACGTAATAGCCTCTTGCGATGTCTTTTGGATTTACCTAATCCAAGAGTCTAAGTCTTACCGTGAACCCCCGGCCCGTTCTCTACATCCATAAAAGGGCCGAAAAAAAAAAAACGCTCTTGACTAAGAGGTGTGGGCTTGAAGGCTTGACTGCCGATGAGCGAATGAGAAGACTCGGGCGCAAGGCACCGCCGGCACCTTCAAAGATCATGATGGTGCGGTGTTTTGTTCAACAGGAACCTGTTGGTACCAAGCACACAGTCGCAAAGGTTGCTTCTTATGTGGATGGCATCTCTTGTGTATCCCGACTTCCACATGTCACTGTTGTGACTTGAATTAGCGGATATCTCATCTTGTCGTGTACAAACAAGCGCATAGTCCTTTTCATTGCGCCGACGATATGTGTCGTGAATACTGGATGGTTCAAAAAGATGGTTGAAAGTCCCGGGAGTTGAACACACCGGTTGGTTACTACATATTGAATTTGCCGGTGATCGAAAGGGGCGGGTGTTCCTGTCCTGGTGTGATGTTGCGACTGGCAAACCTCAACACCGACCGAAACGCTGTTCTCTATCTCCGCACTGGGACTTCCCCGTCTTTCCACCGACAGGAGAGCCCAGGACAGCGGGCCTCGACCCCACATTTGCTTCCCGCAATGGAGATGACCCCACCCATACCCTCCGAGTACCCACTAAGCTAGCCTGACGTCACTGAGAAAGAGCGAATGACAGCGCCGAGAGGTTGCGGTCAATGAAATGCCGGAGGTAAGGTCAGCCAAGGTTGTTGGAGTCGATACATACTCGGACTCCCCGGATGCGGGGAGAATGTGGACTCTCCAATCTGAAGCTCTTCAACTTCGGTGTTGTTGTTGTACAATTCAATCGGCAGTTGGTGTTGTTCACTTTATTGCTCGTTGCATTTCTGCCCACGCAATTCATGCGCCGAGCCAATTCCGAAAACGCGACAAGAATGCCGAGTTATCACGTTCTCCGCGTATTCGGATGACACCAATCCACACACTCAGGTCTGGATGGCCGAATGTTGTGTCCTCAAGTGTCCAGTGACAAGCTCTGCAAGAGAGACGAGATGGAAATATTGTTGTTTACTTGACCTAATGTTGCACGGACATTATTGATTGGCTTGTCATCCACAGCGGGAAGCTTTCCATGTTGCATGACATGAGATGCTCAGAACTAAATGTGCTTGCTTTCACAACCGTACAGGGAATTAGGAATTGGGGGACTGAAACACGAGAACAATACCCCTTATACTGCACGTCATGGTTTACTCGGGTTGCTGGATCCAGCAGATGAGACACGAAAACTCGGTGTCGATTAAAAAAAAAAACACACACATTCCTCACGTTCCCCAGAAATGCCTCACACGCTGACCAGTCCCACTCGGGATGGGCCCTGGACACAAAGGAAACAATAGAACCTGGAGAAATGCGGAGAGGATCAGCGTCACTTTTTTTTTTCTCTTGGCAAGCTGGGGTGCAGGGAAGCAGGGGAACAAGCGTGACCTCGCCATGCTCGCCTACCTGACCTCGACGCACGTCGATTCTGTTTCCTGAATCAGGGCTGCATGCAGGTTTCCGTTGCATGTATAAGTTGGGCAGATTTACGCAAAAGGAAAGTAGCCTGCTTGCCGCTGATGATGGGATGGATGGATCGAAGGGAGCCTTCAGGTCTCCAAGCTGAGCGCCCTGCTCATCGTCGGGTGCAAAAACTACCGGATTTGATGATGTTACACATAGTAATGAAAGTTTGTAGTGTACTGGGGCTAAGTGGAAAGTTTACCGGGTTGGCAGGCACTCCCCACATCATCACCACGCTTGTCATCGGTACTTCTTTCCTGTCCTGATCTTCACCACTTGTGGAGTTACAGAAATTGGTGGCGTTCGTTGGACCTGACTGGTTGGGAATCTGGACCAGCTTCTTGTTGTCTTGTGTGTCGGTATAATAAACCTGCTATTCCTCTCCCTTCTCCTCCCCCCCCCCAAAAAACACTCTTTCCCTTATGGCTAGTTTTGGACTATGAGGTAGTGAGGCCATCGACATTTTCCCGACTTCACACCAACAACAAGCATGGTATCACGATTCCTTGGGGCAACTGTGCCCCTGGCTGCTGCTATTTTGCCTGGAGCCCGCGCGCTGTATGTCAATGGCTCAGTAACGGCTCCATGCGACTCGCCAATCTATTGCTATGGCGAACTTCTACACCAGGTCGAGCTAGCTCGTCCATTCTCCGATTCAAAGACCTTCGTCGATATGTAAGTCTTTGGCCCAACATCTTCTGGTGTATAAGCATGTCATTGACCCAACTTCCTTGTAGGCCCACCATCAAACCCGTGGATGAGGTGCTTGAAGCTTTCAGCAAGCTAACCCTCCCATTGAGCAACAACTCGGAGCTCCACGAATTCCTCAGCACCTATTTCGGACCCGCTGGTGGCGAGCTTGAAGCAGTACCAACCGACCAGCTCCATGTATCGCCGACATTTCTTGACAATGTCAGTGACGATGTGATCAGGCAATTTGTCGATTCGGTTATCAACATCTGGCCAGACCTTACCAGGAAATACGTTGGCGCGGGCGAATTATGCACGGGATGCGCTGACAGCTTCATCCCCGTCAACCGTACCTTCGTCGTGGCTGGTGGCCGCTTCCGTGAACCCTACTACTGGGACTCGTTCTGGATTCTTGAAGGTCTTCTTCGCACGGGGGGTGCCTTCACCGAGATCTCGAAGAACATTATTGAGAACTTCCTTGACTTGGTGGAGCAGATCGGATTTGTTCCCAACGGAGCAAGACTTTACTACCTTGACCGCTCGCAGCCTCCACTCCTGACGCAGATGGTCAGGATCTATGTTGAACACACCAATGATACAAGCATCCTCGAGAGAGCGGTGCCAGTTCTGAAGAAGGAATGGGAGTGGTGGATGACCAACCGCACGGTCGAAGTCACTGCGGATGGAAAGACATACTCTCTCCAGAGGTTAGTTGAACGAGCGGAAGAACGATCTGGCATGACCTGAGCTTGTCTAGCTAACATCCTTTCTCGCAGATACCACGTCGACAACAACCAACCCCGTCCCGAGTCTTACCGTGAAGATTACATTACCGCCAACAACAACTCTTATTATGCTACCTCTGGTATCATTTACCCAGAGACAACTCCTCTCAATGATACCCAGAAAGCGCTGCTCTACGCAAACCTCGCCAGTGGCGCCGAGTCAGGATGGGACTACAGTTCTAGATGGCTGAAGAACCCTGGCGACGCTGCCCGCGACGTGTACTTCCCTCTCCGCTCGCTCAACGTCCTCGAAATTGTCCCTGTTGACCTCAACTCGATTCTTTACCAGAATGAGGTCACCATCGGCAAGTTTCTCGCTCAGCAGGGTAGCAAGGACGAAGCTGAGGAGTGGGCCAAGAAAGCCGAACAGCGCAGCGAAGCCATGTACAAGCTCATGTGGAACTCGACGCTGTGGAGCTACTTTGATTATAACTTAACATCGTCCTCCCAAAATATCTATGTGCCCGCCGACCCTCAAGTCTTCCCCTTCGAACAGCCCAGCGGCACCCCCGAGGGCTACCAGGTTCTCTTCTCTGTCAACCAGATGTTCCCCTTCTGGACTGGTGCTGCCCCAGACCAGCTCAAAGGCAACCCATTGGCTGTCAAGCTTGCCTTTGAACGGATCAAGAACTTGCTCGACAACAAGGCCGGTGGCATTCCTGCTACCAACTTGGTCACTGGCCAACAGTGGGACGAGCCTAACGTATGGCCACCCCTCATGCATGTCCTCATGGACGGCCTCCTCAACACCCCGGCCACCTTCGGCGAGGATGACCCGGCCTATCAGGAGACACAGACTCTGGCCCTCCGTCTTGCTCAGCGTTACGTCGACTCGACCTTCTGTACCTGGTACGCCACCGGCGGGTCTACATCGGAGACGCCGAAGCTGCAAGGTCTCGGTTCCAACCTCAAGGGCATCATGTTCGAGAAGTACTCTGACAACTCGACCAACGTCGCTGGTAGCGGAGGCGAGTACGAGGTCGTGGAAGGCTTCGGCTGGACCAATGGCGTGCTGATTTGGGCCGCGGACAAGTTTGGTGATAAGCTCAAGAGGCCAGATTGTGGTGATATTACCCCTGCGCAAGTGGGCAAGAGGGCCGACATCACTATGGAGAAGAGGGCGGTTGAGCTGGATGTCTTTGATGCCAAGTTCACAAAGAAGTTCGCCAGGAAGGGGAAGCTTGAGAAGCTGAAGGCCAAGTTCAAGAGGCGCGCCGCTATCTAGTTGGTGGTCTTTAAGTTGAAGAGCAGCATGCTTTATGCTTAGCTTTAAGGGACGTTTTTCTTTTTTTTCCTTCACTTAATGAAAAATGGAGTCTTGCTTCTGTTTGGGGAGTGGATTAATACAACATCGATCTACGTTATTGTGTTTGCTGGCACTTGTAGCAAGAGATACCATGTACTGATAACGTCAAGTCTATTATGGTCCACACACGTACTGATGAGAGTCTCTTACCTTGTTGTATCAATATCCATCCTGTTGCCGAGCGAGATGAGTTGTGAGAACGTCGCACGTGCTTACTGTCATCCAGCAAACCAACCTGTGGCCATACGTCACTAGATTGAACACATGGATGCATAGCTCAAGAAAAACATCTACACGAAAGATAATACCATTACTCAAGTCATCCTCTGAAAAACACGATAGCTAAACACCGAAAAAAGGTATAGAACGAAAAGAAAGAGGACATCGCCAACTGCATGCCTACGCCATATTCGCACTTAGACTATGCCACTCTCTTGCAGTAAGTAAATGCTCGCTCGTCCTCGTGAGCCTCCATTTCCGCCGTGTATGGGCCCTCCCGTTGTTTCTAGCGCTTCCCGATAGGGTTGTTCTCCCTCTACTCCTGTCATTTTCAAATTCCTTCGTTCCGAATTCTAAAAGACACCTTTTTGGTCGGGCTATCCGCTTCTATATCGTGCTTCCGCGAAAGGTCCGTGACAGACTCCTCATATGGGTTCCTTATCATCCGCCATGCAGAACCTTGGCTCGGTCCAGGACTGTCCGAGAAGGCACTGTCAAACTGTGACGATGCCGCACGTTTGCGTCGTTTCGGATGCGGCGGCACTGGCGAGTCGTCCTGCTTTGGTGATTTGACCTCCTCATATCTCGTCATTTCCCTACGTGTCCGGAGGAATTTCGTTTAGCCGTTCCGTGCTCCATTTTTTTTGTTTACACCGGTTGTTGTATTCACGATACCGTGCTGACAGTGGCGCACGGAACCTGGTAGCTAGATTTGGATCCAATAGCGACTTCCATACGTCCACGGCACTCCTCCGACTTTGTGAGTCGGTGTCGATGGATGTAGGTATTTTTCGCCATATTCCGCGAAACTCCGAGAGGACATCTTCTCCATACTGGCTTAGTGCAGCTTGCTGTTCCCATTTTCCAAAACCGTTCGGGTAGATGAGGGGCTCTGGTGCCTGTACGAAACCTTGAGTATGGTCTTGGTTCATGTTCGAGACATTACTCTCAGTGGCAGTGCCATTTCCTTCTGTCTTCTTTCGACCACCCATTTCCTGATATGGTAGCTTCGCTGTTGTTTCTAGATCCTGGAATGGCTGTACTGCATAGTCGGGACGTGACTTTTCAGGGTCAGCCCTCGAGGCTCGCAGATCAAGGCCAGTTTTCATATAAAACGTTTCTTGGTCTGCACCAGCGGACAGTGCCCGGCTGCCATGACGACTTTCAGGTTCAGTACTAGTCCTGATTGTCTCTTGTATCACCAGATCCTCCGTCTTAGCGGTGGCTCGGGTGTTCCTGGGTTCAAAGCATGGAGTGGCCGTCTTTTTCTCTCCAGAGGATTGATCGAATGCTTTTGGTTTTTTCTGAGCTTGGGGATGTGTCCGTGTGCTACGGCCGCTGTTGGTGTTCCCCCCTCTCTGGTGGATCCTTGGCCTACCACGCCCACGTTTGGGGAGTTGATCGACGCGGCCAGCCTTAGTAGCAGGACCAGTTTCACTCCAATCTGGATCAGCATCAACATTGTCATTATCGACGTAGGCAACAGCGTTCTCATATGTGCCATGTGTGACAGCGTTGTCATTGTCCACATCTTGCTCCTCCATCTGACGGTCCTCACGACTTTCACCCTTCTAAGGCTCGAGGTGTGACCACTCGGGAATCGCCTTAATTTGCTGCCACATGTACTTCTCGAGCTTGTTGGCGCACTTTGCATATGGGGTATTCTCGTTATTGTACTTTCGGCAGTTGTCGAATATGAGCTTGGCGTCCTTGATGAAATCCTCGGGCGTATTGTATTGATCTTTCTCAAGCTTGTCCTCCATGGTACTCAAGTCCATAGGCTCTTTGATGACATCGTAGTAGTCATGTACCTCGTCCTTGTTAACGGGTACCAAGAAGGGCCAACTACTGGCATGATTCTGTAAATCGTTGAGGAGGTGCAGCAGCTGGTTGTAATTTGGCCCGTGGCGTGGCTGACGGGCGAGCTCGTCCATATCTGGGCTCCATCCTGAAGCGCGGATGGCTTCGACTGAAAGAGGGTCGATGGGTGTTACGCCGTTCTTCCACTGCTTGGGGGGCTGGTGGACAATGTGAGATTTGCTGTAGGCACGGATCTTGGCCTGAACACACTCCTTCTGCTTGAGAAGCATGCGGCCCATCTCGAGGTAGCGTACTCGTGGAAGCATGCTGCACTGCATGATAGTGCCACCTTCATAATCCTTGATGTAGCCCATCCATACTGACTTGTCGAGTGTGATTTCTTTTGTGAAGCCTTGTTTCTTGAAGTAGCCAATGGCATAGTTGTCGGCATATGTGAGGAAGTGCATGACGTCCGAGGTAGCCTTGACATAGTCCTTCAAATGCGACATGAGATGAGCACCGTAGCCCTTGACCTGCTGGTCGGAAGAAATGGCGCAAAAGACGATTTCGGCGAACTGGCGGCCCTTGAATGGTCGGTATGTGATGCCACCCACTACCTCGAGCGGCTTTTTGACGATGGCGATCGACAAATGGGTCCGGTCGTAGACAAGGCGGGCGATGTAGTCTTTGGGCATCTTGGGTAATTGTTTCTGGAAGATGCACTTGAGACCGGTGAGAATGATCAGGCTTTCGCGTTCGCCATCATTGTTAACCACACGGAATTCGATTTCGCCGTCGCGTTCTTCGATAACGGCGGCCTTTTCTGGGAAGGGAATGGCGGGGATTTTTGGCTTCTTGGTGTCCTCATTCTCCTCGTTCGAGTCGCTATGCTTGATTCGCTTCGCCGACGAGGGAGAGGTAGGCTCCTCGGTAGCCTTGCGCTTGGTATCTGTAGACAATTCAAACAAAGTGTCAGTGGTTCCGTGGGTGGCCGGGGGGGGGGGGGGGGGGGGGGGGGAAGGGGGGGCTTGACCGATCGAGGGGCATTGTGGCGAGAGGGGTGATGGGAGACTGACTTTCTTCCTTCATTTTGATGTTGTACGGCAGGGCCGTGACGGAATTAGCGGGCATATCCGCCTCAGCTGAGCACCGGTCGATGTTTGAATGTGCTCGCAATTGATGAATTGATGATGGATGATGGTTGCTTTGATGCGAAGTGTGACCGCGTCGGGGGACGTGTGGTGGAGCGGTGGATGCGGAGCGGCCGCAGGAAGAAGTGGACCATTCCGTCGGGCAAGGTGGAAACAGCAGGGCTGACTAACAGGGGTTGAGATTCGCGGGCGGGACCAAGCTCGATCCACGCTAAGCCATTTTCGGCTCCGAACACGTTCACCTCACTGCAGCGCTGTCCACTGTCAGGTCCCCGTCTGTGTGCTGGAGCTTCAGCTTTGATCGGGGGAAGCTCTCAGCGAACTCCCGTCTGAATCTTGATTCTTCGTTGTGTGCCCTTTGGATGTCCAGATCTTGAGCTCCAGCTTGATTCGTACAATCTTCTACTCTCCGCAACGACCAATTGTTCCCCAGACCAAATGGATTCACCACTGATCGAGGTCTGGCACGCCGCGTCTGGCAGCCCGTTTCTCCCCACTGTTGGCAAAGGCACACAGTTCTTCGTTGCTTCCCTCCTCCTCCTCATCGGCTTTAGTTTGACTGGCGCTTTTACCCTCAGTATGTAATTCCGTTGCGACCTCGACATATCTTCTTGGTTTGATTCTGTGCTGACCTGGGACCACCTCTTAGACCGGTCCATCGTCAATCTACTTCTCTTGGGCATCCCGGCTTCTTTGGCCTTTGCGTACGTTTCCGTTGTGCTTCGAGTTTCGGCTGATTTCCACTGGACCATGCATCTTCCCATCCGCCATTCTTTTATCCCGGACTCCATCGCTGACCATTACTGGGCGCAGATTCGGTGTTGTTTACATGTTCTGCGCGGTCGGAGTTTACGTTTAATATTGAGATACCCTGGAGATCAATAAACGAAGAAGAAGAAGAGAGCAGTCTCCTCGCCCTACGGACTCCGCGGGATTCTGTACAATACATAGAGTCATTTACCCAAAAGCAAGCCGATTTCTGAACATCATACGCATCACACGCCATCTTTTCCTTTACACTTATCACACACAGATCTTGGGCATCACTTGCCAGCAACATGTCACAACCGACTCAAGACGCCGGCCCTCCCTTGTTCAGGGCAGTCGCCAGCTCCACGCGCCCGCTCTACCAGCTACTGAAAGCAGTCGGCTTTACCAACAAGATCCACGTCGAAATCACACCCGAGGGCCTCAGATTCAGCGCCGATCATGCCCGCGTAATGCAAGGCGCCGCCCACTGGAACAAGAACCTCTTCGCCGGCTACACCACCAACCTCCCGCCAGCTGCGGGCAATGGCGATGACGACGACCCTGAACCCGAGCCCGTCTCCTTCCAAATCTCTCTCCCCGCCTTTCTCGAGACCCTCCAAATCTTCGGCGTCGCCGACGTCGCCGCCCGCCAAGCCCGCTCCGACATCGACCCTCTCGTGCGCGGCAACCCGCGCATGAACCACCAGCACCGCGGCGGTAATGGTTCAGACGCCTTCAGCCACCAAACCTTGCACGGCGGCGGGTTCGCCTCCTCTTCCAACGGCACCTGCATCCTCAGCTACCCCTCCGATGGCGGGCCCTTCAGCATCATTCTCGAAGAAGCCGGGGTCAAGACGACCTGCAATTTGACCACCTACCTACCCGAGATGCCGGAGGACATACCCTTTGATATTGACGACCTCTCCTTCAAGGTGATTATGCAAGCGCGCTACTTGTTCGACGCGTTGGCGGAGGTGGGCAGCATCAACCCGGAGCGGCTGACGATCGTGGTCTCGCGCAAGGAGCCGTATCTGCGGTTCAGAACGTCCGGAAGCCACAGTGGTGCGGGAGGGCCGGGGGTGGAGAGCACGGTGGATTTTAGGCGTGGAAGGGATCTGTTGGAGACATTCTCGGTCAGGGCGGTGGAACGGGCTAAAGGAGAGAGGAGATGGAGCCAGACATTCAAGTTTGACACGATCAAGGCGGCGACAGAGGCAATGAGGATTGCGAGTAAGGTCAGCTTGAGGGGCGATGGGCAGGGTGTGTTGAGCATGCAGTTTATGGTGGAGGTGGAAGGTGCTGGGGGTGCGGGCGGGGGTGTCCCGGGAGGAGGAGCTGGTTTGAGTTTCTTGGATTTTCGGTTTGTACCGTATGCGACGGATGGGGATGAGGAGACCGATACTGAAGGGGAGGGTGATGATGTTGACATGAGTGAGGCATGAGGTTCGTAGATAAGAAGTGTCAGTGATGCGTGGTGATACTCAAATCAAGGTTATACCTATGTACTTGGTGGAGCGTTAGCAATTGTCGCAGGATCTAGTAGTTTATATCAGTTGCGCATCGGAAGCACCCCCCCTTATGTATCTCGCGACGGTTTTTTGCGAAAGGTGAACACGCATCTCTGACAGTGGTATTATCCGAAGCGATTATACCCCCTAATGAACATATGGTGGGTGATTAAGGAGTCAGGTCAACCTCGGGTAAATGTGGACCAGACGAATGGATGTCTCCTGTCGTTGATGGCGGCAGAGTAATGTTCTTCGATAGTAATATTGATTCAGTGACCAGGTGAACAAGTACATATGATGTGTACACTCAGCAAGAATTGGTTTTGATCGATTGATGTGGAGGAGAGAAATTAGGTATTTTCTCTATGATATAGATCAACTAAAAAAAGTGGTATCATGAAAGAGAGTACTGTAACAGCAAAATCCAATGTGCAAGTGCAAGAAGATAACCTCACAAACCCCGGTCCAGTGGCCAGAAACCCTCCCCCTCTCATATTTCCTTTTTTTCCCTAGACATTCCATGCACCGACAGACAACCAAATCAATCAGTCAATCAATCAATCAATCAATCAATCTTCCACGCAACATGTTCCGCCTCCCACTTCAAGAAATCCCCCAAGTCATGATCCAAATTGAACCCCATCGGAATCACGTACTCCTGGCCATTCACGTCCCTTGACACCACCATGTTGAGTGCCGGGCTCTGCGGCAGGCTTTTTATACTTTCTTGCGAGTCGGCGCGGCGGTGGTGGCGAGACCCTTGAGGTTGTTGCTTCCAAGTGCGGGCGCGGGCCGCATCGATTGCTTGAGGAATTTTCTTGGCTGTTTGCTTTGTCGGTTGTGGTGGTGGTGGTGCTTGTGCTTGTGCTTGTTGATCTTGTTGGGTTGTCGGGACAATCGACGATGGAATGACTGTTTGTTGCTCGTATTGGAAAGCAAAACCTGGAAGAAAGGGGGATTCGGATCGAATGGTTGGTGACGGGAATCGTGAGGATGGTGGCGCAAGGGAGGATTGTTGTTGGACTTGATGTTGTGGCGTCCCGTGTCTTTGGGTGTGTGGTGGTGGTTGGGACCGGGATAAAGTCTTTGTTAGTGTTGACGTTCGCAGCGTTGGTGGATGATTGCGGTTGATTGATGTTGGAACCGGGGTGTTATTGGTGTCGGTGTTGTTGTTGTTGGCAGCATCGCTTGAACTGCGACCGCGGCTATGATCCCAGCGAACGGTAGGATCGGATGTTAGCGCTGGGAAAGGTGGCGGCGAGTAACTCCAACTTTGGCTGTGAGTGTGACCATAGGGAGTGTTGGTCGCTGGCTTTTCGGGATGGTCCCTCCTCGACTGATGATCGATAGGCCAGGTTGAGGAATGTGTCTCTCGTGATGTCCAGAGCAAGAAGTGTGGTTGCTGCGTCTGCTGAGCAGCAATGTGAGTTGCAAGGGCACGGAAAGGAAGTTGATCGTTGACGCTCGCCGACCGCTCATGAGAACGTTTTCGGTCCCTGTCTGATGCTTGCAAATGCTGGATTCGGTAAAGTTCATTCATGGTGGATGCTCTGCCTTTGCTGTCGCTGTCTGGAGGTTCTCGTGAGTCCATGTTCAAGAGGCTACCAGAACTGGCGGACCGTGCATGTAAGGGGGCATTTTCTTGTTTGTGCTTCCTGACTTCAATCTCCTCTTCGGCGGTCTGAAAGGTCCTCAACGCACCATACCCATCAAAGCCGAAACCGGAGAACCACGCAATGATATCGTCGCGCTCATTAAGCTCAGCTCCCGAAGGCCGCGAGTAGTCGAGGGGGTCACTGTCGAAGTCGCCGATACCGCTCCCTATCGAGATTTGGAAGGCTACCCAGTCAAGGCCATCTTCAGCATTGGCAGCGAGCAGGTTAGTGGGAGGCTCGGGCTTGGGCAGTCGGATTGGTCCGTGACGGAAAGATGGCATCGTCACAGTGTATGGGGTACTTTTGAGGAAAATGAAGTCGTCATTGCTGGTATCAGAGCCAAATTCAGGCGACGAGGTAGATGTAGGTGTCATGATCGAACTGGTGATGCCCTCAGGAATAGTCGGAAGGGGCGGTAGTTGCCTGGATGGAGTGCGCCGCGGTACAGGTCTAATGGGGCCATCAATGGAAGGTGTGAGATGAGCGACACTCGAGGGTACAGGAGGATGTTGAGCTTCTTCTCCTTTGCGGCGAAACATAATGGGTAGACTGTGTTCCTTTCCATTCTTCGCCAAGGCAATGGGAGGACTTCTCGGCCGGTTCTGTTTCTGCCCATCATCTCGTGACTGCTCCTTTGGTGTTGCGCAATCGTCTCTAGTGCTCTCACCGTGATCAGATAAAGAGGGTCGTGCCGTTGCAAATGAGAGTGTTGCCGAAGCGACAGGTAGACTCACACCGGCATTGTCGATCCGTGTCGGCAAGTCGTCGAGGTGGAACGGTTCGATAGGCGTAATGGGCTGCTGGGATGTTTGATCCCCTTCTTGACCGGTTGCCGTCACCTCTTCATCCATCGTTGATTGGGTTAGACAAGCTCTGTCCATTATTCCCTGCAAGATGCTCTCCGGCAGCACCTCATCCGCTACGATAGGATTGAAAAGTTGGAAGAAACTTCGGGCAGTGTCTGGTATCACCCATTTTGATACTTGTGTGCTGGCTATGCGCGGTCGCTTGGGGGATTTCTTTGACTTCTTTCTCTTTGTTCTGCTGGCCGAAGCAAACCTTGCCGGACTTGTGAGCAGAAAGGACCTTTTGGAAGGCTGTGTGAAGGATTGCAATGACGCCTGACTTCTTCTCCGCGCTTTATTCCACTGGGAGGGACTATGCACAGGCGTCAAAGGCTTTGTGTGATTTGCCGAGTAATATGTTATCGGCGGGATCACAAGCGGCGGTAATGGCTGCTTTATTTCGATTGGGGACCGTTCTGGCTGGAATGCCCTATCCATCTCCGAATTGAGCTGCTCGATGTCGTTCAAATATCCATTTCTTGGTAAACGATGTTGCTCTTGGGAGCCGGTATAGCCTTCGGCAATCTCATCTCTGTAAATGGATTGATGGTTGACCCCCAAGCCAGTCAAGGTAATATCTGGTTGACGAATCGTGAGATCTCGGTCCCACTCGTCTTGTTGCAGAGGAGGCGAAGGTGGCAGGAGAACGATTTGGTGTAACTCTTGTGTACTAGAAGGCGTCCCCGGTGTCATGCTGGAGGGTTCGCTTCTTCCTTGGGCTTGCTGTGGCTGGTGCTCGAGGTGTTCAGGACAAAGAAGTGGACTCCTCTGAGGACTTTGGCCTCCGACACGCTGGGAAGAACAATGAGGACTGGTGTAGTCTGTGCTATAGCCGCAGCTGGACAAAGACGACCTTGAGGAGAGCGGGGTGTTGGGAAGGGGTGGGATAATTGTAAGTATTTTGTGAAGGTCCTCCTTCTTCGCGACGTCGAGGTCAAGCTTTGAACCCCTCCGAAGACCCCATGACCTTGTTTTAAGCTCTCTGTAGATTGACCTGTAGCCTTCATCGTCGTGGTGAAAGTAAGAGCCCTCGTGATCGCCGACAAACAGGGTTTTACGCGGAGAGACAAGCTTTCGGATTGTGGATCCCGGCTTTGAGAGCATCTTAGCCGGACTCCCCGGGCATGACGGAAGAAAATGAAAAGACTAGGGTAGAAGTGTGAGCTTGTTTTTGCATACGGCGGGTGTAACGGGTGAAGCGGACTGACAGAATTTGTCAGTGTCGAAGGGTGTTGTTTTTTGCTTTGCAGTTATGGAACTCTCAGCTAACGGTATGATGACACTAGCAAAAAGGCGAAGGACCTTGGGCCCAAAAAGCAAGACAACAAGAAGAGGCATGGGGAGGCGAGGGATATGATATTATTCGCAAGTGTCCGCCCTGACGGCAGCATCGGAATGCTGGGGCACGGCATCTTTGTCGATATGTGTTGTACGACCCGTACAGATTACGGCTGACCCGCATGGTTGGGTTGGTCTTCGCATTTGCAAGGGGGGCAACTAGAAGTGATGGACGCCTGAGAGACGGATAGAGTAAGTAACATGAAGGAATTCCTGTACCGAGTGTGGCGTAGTCACGCACGTCATACTCTATCATCACTCATTGCGCAGCAAACTTGTGCAGAGTGCCGAGTTCAGAGAGCAATGGTTGTGGTGTTTGTATCCGCCGGTAAGTTATCCGCGGGCAAGGGATGAGAATGTGACATTTTTGGGTCAACATCCACGTTGGCCGTAGATACTGCCTCGACTGGCGTCCCAGGTGGTTGTTATCCAGACTTAGCATCCTCTCTGCGACCAGCTGTGGCTTTTCTTCGAGTGTGTTGGATGTTGTTTGTGGATCGTTCCAAAGCATCCCCGGTCAACTCGACCCCTGGCTCAGGCTCTCCAACCCCAGAACTACATACATGGTCCCCTTGAACACCCCATCCCAAGATCTGCCCTAGGCCCAGGGTGGTGATGCCATTGGCCAACAGGGCTGCAAGCTTCTATTTCGGCCCCCCTTCAGTAGCTCAAATAGACCTACGGTAGCGTTGCAGCCGGCATCATACACTACATCCCGTCGACACCTACCCGCCCAAGGTCGAGGACGACGCCGTCCTTTGCAGCATTCGCGACCCCCAAATGGTAAGCTCCGACACAGCCAGATTACCTACACTACCTACTTTTGGCATGATTGTAGAATGCGCAGATTGATTTGAGGGAGCAATGGAAGAGTACCTGCAAAATGCACACTGCCTGGAGCCAGCCGTCCACCCAACTGAGGTCCAGGTCAGTGTTTGGGGCAGCACTCACCCATGTATGGCGAACCGTGCATAGGGCTACTAATTCATTCAGCTTGACGGTAAAGCAGTGGACGGGTTTGTGAGTTTGCACAACAGCGGCAACCAACATTAGCACAGCCACTATATCGATAGACCGGGCCTCCGTAGGTTGCTGTATTGCCAACGGTTGACAGGACTCGGCGCATTTCTTCACTCGATGCCGACTGGACTGGACCATATGCCCCACTGACGAATAAAGGACCTTGGCTATGGATGTCAGTGTCAACCACAGGTGTGTATCGTAGCACAGATCCAGATGCTTGTCTGGACACCTTCCTCTGGCCATATTCGCTTCGCATGGTTCTCGAAAATGGGGGGAGGGGAAGGCCACATATTCGCCCTAAGAGGTGGCGCTCATGACCGTTGAACACGTTGTTAGAAAGGCGCATAGGGTATGATAGCGAGGGTGGCGTCGCACCACCACTTGAAGGGGGTTCAGTATCATCATGAAGCAGCCCGTGTTGTCATTTGCCAAAAGTCGTGAAACGAGTTATTCATCAAATAGGCAACTGCTGTCAAGGCCAGATACGCAGTCTAGTTGGCGCAAAGCGCTGAGTTGCGGCCTCACAGCAGGGAGGGATTGGGGGTGTGCTCGATTAGTCAGGTCCTCTCTTGAGGGGTGTTGTCCTGTCGGCAGCGGACCGAAAGAAGTGTGCGGTGTATGGTGGAGCCTAAAAGGTCCTGACCACGCGGAGATGACGGGAGGTCGGCCGATGCGGGGGATGAAGATGACGGTGAGATGGGTGCCGCTCCGGACGAGAGACCGAACGAACTGCCCCTGGGTGGGGCACAGGGATGATGGGACGGGAACGGCAGTCACGGCCCGCCTGAAACAACAAGCACCAAAAGTGCTGAAAGGGACCAAACCCCGCTGAATGGAAGTGGAACTGAAGTGGAATGAAGAGCCTCTGAGCCGCTACACAAGGGACCTTGGAGGGGGGGGCGTGTCTTTCAACATCTTAAATAGGGGGTGTTGCAGCTGAATAGTGTGTTATACCCTATTAGGTAGGCTAATTCCCTATTGACAGAGTATTAGAGTCAGAGATATATAAATTAGATGGGGCGTATGCCGCTTACATGAATATTCGTTTCCGGGTGCCATTTTAGCAGCAAAACATACCTTACACAGTGAACATTTACTATAGGTCAACATACATTGCGCCACAACATACATCTCCACTCCCAACATACTATCAATTAAATGCTGTACTAACAACAATATATTCAGTCGCGCATAGCTTTACATAGTAACAACTATTTCTGGAAATATATAATTAATATCCTATTATACTAATAATCTTATATTTAATTGAACGAAGTAATATAAACGACCAATATTTATATAGAATATAGTAATAGAATCTAATTGTACTTACAATTTACTATTGAATTGAATAACTTTATAAATATTAATAAAAATAATTACTAATATGCTTTTTTTTAATAATTAGGTATATATACTAATATATTATTAATATTCTTATTCATTATATATATTATTATATTTATTATATATTAGAGCGGGAGCGTACGAGAAATATAACTCTCCTAAATAGAGGTAAATATTCTTTATATAATTAAAATTAGGTACTAAGGTAATATTGTATAGAATATATAAATATAGTAATATTTATTATAAAAAGACTAATTTTTATCAGGCATTTTCTATTATAATTAATATAGTATTTTATACTATTTATATTAATATTATAATACTATATAATATACTATTAATCCCGCTCCTAGAAGAATTCGTTAATATCTAATAAAGAAACGTATAAAAATAAATAATTGTAAAAAAAGAAATAGTTAGAGCAATCGAAATTATATATAACTTATTCCCTATCTACTATTTACTCTATTAAATATATATATAAGATTTCGGCCAAATTTAATTAAATTATTCGCTAATATTATACCTTACCTTCCTTTCGGTATATTAGCGCCTTCGTTCGACTTCCCAATTTAAAATAATTAAATTATAAAGGATAAATATATTAAAATATTCTCTAGAATTATTAAATTCTTCTATAACATTAAAATTAAAAGGATATCTCTTCAATAACTCCTCCGTTACTAAACTATATAAATTATCGTACGCCTTAATAATCTTCCAAATTTCTACTACGTCAGTTTAAGGAATTTAAGTAAATTTTAATTCCTATTTAATAATAGTATACCAACGGTTAATTACTTAATAAAATATTTCTATTAACTTTACTAGGCTTCAGAAGGGGGAAGGGCTAATTAATAATAACTATATTATTATTATAAATAGTTCCGCTATTTTTATTTATCTATTACTTCTAATTCGGAAATACAGCGGGACCAAAAGCAGGCTTCTTATTAAAATATCCAGGATTATAATCGGGAACGATAATAGCCTTGCGGTACTTTAGGGCGTTAATATATATAGAGCCGGGAGAATTATATCTATTTAAAGCCGAAGATATTTTAATATCCGCATCCCTTTAGTCGATTTACTCTATAATTTCCTATCCGGTAGGGTTAAATTTAAGAATAGGTTTTAGTTAGATTTAATATTAATTACCTTTATATATTTATATATTGGAATAAAAATATTAAAGGAAATATTAAATATACTCTCAGCTTTTACTTTAATAATCTTTTTACTACGACCTTTTCTATTAGAATTATACTTCTTAGTAGTACTAACCGGGATAGTAATATTAAAATTATCTTTTCTATTATCCATTAAAATATCTATTATATCGGCCTTCAATTCTACAGTACTGGTAGTAATAGTAGCGGCAACCTTTCCTATATAGTCTAATTATTCAATTATTATAAACGAACGGCCCTTTAAATAGGTAGATAGGAACTTATTTATAGTACTTTCGTCTACTTCCTCGAAGGATTAAATTTCCACTTTAAATTTAATTACCTTCGTAAGCGGGTATCTAACTATATTTTTTTTCTTAATAGATATAAAATCTATAATATATAGTAAAAAAGGCGAAATCTTATTACTATCGAAGACTTTAATATTTAAGGAGACTATACTACACTTTATATTAATTCTAATTTCTACGGTAAAGCGACGAAGAAATTATATAGATTTAGGGCGTTATAAATAGAATTTCTTCTAAATCTTCTTTAACTCCAGAAAGAAATCGTCCTTAAATTAATTGGGTATTATAGTAAGAACCGTAGTAAAATAACCGACAGTAAGACCATTATTAATATTAAGGATACCATTTTCAAACGTCTCTAAAATAGTACGGTAGAAACTACTATTATAGGTTATATAACTATCTTCGTCCTTCTTAAACAGCTTAGGAATCCTAGGGGCCCTAGGAGCCCTAGGAGCCTTAATCACTTTAGTAGCAATACCAACAGTCCTCTTCTACACACAAGGTACTTTAACATTAGTATCCTTCATCTTAACTATAATATTTAATACTATATTAACTATTAGTAAAACATTTATATCGTCGGCATACATTTAAATTAGACTTACTAAATACCTTCTACTAAATAAGGCCGTCTTCTCGATACTAAATCGTAGGGAGAAGTGATAATACTAGCTATACTAGAATATCGATATCGCGTATATATTAAATATAAAAGGGACGGGGGATAATTAATAATATAATTATAAGAGAAAGAAAAAGAATAATAAAATTATAGAAAGAATAAGAATAGGATTTCCTATAGTAATTTATAAAGGTTAAGTCGGATATAAACGGGTATTACGTATAAAATTATTTCGTAGGGTAGGGTAGATACGAAATAGGATAACGCGAAATTTTTTCTCGCTATTTCTCTATTTCGCTATAATATTTTAATAATATCTAAAATTTACGTAGCCTAATATTAATTAGAACTCAAATCCAATATACATAAACATTCAATAATTTAATATAGTAAGAGAATTTAGAGATACCTGTGT